TAACCCTTTTGTCTTCCTAGACCCTCTACGTTTATATACTATAGACTACTAATACTCCTTACGCTAATACTTCTTTATACTACTCAAATCCTAGTAAATATAATAGTAATAAGCTGGGTCCAACTAGTATAACAACCTATCCTAGTGTAATAATAACTAGCTAATCGGCTAGTCGATATAATCTAGTATCTACATCTTACTAGAATATATAGTTAAACCTAGCTACTCTTAGATGCGCTCTGTAATTAAAATAGCTTTCTTACATTCTACTCTATAGTCCCTACCTTGCAAATAGCCCTTAATCTAATCTAACTATACCGCATATTAGTATTCTTTATAAGTAACTAATTGATACTTGGCTAGATACTCGAATAACTTATTCTTAATATCTATTTCTACTATAACTCTACTTTAATGCGCTTTTTAAACTTCTTATAATGCGATTAATACTTGCAAGCTAATAGGTAACAGGATTTATATAGCAGGCTATAGGCAATATAAAATAGAAGTATTATAAACTAACCTAGTAATTCTCTATCTATTGCCTTTTTAAAGGCTCTTTGTCTTCTTCTATTACCTCTAGCTCTAAAGGCCGCTTTCTAGGCCCTAAGAATACCTAGAATCTAAGAAAGATATACTATTCTTTATTAACCGCCCGATACTCTACCCGCCTTGCTATAATATATCCTAGCGCCTCTTCTAGGCCTTAAGTATAAACTATTCCTACTATCTATAAGCTATATATTACCTACTTATCTGCTAGCTTCTTATCTAAACTATAGTCCCGCTTAAAGCCGCCGTATTTAAGATACTAGCGCGATATAGTAATAGCTACATATTAGTATACTATAATATTAAGATATATCTCTAGGTAGACCTTTATCTCTCTATATATAATAGCACTTAGTCTAGTGCTATTCTAGCTCTCTATCCCTTTTAGCTATAGGAATAGAGAAGGCGGATTCTTCTACTAGTGGACTAGCACGTTAAGCTTCTACTAGAACGGAAGAACAAGCTAGAGGTAGTATACAAGCAGCTTACTTACCTCCCTAAAAGGTACTAATAGATAATCTTTATTAATCTAGTGATACTATATTCTTTATAGTAGCTAGTAATAGTGCTAACTAGACTCTCTTCTATAGAAATACTCCTATAGTGCCCCTATACGGTATTAACGTACTATAGGCTTACTAGCTCGGTCCTACAAGTAGGCTATTCTAAAGTAAGGTGGATAAGTAGAAGCAACTGCTCTAAGAAGCTATTAACCTTTAAGAAATACTTCTTTACAGCGTCTTTCTTCTAGTAGATCTAGTTCTCCTTTATTAGGTCTAGTAGCTCTCTACTTAACTAATTGTTTTCTGTAATATAGTTAAGTAGCTACCTTTTACTGCTATTCTCTAGCTACTACGAGTTGCGGGTATCCTTTAAGAAGTTCCACCCCTTCCTATTATTACTATAATTATTCTAGAGACGGTAGAGCTAGTAGATTAGTATAATAGTCTTGCGGCGTTCTTTAGGATATAGAAGTAAGAGCTCCTTTAACTACTTCTAAGCTAGTTGTACCTATACTACTATAAAGTCTCTAAACTCAGCTATCTATAGGTTGATATCTCTATAGGTTACCGTCTCTTTATCTTCCAACTAGCTAATATAGCCTAGACTTATAGTACTATTTAAGACTTTCTTTATATATACTTAGAGCCGGCACGCCTAGTAAAAAGTAGACTAAGAACCTCGCACTATAAAGCGGTCTCGCATATTATTAAGTATATTTAATAGGTACTCAATATTGCTTTTATCTGCGGCAAGTATAGCTCTCTATATAATAAGTATCTGGGCTATCTTAATAAACTTAGATAGGTAGGGCAAGTATATGTAGAGTTCTAAGAAGACGCCTCTCTCCTTCTAGTTAATACCTAGTACAGCAAGAAAGCTAAGTACGACGCTCTTAAAGTAGCTTCCCCTAAGATTATAGTCTAGGAGTGATATATAGAGTAGAAGGTAGTTTCTATCTAGTTCAACCTCCGCGTCTCTCTTAGCCTTCTCCTTCTAAGGTTGCAAGTCTCCTATAGCATCTAATACTAAAAGCTTACGGGTGTAGGATATAGTGCGGCCTAGATAAAATAACTATAAGGTAGTAAATTAATAGGGTAGCTATATTAGCTAGTTAGACTAGCTAGTCTAGTAGGCGAAGTAGAAGAGGCGCTCCTAGAGGCTCTTATATTCGCAGAACATCTACTTCTACAGCTTAACTATAAGTATATACTCCGAGCTCTTTAAGCTACTATTAATAAAGCTATTAATCTTTACCTAGTTGAATATACCGATCCTATCCTTATAGATAGATGTATACACCTTCACTACTATACAGTCTAGGCTCTTAGTAAGTAGTTATAAGAGAGGCTTAGTAGTAGGATTTAGTATATAGCTAAGAGGTACCACCTCTATAAGATTAAGGCTATTAAAGTAGTAAGACTACTATATTATCTTAAGCTAGGGCGAGACCTCGGTCTTAGTTACCTAGTTATAGTATACTCTTATAGTAAGCTTAAGGTTGCGTCCACTCTAGTCTAGCTCCCTATTAATTATTACTTAGAGGAGCTTATTCTTCTAAAGAGAACTAAGCTCTTTTTAGTAAAGAACTAGGCTCTATAGTTCCGCTAGTAGTATAATGTAGAAGAATAAGCTTTAGAGACTAGATATAAAGTATTATTAGTAGTGCACCTCTTACTAAAGAGTATTAGAGTCTTTCTTGCTAGAATCTTTAGAGATCTTATACTAAGCGCCCTGGCGCTATAGAACCGCCCGGTAGGAATTAAAATATTACTATATTATCTTCTTACTACCCTTCCAGCTACTATATATAAGCGGATATTGATTGCACTAAATACTATAATAGAGCTTGAGTCCTAATAGAGAGAGGGAGTCTAGAAGTAGTATCTTAATAGTAATATAGTGTAAATTAAGGACGCTATACTTCTTAAGTAACAACTCTATAAGCTTTTTAATAGCTGACTCTAATCGTTTACTAGGCTTATACACTTAAGTATATTCTCTATACTTAGTAAGGAGGTGGGCGTAAAGATAGGCTGGCGCTATAGTAGAAGCGTAAGGCTTATATATAAGTATGCTATAGGTATATATAAATTTAAAGAGGTCTATTAGGCACTACTCTAAGTTATCTATAGTATAGGAAGAGAAGCGGATAAAGAAACATTAGATTAGGTAAGTCTACCTAAGAGAAAGCGAGTAGTAGACGCATTAGAAAATAGAGAGCGTAAGTTAAGTATAAGAAGGGTAATCTTAATAACGCGAGGCACGCGAGGCACGCAAGGCGCGCGAGGCATGCAAGACGCGCGCGCCGCTAAGTAAGCAGCTATTAAGGAGGAGGCGGGATGATAGGTAGCCGGAGTAGTGAACGGACCAAAGGCGGTACCATTAGTGCTAAGGGCTATAGCCTTTGAAGGAACACTAAAAGCTAGCAGCGACGGTCGGACAATTTGAGGGCTATAAATAGCGACCGGACGATAATACAATATTATTGTAGCACCGGTTAGCGCGGACGATGCCGTAGGATCGGTGGAAGATATGCGCTAAAGGTGTGGAGGCGGTGCGGGGGAGGAAAGGCAGGAAGGAAAGGAGTTGGAGGAGGGAGAACGGGGGGTAGAGCTGATTTGGAGGCAGGGTGGATTCGCTCCTTTATCCTAGGCAGTTACCACAATATTTGTAGCTGTATGTAGCGTACCTACACCTTGAACAAAGATGTAAGATCATACAGCGTCACAGGACGCTATCAATGAGTTTAGCCGTGGGGTTCTTCCAGTCATGGCTCGTTGTTACAAACCAATCCGCCTGGAGCTCTTGGACGAACGCATAGTGACCCGTTATTGACGGTACAACTGCGCCCATCTGCTTTCGGGGCCTTCGGCTTCAGATCGTGTGTATCGAGCAAAGACCCTCCAGCTTCAGTGGTAGGCTTCTTCATTCTTTTCGCCTACAGCTCAGGACCCGGCGCTGAGCAGATTCAGTTGTCGATAACGGATATTTGACTAGGGCATCGGGATCAAAGCTAGACTTTTCGGCGATTGTCTTCTTAATAGCCATGAGAACCGGTTACTGCAACGTGAAGTCAGGATCATGCATATTGTTGAAGTTGCCGTCTGGCCCCTTTCTCTTTCTTCTTAGCGACCTCAACAGTCTTCCTGTCTGCAAGGCCCAGCGCTGAAGCCAAGTCAGGAAAGTTGAGCGGCAGTCCTTTTCCACCATGGAGTGGTGAGTAGCTTTTCGCCTTTTACTTCGCAGAAGACGATCGTTCTGTTGGACTCAATCGGGCTTGTAGTAATATGCGTCCGGAGGAGATACCGAAGTCACAACCACGTCTGTATCGGAGAGCTTTGATCAGCTTGAAAAGAGTGTCTCGAACGTTTTCCAGTCTTTTAGTATATGCCTCGTAGTTCGGTAACATGTCCTCTGCACCAGCGCTTTGCGGGCGGCGGCCACTTTGCGGGTGTCAAGCTCATCCGAGGGCTGGTGACTCCGCGGCCAAGCTCTTACTGCATGTGGCGTCAATCTAGAGGAAGAGCGGCTCGGCCTAGCGATATGACTGTATTTGGTCGTGTCGGTCTGGTTTCTGTAGCAGATGGCGACAGTAGACGGCATGCGATAGTGCGTTGTGCATCTGAGTTGTAAACTGAGGAGCCAGAGGCACCCAATGGCGAGCGAGGGGTTTTCAGCTGTTCTCTACTATCGCTCATAGCTCACTTGATCAAAATCGTAAATTCGCGTCTGGCATAACTTTGCTCGCAACACCGGGCTTCGGATACTCTTTCCCTCTGGAACGTATCGATTCCGGCTTCAATGAAACTCAGAAAGGCCGCTGTAAGGACTCCTGTCAACCTGGTAGGCTGGGTTGGGAGTCCTCATCCGATGGCGATGGCTCGGCGTCGTCTTCATTGAGCAAGTCATGCTTGTTCTTCTTCAGCTCATCCAGCAAAGACACCTTAGTAGCCGCCATCATGCGCCATGCCCTTGCCCTTGGCAGACAGAAAGTCAATAATATTGACTAGCGTCTCCACGACGGTCTCGACTTGAGTAGGGTCGCCAACTCCAACCAAAAGTGAGCCGGCCTATGCCAGATTAGCCCAGAACGGCCCAGGAAGAGCCAGAAATGTACATACTTTGGCTTTCTTCGCAGGACTGCCCGCATTGGAACCAGCATCCACACTCTTGCTCCCGCGAACGGGGGGGGGGGGCTGATGGGGGGGGGGACTCGGCTGCCGAGATGACATTGGAACGGTGGCGAATACGGACATTGACCATATCGGCAGCAATGCTCAGAGCCGGTGGTGAACTGCAGCACCGAGCTCGAACTTGCCAAAGTCAGGGCAAGAAGTATCCCAGCCTTTGAAAATATTTCCGATGGACTCGAAAATAGAACGAGATACGGCAGACACTCCGTCAGTTAGAACAGTTTGAAGCTTCTCCTTAGTCTTAAAATGTGATGATGCTCTAAGTATTTTGTCTTGAAATCGCTAGCGGATCAAAAGATGCGGATGTGGAATTGTTGAATGGGGATACCGAGGTCAGAGAACGTTTCCGATATGGCGATGTCCGTATCCTTTGGGTCATGAGTCTTCTTCAACTCGTCCAGGTAGTAAAGAAAGATGTACACTGTAGTGTAATTCGCCTTGACTTTCATGAATTACATCCCGGAGGGATCCGCTTAAGCAAGGCTAGTGTGTTATGTATCCGTGGTAAAGTGGTTATTTGAAATGTAATATCTCGTGCCATCAGGTCCGTGTGATTTGTTTTCGCTCTCGGTGTTTTGTTGCACTGTAAAGTGTTATAATTATGGTGGTAAGAACAGGCGTGCAAACAAAGTGTTGCTTTGAAGTGTTAGCATAGGAAAGAAACCATAACACAAAGAGAGCAGGTTGACCACTGTATGCGTTTTGTTAGTCTTTCTGGAACCAGGAGCTCCAGTGCGCTTGCTGTGACAGTGTTGGAAACTGGGAAGGGGAGTCCTAGAGACCTAAACACAAGCCGATCTTGCGAATCGCGCTGGGATTACTCACGTGCTGCGGTCTGCCAGTCAGTAACGGTTATCAACGAGCTCAATCATATCCGGCGCTATCCGGCCTCGGAGATATTTCTAGGTAGCTCAATAGTTTCGGATACCTGACAACCATCCATACACCTTAGAGATGCGGTACATCCAAGGACGCGAGCAGAAGGTTGACTATACTGACAACGCCTTCACCAAGAATAAGCCCGCTGGCAAGTACGACGACCGGCGTCTCGGGCTGCTTCCGATACGATCTCCAATACCAGTTCAGCAGGCCACCAATAGTCCGCGCAAGCGTAAAGGATGGGACGTTGTACATTCCTGCAGCTCTGTCAGCTTCTCTCTGTTCATCCCAAACATCTCAAAAAGACAGGCTGAACCCCAAACTTGACCTACCAACAGCAACCGCAATCCCCCCGGGTATGTATCCAACAATCCTCCACCTCCCCTTCCTCTGCTTGATATTCCCCGCCGTCCTCAACGCCGTTCCCACCGCAAACACCAATCCCGCACCCGCCGCCCACCTGCCCACCATAGGCGGCAGTCCCTGCCCCGTAACCAACCTGGCCGTAAAAACCCACACATACGCCGTCGGAACCTGAAACAGGTCCCCCGGAACCTCATACACCCTCGTGTACAGCCTATACACGACCGCGCTCAGCACAGCCCCAACCGCCGATCCAATAATCTGGCCCCAGAACTGCGCATTCGGCGCCGCGCCCAGCAGATGCCCCGTCTTGAGATCCTGCATCAGGTCCCCGGCCTGTAGGGCGCCGCTCTCACTAATCGCGCCGGCGAGGAGGTTGATAATGACGGCGTTTTTGTTTGAGGCCGGGGTTACGAAGGCGAAGAGGAGTTGGGTTAGCTTTGAGATGCCAGAGACAGGGTTGAGGTCTGTTTCGCCCAGCGCACGGACGCCCATTATGGAAAGGAGGAGCGCGAGGACCAGTGCGAAGAGGGTTAGGTGGATGGGGATTAGGTCTGTGAAGACCCAGTGGACGGCGCCGATGGCGAGGGCGATAGAGAGGACGAGGCCGATTAGAGTGGTGCGTGTGGAGATGAGATGTTCTGGCGGGGCGTCGATATCTGGTGGGTCAGCGGGGCCGGAGGATACCTTCTTGAGAGTCGTACTCGTGTCAGGATTAGATTGAGGGACCAGAAGGGTAGAGGATGACGAGACGGGGGAGTAGCCTTTCACCGAGTGGCGATGATATACAGAGAAGATGTCCTTCCAGCCGTACTCTTGGACATGGTCGCGGATCCTTGGCAGCCAGATACGACCGTAGTAGATGAGCGGTCGAAGTATCAGCCAGCCCAAACTTACAAGGGAGTCAGCGAGCATGATCGCGAGACTGACCCAGACGATCCAGCCTTTGCTGCCAGTGGTCCAGTCGCTGACAGGGCCAGGCGCCCACCCTTTACTCTTAGCCAAGGGTGAGAGGATACCCCAGCCTAGGATAGCTCCAAGAAGCATGTGAAGAGTCGTCTCCGGTCCCATGATGATGCCTTGGCCAACGTATGCTGGTGACGGATTCAGTGTCCAGAGCCAGTCGCGGGCCAGTGAGAGGCCGAATACGGGTACACCGCGAATTTGAGGGACAAAGTAGGAGAACAGAGTCTACTCCAGGCATGAGCGCGTGTTGACGAGTCATTGTATGATATAGAAGCAAGGGTACGTACATAGACAGCAGATACAACAAAGGAGATAATGAGCAACCGTATCTTAGCTTTCCAGTCGCTCCTTTCGTCGAGTCCGTATCCATGCTCTTCCCCGTCCTGCGTCTCAGGGTAGGTCTGCGGAGGCACCTCGTCGCGGACTCCACCTCCTGCCGGTGTCTGCTGAATCAACGCCTCGCTCTCCTCCCCTTCCTCCTGCAGCGCACTCTCTCCCTGGTCATTTCTCACCAGCCCCGCCTTTTCCTTATCCCCATGCAAAACTCCAATCATCAACGCCGTCGCCGTGCCGCTTGGGAACTTCAACTTCTCCCTAATAATCACCTCCCTCCTCAACGGTACCGCAAACACGACCCCAAAAAACGCAATCCCGACCGCCCAGACCACCAACATCCACGTACTCAGCCTCAACGGCCCCCCCTCCTCAGGCCTAAGCAAATAATCCAACGCGGGAATCACACCCACGAACCCGCACCCCAGCGGCATCGTCCCGACAGAGCCGGCTACACTCTGCACCAGCACGTTCTCGACCGGCGTGAACGGGAAGGCGATGAGGCGCGAGACGGTCTTGAAGTACGCAAAGCCGATCAGTGCGGATGGCATCGACATGCTGCTGACCCAGCCGGTTTGGAGGCCGAAATACATGTTCGAGAAGCAGATTACCACGCCGATGGCTAGGCCGACGAGCACGCCGCGGAGGGTGAAGTTCTGGGGCTCTGAGGCGCGGGAGGCGAGGTAGCGGCGGGCTTCGCTGCGGCGAGTGTAGAGTTCGCGCGGAGTCTCGGTGGGAGGGTCATGGTCGTCGGCGGGTTCGAAGTGGTCGGCGGGCTCGTTGTCGTCGGAGGTGGAGAGGCGTGAGTAGGTGGGCGAGGAGCGGGTTTCGCCCCGGTCTGGAGACATGGTTGACGGCTCTCAGCTGTAGCAGCTGAAGAGAGGTGTAAATTGAAGCAGTCGAGGAGATACTCAGATGTCAGATACGCCCGGTGATCTGACTGCGTGATGGAAGCTCGGATGACGCGATTCGGCAATGCTTCGGCTCTCATCCGAAGCAGCTCAGAAGCTTTTCCTCACGAGTGCAATAGTAAATTTGAAACTGAGGGCTGTTAGTAACAATATTACCGAACGAAGCTCTGGGCAAAGAGTACCCTGGGTCGCCAGATTGAGCTATCGATATCTTCGAATTTTGGTTGCATTTATTTGGGGGCTATCTGCTATCCAGTGCTGCAATGGTTCGCTAGACGGATCGTAACTGTAGCCATAACCTCATCGGACCACATCAGGCCATCATCTCTCAAACCCCCTTATTAAAGACATCCTCCTCGTCCGTAACACCCGGCGCGATCTCACGCGTATTGTCCGCCTTGTTCTGCGCGTCAGCCTTCATCCTGTCCTCCGCTTCCATGGCCTTGTGCTCTGGCCCAATTCCCTTGCCGCCGATGCCGGTCGTGGTCTCCTCGACATCTGAATCCATGGCCGTGTTAAAGACTACACCGCCATCCTTATCGATGATGGTTTCGGGTTCATCGGTGGCTTCGGCTATGCCGCTCTCCGGTAGTGGGGTGCCCGCTGTTGACGATCGCGAGATGTCGCGCGAGGTCTCTTGCTGTTTAAAGCGATTTTTGGAGTTGTCGACTAGGGGTGAGTCGTCGTTGTATAAGCGGAGGAGCATTGCTTTACGGTCCTCCTTCGGCAGCATAAGGTTGAGGGACGAAATGCTTCTCCAAAGTGGAAGCACTAGTCGCTCCCTGATATAGTTTGTCAGCACATAATCTAAACCACATGATAAGCACACTTACTTGAAACCGTCCTCGTCATCGCTGGTCTCAACTCTGAGGACGCAGCAGCCCATGCCAATATCCCTCACCCTCTCGCCGATCTCACCAAGATCCCTCCAGCCATCCTGCGCGACACGAGGAAACATCTCGATTAGAAGCTTCCTTAGCGTCTCCCTCTTGTACAACCGCACTATCCTGCCCTCGCCCACCCAAGGCTCAATGATCGGCATACCCTCCGACTGAATGCGCCACCGACAGACGTCTTGTCCCTGCGCGTCCTGCTTCATGAACATCTTAACGCCGCAATGTACGAACTTCATGCCCTTTCCTTCATTCTGGGTTAGGATCTCGCGCGCGAGTGTAGAGGTATAGTAGATCGCCTTGACTGGCTGCCCGGTAGCATTCCGGACCATGAATCTGTCGCGTGGGAACCTCGGTGACACCTCGTAGAACTTGTATATGCCGAGTAGCTCTTCGTGATCTGGGTCCAGATATTTGAATGGCTCTTCGTGTGGCTGATCGCGTCTTTTCTTCGGTGGTTGATCAGGTCGAGAAGGCGGTTGGTAAGGTTCCTGGCCTCCGTTTATGGTATCTAATTCCAGTGGTTCATCTGCAGTATCCTCATACTTCTCTGGCTCAAGCTGAGCGGCCGGCGGAGGCGGGAAGTGGACCATTCGACTGTCGTCTACGTCGGTTTTCACGCGCTTGGTTGGCGAATCTTGCGAAACGCCGCCATCTTCTTCATCGTCTTCCAACGGTCGCTTGGTGGCCGGAGGGGTGTTCGCTCTGTTCTGACGAGCAGTGGGTGGTGCGTTGCTGTCATCCAGTGCGTTATCCGGGTCAACCCTCATTGGCGCGAGATTCTCATATGCTTCATGAAGATTGCGATCCACATCTCCATTGGTGGGGTTCTCGATTTTCGCATTGAGCGCATCGAGAAGCGAGGCAACTGGAGGTTTCGGAGCCGTAATCTTGGATCGCGACTCTGGACGCGCTTTGATTTCCGTCTGTTTCTCCAGAACGGCGATGAAGAAGCCGCCGGTATCTTGCAAATGAGGGTAAACCCGGATGCACCGCTCGAGTGCCAACCTCTCATCTTCGGACTCTGTTACGGGCGGGAACATCCCTTCGGTCAGCCGCCCGAAGCCTTCCTCTCCTTGGGCTTCCCTAGCTTCCTCAACCTCTTTCCACGAACTCCACATTCGGCCTGTCTTGTCCATGATTTTCCATTCGCTCAGGCCAGACTTTCGTTTCAGTCCAGGCAGTGTGTCGCTGCAATCAATTATCTTGACCTTCGATACGCCTCCGCAGCGATCAATTGCGCTTGCGACTACGGCCTCATCCTCGACCGGATTCATACTGCATGTTGAGTATACGACTCGCCCGCCGACTTTTAACATCTGCAGCGCCCTAACGAGGATCCGCACCTGCGTCGCGTACAATCCAAGGCCGTTTCCAGGTATCCAGTCTTTCCAAATGTTGGGATTCTTCCGAGCGGTGCCATCTCCGGAACAAGGGACATCGGCTAGGATACGATCAAACTTGAGATATCTGCCTGGTTGATCGGGCTCTGAGTATAACTTGATGGACGGAAACAGCGTAGCATCGTGATTCGTAACAATCATGTTAGGAGAGTTTAGTCGCTTGACCTGGTGAACCAGCATCTGAGCGCGCCTGTAGTCTACATCATTCGCGATGAGGAGGCCCGTAGCCCTGCCATCATCCGACCAGTCATCTTCCGATTGTGCTTGTGCCTTCTCGGCCTCGATCTCCATTCCATCCGGGCTCATGCCGCGGCCTTGCTGCTCATTGAGATTGTGTAGCACTTGTCGCACGCGCGCCTCTTCTCCACCGTGTACCATCTCAATCAACTGCGCCGACTTGCTGCCAGGTGCGGCGCATAGATCCAAGACGGTCATTCCAGGTTTGATGTCCATAAGAAGTGGCGGTATCATGCTGACAACTTCTTGCCTGCTGATATTGCCAACGCTCGTCTCGGAGACCAGGAACTTCTGGAAGGATGCGAACGGCGGGAACTTGCGGACGACTTGCTTTGGCGTGGTCATTGACCATGCAAGCTTCTCCGGAAACCATTCCAGCGGTGTTGGCGGAGGTACGGGCTGGCCTTCGTAGGTGACAGACGTGATTTGCGGGATATAACGGTCGATAAGGCGTTGCTGCACAGAGAGCGCATGGCCTTTCGAGCCCGTGAAGCGGAAGCTGTTGGGCAGTTCTCTCTTGAGCGCTGTCCAGAACTGCTCTCGCTCCTCTTCCTCGACGATGCCAAGCGCATTGTAGTAGTTCTCAAAGTTCTCGTTCTTCTTCTCGAGTTCCGTGTAATTGGCAGGTCCTGATCGGTAGTCGCGACCTCGAGAGCTTCCGCGTCCTCGTCCTCGACCACCGCGGCCGCCCTGTAACAGAGTTAGATTGTATCAATGCGGTAGCAGTTGGGGGCTCACGCCACGATTTCCGCCTCTCCCACGACGTCCCATATTGCTACAGAATACGGCGAGTAAGGTTGCTGCTAGTCACAGCGGGTCTCGACGTCAACCTTACGCTGCCATGTAGAAAATAGCTATATGCAACGGATGAACAGATTTTCCGTGAAGCTTCTGCCAAAGCTTGACCTCGGCGGTGAGTAGGCTGATGGGTCAGAGGATCTAATCGTAGAGTTGTGAATTCAATCAGATGACGCTAGCAGGGGTAAAAGCACATGAGCAACAACACCATAAGCTCCTCCATCGTCTAGTATATACAATTGAGACTGCACAGCTCTACATAATTATCCTATCTGGGTTAAGCTCACCAATTGCCTTGCGTGCGCCGCCGCGACCCATTTCCTGGTGTTTTGGAGCGGTATCGGGGCTTTATTGGTGTGGGAGGCACGAGAGCTTGGTGAGGCAACTTGGTAATCGAATTTACGACTCTACGACTAAATTGACCAGCGCTCATGCTAAACGCTCCTTATTTAGCTAAGCTGCACACACAATACGAATGCAAAATGTATCAGACCGGCCGAGTTCGTTTTGGCATTACGAGGCTCTAAGACATGAGCGTTTGGCGGTGCAAGTAGTGGATGGTGTACGTTATGCAATCGCCTGTCCGGATGTAATGAGCTACCCAGGTGACAGCCATGCCAATGGCTTGGAAGTATGTACATGAGCAAGGTACTTTTCTGCAGTTCCGGTGCTATAGTCATCTAAAGAATAACGTTCTTCGGTAACCGAGATGAACGAGTGAGGACCATTGCAGCTTGCATCAGGTTTAAGATCTTCAGAAGATATCAGTTCTATTTACCAGCGTGAATGACACCAGATCATCACTCCCGTCTACATTAGATTATAGTAATGGTATATGTGTTCTCGTTATTACACTCTTCGTATTCCAACCATTCTTTGTTTCCCAGTCCCTCAGTCCACTTTATCAGATCTGCCAGACCAAGGCCACCTTTCCATACCGATGCTAAACCCACTCGACGAAATTCACCAGGTCGATGACCCGTGGGTTTAAAAATTAGCCCGTATACAAGAGCAGACTTGGCGGACTCAGATGCATCAGGATCGGAACAGATGATTATGAGGTGAAGTGATGTACCCAAGATATCTGACTCGCAGTCAAATGAGACAACACCATGGATGCGCGATTCGTCAGTGAATGTGAGGCCCCGCTTACCAGCACAATCATAAGATGAAACAGTTCGGAGCAGACCACGTAGCCGGATAGCACCCCCACAGATCTGGCCAAACCGATCATCGGTCACAGGATGAACGTGGGCTTCAATTATCTCAGCATCCCCGAAGCGACGCTCACAGCCCCAGGGATCAGCGCCCCAGGGACCAGCATCCCACTGTCGTAGTTCTCCATCGACCGAAGGCCAAGACCAGGACGGGGCACGGTAAGGCAGTGGCCGCTCCGGGAGTTTTCTATTCGATTGCATTCCATCTCTGATTCGCCAAAGCAGTGCACCCGGCAGATCAATTCTCCAGAGACTAGCAAGATAGTCCGAGTCGATCAACGATGCTACGAGACGTGCTAGGCCGGCTATAGCAACTAGCTTGTCGCGAGGCTTGGTAAGAGCACCTTTCGAGTAATGCAAGACAAAACTCCACCAAATCTTTAATATCACATTTACGGATAAGATTGGCTTGGGGGTTTCTTGCTCGGCGGTCACCAGCCGCGTGCTTGTCATGCTTGTCTCCAGGATTGGCGTATATTTTCCCTTATGGAAAGCAGAGAGCGAAACTGGTAGCTTGTCGACTCCGTTGATCCCGCCAGGGTATTTTTCGCACGCCTCTAACTCAAGACATTCCCATATGAGTTGAGTCTTGCTGAAATGAAGAAACCTTGAGGAAAGAACGCGTTCCTGAAAAGCCCAGGCTCGCTGGAGCAATGGGCTCTCTTCGAGTATACGGTCCCGGTAATTTCCAAGCTCCAAGATATAGTCTCCTGGGAGCAGGCCCTCTAAGTCGATGTGCACTATGCAGTGCTGTATCACACATAGTGACCTTCCCCGGAAGCATCCTTCCTGACTGTTGGAGGCAGCTGTGGCCGCTATAGTACACACTGAACCTTGGTAGATAGCTCTCTTGTTGGCACACTCCCGATTCCAGTCCTCTTCGGTATCTTGATAGATGCATAGAGAATCTATCCAAAGATACCTTATTCCAAGGGAACGGCAAATGGTAACTGCATGCTGGAAAGAAGGAGGCAGAGTCGACGACCGGAATCCGGCTGCTAGATCCCTAGCACTTTCCGTAGTCAATGTCATAACTGGAGATGAACCCCAGCAATGACTCATGGCAGCGTACCGGTAAGTTGGTGGAAACGATTGGAGATTAGGGCTTTCGCGTTTTGGTTCTATCAGAAAGACATCATCGAGGCTGCTTGAACCGACGTCGAGTAAGCGAGTAGGTGGCTTCATGCTTATGTGAGCGGCTCGTATGCACGCTTTGTGTCCGTAAAGACACTGCTGCAGCCATCGTAAGGCTACCTCCATGCTGCTTTTTGATGACGTTTCGGTACTGGCAGGACCACTTAGGAAGGGGCGATGGAGATCATGGAGTTCTATGAATAACTTGTGTCAGTTAATAGTGTGTATCAGACACACGACACTTACCATTCATGCGTTGTAGCGTGTAAACGTCTTCAGTTCTAACCGGACCTCGCGAAAACCACACAACCACTGACACAATTATCACGAAACTTGTTGTGGATATCGAGTGCAATCTTAGATATGTGTGGGAAGTCTTTACGCTTCTAGCCGGCTCTACAAGGCGTTGTTCCTCAGGTATTCGTTTCCATAAGGTGTAGCATACATAACAGTCGGAGCTTACTGCCAGGCGAAAGCCTTCGAGCGTGGATAGGGTGGTTCTCTCCTTATTGATCTCCACCTTGTACCGAAAGACATCTTGACACATCTTGCACAGCATCCTATGAGTAGTGAGGCTGGAGAGTCTGAAAGCTAGACCTGGCCCGAAAGCGTTATAATAATTGAAAAAGCGAGATAAGGAGAAGTCTTAGTGTGTTCTCGCCTGACACTGCGATTTGTGGTCTGGGTGTCAGAGAGTCTTGGGTACTCGTAGATAGAATGTCGACTCCGCAACTAAAACTGGAGGGCCGCCAAGCCTGGTGGGAGATGAGTTCACCTTCGGGCCAAGGGCTACGTCAAAAATCCGTAGCGGCTTTTTAGCAAGGAAAAAGTGGCCACGAGTAATGCGCCAACGTACTTTTCGAATGACCCTTGGGGCTCTCAGGATTCATTCTCCGCAGAATCACATCCCATGGCTCAAAAATTGGGAGACAGTTCTCCTGTTCAACCGTTGATTTACTGTGTCAACCAGATCACCGAGAAGGAGAGCGCATGGTTCATGCACGTGCTTTTGCACCCGCAACAGCACATCAACACCATCCTGCACGACACATGAAAGCATGCTCCACCTAACTCTATGATTGGATCTTACTCATAATACGAAGATCCACGTTCTCTCTGCCTCCGAGGTCCTGCGACGGTCGCTAGAGATCCCGGCGTCAATTCATACGCAGGAGTTGACGCTCCACCCAACAACTTTCACATGCCAGAGCTTACAATAACTTAGGGTTGATAACGGTGATAGCAATGGCAGCCGTCAAAATGCTCAGAGCGCCTGTGAAGACGCTGTTGACACACACCAGTAATGCCAGAAGACGTGATACTCGCACGGTCGGCAGAACCGCATATGCCTACAAACACCATTGATCCTGAACGCTTCTCTGTAATGTATACCATACTACCGCCTATGGTACAGAGCCGTATACCCAAACTACCGTCGATAAGACAAGCAGTCGGCCGACTACGCAGATCCTCAAGCTATGCTTCGTCAATTTCAGACTCTACCGGGACACGGACACCTCCGCCTAGGTATAGCTCGAGGCCAGCAAGTGCGGGAGAGAATAGATGGTCCATGATATCGGACAGCGAGGCTGCAGAAATCTCCCATAACGACGAGGTAAATCTCGATCATCCCTCGTCGTCGCGCTCAACACCCCCTACGTTTCTGGTATCCGAGGATCAGAGCGGTATCAACTGGAAATACGCCAACCAAGGTAATAGCCATTCCAAACCATCCGTAGAACGTAATACTGACGGAAAGCAGGTCTCAGTCTCCTGACAGAAGCCTACCATGAATCCTTGTCCCTCTCCCGAAACCACGAGAACAGCCAACCATCTCTCAGCCGCCAACTCTACATGCACGGCCTGACCTACCTACTCCGCGGCCTGCCGAGCAACATGACCGCAGAGGAAAACCTAAGCATCCGCTTCGCCCTACCCAGCGGCATAGCCGAGTCACCAGCGCTGGATCCAACGACCGGAGCTCTGATCCCCGTCTACACGAACCCCACAGCATCGCAACCCAAAGATCAAAATCCCGAACCATCAATCGTCCACCGCATCCTCGCCTCCTCAATAGTCCACCTCTTCCTCCTCGCGCACCTAGTCCTGCCATACATCAAGCTCTTCCTTGGCCACGCCTACCGCTACGAGCGGGAGCACCGCATCTCGGAGCGCGTCTTCAGCACGTCGGTTAATGCGGTTGATGAGGTGGGGAAGCGCAGCTTGGCGCTTACGCAGACGGTGTGCGCGATGAATGACGGGAAGGTCGGGCAGATGATGAATGATGCGGCGGTCTGGTGGGTGAGGGGTCTGACGGGTGGGATACATGAGGGGGTTTCGGAGGGATTGGGGCTTGTGAAGGGGAAAGGGGGTTGAGGATACTAGACTGTAGCGACGTCGTCCTGATATCTAGGGCGAGCCGGAACTGAATAATTATGTTTTTATGACTTGTTGGCGTTCTGTCTCGGATACCCATCTCTCCTATCTCTAAACGGTTTGTAGATGGAAGGAAGACAGCTTTTGACAATCGTTGGAGTCTCTACGCGTTTAGCTGATACAAACTGTGCGCGGCTGTCAGAGTGGAAAATTCGGCATCAAGGTTGCTCGAAGCTGTCTCTCTCAGAAGCAGATCACGTGTTTCGCCCTAGCGCATCTCGCCGGCGACGGCTCCGTCTCATCTAGAGTCCGTGCAGCAAAAAGTTCATGAGCTGCCCGCGACGAAGCGCAACTCCCTATCATCTCCAGAAGCTTCTCCAGAACAGTCCGAATCATTTTGTTTTACTTGTCGCTCTTTCTGATACACTTGTAATCGATTGTCTGTTGTTCTCGAGATACCCAAGACGATATCGTTCGCCGCGCCGCCATAATGCTCGGAGCTCTACGCAGAAGTACCGCCTCTCTCCCTCGAACACTACCCACCTCGACATTATCCCTCGGCACCTCTGCGCGTGTATTCCAGTCGTCAGTAGCCCGACCAGTATGCAGGCAGTCGATATTACGGCTTCCTGCCGCCAGCCGAGCTTTTCACCAGAGCGTTCAGTGGCAACAGCATGCCGTACCGGCCGCTGAAAGAGCGGCCGTTGAGGCCGAAATCGAACAGGAAGTGGGTGCAGAAAGACCGTCGTCAGACATAGAGATAGCAGCATTGGGACCCGTCACGAAGTTTTACGAGCTTGAGACGCGGGGTCTCGTTCATCCCAATGTCGTCCGAACAATTACCAAGGAGATGCGCCTGGAGACGATGACCGAAGTCCAATCAAGGACAATCAACGAGGCACTGAAGGGCGTCGATGTGTAAGTCATGCTTAAACTCAAACCGATTGCGCGTAGCTAATCGATGCCAGAATCGCGCAGGCGAAAACGGGCACAGGCAAGACCATGGCTTTCCTCCTTCCCGTACTTCAGAGAATCATCAACGATGACCCGTCCCTCGCTGAGAGGGGCTTCACTGGACGTCGCAATCGGCCGAGCGCTGCAGACACTCGTGCTTTGATCATCTCGCCAACCCGAGAGCTCGCCGAGCAGATCGCAGCAGAAGCTCGTAGGCTTACCCGCAACACTGGCGTGGTGGTGCAAACAGCCGTCGGAGGAACTCAGAAGACCATGGGGCTGCGCATGATGCAGAACCAGGGCGTCCATCTCCTTGTCGGCACGCCAGGCCGGCTGAAGGACATCCTCTCAGACGAGTACTCCGGGGTCCAAGCGCCGAAGCTCAGTGCTATGGTGCTTGATGAAGCAGACAGGCTTCTCGATGATGGCTTCTGGCCTGAGATTAAGGAGATTCAGCGGTATTTGCCAGACCAGAAGGAGCGAGAGCGACAGACCTTGATGTTCTCAGCTACGGTACCCCGGGAAGTTGTCCAGCTTGTGCGCCAAACCCTGAAACCTGGATTCCACTTCGTCAAGTGCGTGCGTGACGATGAAGAACCGACCCACACTAGAGTGCCGCAGAAGGTCGTCCTTACTGGAGGTCTTGAGAACCGTTTCCCTACTCTGTACGAACTCATGAAGCGCGAGGTAGAGGCTGCCGCCAAGCCGGGTGCTCGTCCCTTCAAGGCCATCGTATACTTTAACTCTACTGCCGACGTTGAATTGGCGCACTCGATATTCAGAACCCTCCAAGGGTCTGCCCGCCGAGGGCCTCTGTACCCTGCCCAGATCTTCGAGATTCATGGCAAGCTCTCCCAGCAGCAGCGTACGCGCTCGTCGGACCGCTTCCGTGAATCCACGTCTGGCATTTTGCTCTCGTCGGACGTCACCGCACGTGGTATGGACTTCCCGAACGTCACGCATGTCATACAGGTCGGGCTACCGACATCACGCGATACCTACGTCCACCGTATCGGACGCACAGCCCGTGCTGGGAAGGAGGGCGAAGGCTGGCTCATCCTGTCCGAAATCGACCGACGAGAACTCCGCTCAAGGCTCAGGGACCTACCTCTGAACGAAGACACCTCACTCCAGACCGCCAAAGTGGACATGACCGAGGAAGGACAGATCCCGGAGAGCGTCGCTCAAATCTTGGAGGATGTTGGTAACGCGTTCCGCGACGCCGACCCGGCCGAATTGGCTAATGCCTACCGCGCCTACATCGGTACTTACGGCTGGTACCCTGACAAGCAGCGCATGGTGGACGCTATCAACGACCTGGCGAAGTTTGGATGGGGCCTCGAGCGGACTCCGAAACTCTCGTCAGGGACTGCTCACAAGTTGGGCTTGTCGCGTGTGAAGGGCTTGAACCTTGGTAGTGACCCAGCAGGTGGATTTAATGATCGGGACAGGAGTTCGGACCTGAGTGGCCGCTCATCGAGGTTCGACCGAGGGGACAGAGGGTCCAGTGGCGGTCGCTCCTTTGACCGCAGCTCTAGCGGTGGTGGGAGATCATTTGATCGCGGCTCCGGTGATAGTGGGCGCTCTTTTGATCGCGGATCTGGCGGCAGGGATCGCTTCTCGAAGCCAGCTGGTCATTCGAGAGGAGGTGTAAGAGGTGGAGGGTTCGGTAGGGACAGGAGTGAAGGTTCATTCGGCCGTGGCGGAGACAGGGGCGGCTACTCGGGCAGGCTCTCGGAGTACTAGAGGGGATCTCATGGGATGTGGAAGTTACTCTCGGCTTTGGCTGTATATTGATGTACTATAGAGGACGGTTTGGGATCTTGCATGTAGGCTGGTGGGTCTTCGGCGGACGGCGTACAGATGGAACGGGATGTTTATGGGTTCTGTAGCATCTCCAATCTCAAAGAGACGTTCTCCGGTTCTGAAAAATGTTCCGACTGAATGAGAATGTGTTTTGCCTCCTCTTTGCGACACCTCCGTTGTCACATGATCGCTCTGTCCCGACGCAAAGTCCGCGGCGAACGGTGGATCGCAAGGCAATCCCGAACATCCCCCCGCTTGCTACGCCATCAAGCTTAAAAGCATACCTACAACGAAATACACTTGAACAACACTATCGCCGCCGCTCACTCAGATACCGGATCTTGCAACAGCAGCTCGAACGCTCGCCCACCATGTCGACTTCCGCTCGCCGCCGCCTGATGCGGGACTTCAAGGTACGATCACTAAAGCACACGACACTTGCCTCCCGCTCAGCGCTGCGATACATAAGAATCTCGCGGCGCAGTATGGACAAGGGCAAACACCAGGAAAGTGAAGGCTCAAAAGCTAACATCCTCTGCTCGAACAGCGCATGCAAACCGACCCTCCTGCCGGTGTATCCGCCTCTCCCATCGCCGACAACGTTATGACCTGGTACGACCATAGCGCCAGCAACTCCCTTACCCACTTCGCTAACCCGAAACTCCCTGCAGGAACGCAGTCATCATCGGTCCCTCAGACACCCCCTTCGAAGACGGCACCTTCAGACTAGTGATGCACTTCGAGGAAGCCTACCCCAATAAGCCCCCCGGCGTAAAGTTCATCAGCCAGATGTTCCACCCCAACGTCTACGGTACGGGCGAGCTGTGCTTGGATATTTTGCAGAATCGGTGGAGTCCGACGTACGATGTTGCGGCGATCCTTACGAGTATCCAGAGGTAGGTTTTTACGTGATGAGGGGCGATGAGGGGTTTGGGGGCAAGACATGGCTAAGCTTTTGCGGGTAGTCTGCTGAACGATCCGAACACCTCGTCGCCGGCGAACGTGGAGGCGTCGAATTTGTATAAGGATAACCGGAGGGAGTACACGAAGCGCGTAAGGGAAACGGTGGAGAAGAGCTGGGAGGATTGAGTGCGGGGCTTGCTAAGGTTGCTGAGATTGCGGAGCGGCATTTGAGATGCTCGGAGTCTTATCTTTGGACAGGCGTTCGTTCTACGGATAATTATAGGCGTCATCGGCGGATTGAGCATGGCGTTGTGGGAAGCAGACCTCTTTGGCTGCGATAAACTGGATGCTTTACTTTACATGACACTCGTCCATAGCATGAACAAATCACACCAGTCGTTCATAGCCAAAACAACACGTCGAGATTGACTTTGACTTTGGCACCACTTTGACACATGTGCGCCTTCTGGTTCGCCCGAGAAACGCTTGCGGCGATCTCCCCCGCCAAGCCTGTCAACATCAAGTCAACAGCAGAACCCCGACACTCTGAATCTGCGCCGACGACTCCCACCACCCCTTCTTTTGCCCTTCTTTGCGCCGCTTAGCCCAGTGTGTCACAGTCGCTACCGGGCTGCTGTCGACTCGCTTATAGATACCGATTTCTAGACGCAGAAGTTTTGCTCGAGCAAGCCTTACCCGCCGTGCAGCGTGCATACCCCCGGATTGGGAAACGCGAGCATTCGCCCTGGAGAAGTGGCGCACGATTAGGGATAACAACAGCCCTACGAAAGACCCGCGACGTCTGGGAGAGGAGGCGTTAGGAGAGTCACCGCTACCTGGCCGCCGGGCCTTTGCCCGCATATACAGTTGCAAACATGGCGTAAGTTTTTGGAAAGGGAGAATATACAATGTTACGGGAGAGCGACAGTTGCTAACGCGACATGCGACAACCAGGAGCTACAATACCATCAAGGGTAACCACACGCACTCAGCACACGTGTATCAAGAAGACGCTGATCATGGATCGACGCAGTGGTTGCGCGCTTCCGGCCGCAGAACAAGCTCGAGATCGCGAGCGGAGGAGAGCCTATGGTGGAGTTCGACACAGAAGACACGTGTAGCATACAAGTACGCACTATGGCCTCGTCTCGCCCTCAGACTCCCCTCCCCCATTTCCCTCAGTACGACTAACATCCCCCCAACAGTCCAGAGAGGCCGCCGGGGCCTTCACCTTCGACCGCGTCTTCGACATGACATCCCGCCAATCCGACGTGTTCGACTTCTCGATCCGCTCAACCGTCGATGACATCCTAAACGGCTACAACGGCACCGTCTTCGCCTACGGGCAGACAGGCGCGGGAAAATCCTACACGATGATGGGCTCGGACATCGACGACGACATGGGCAAGGGCATCATCCCGCGCATCGTCGAGCAGATCTTCGCCAGCATTTTGGCCAGCCCGGGGAACATCGAGTACACGGTGCGTGTCAGCTATATGGAGATTTACATGGAGAGGATAAGGGATTTGCTGGCGCCGCAGAATGATAATTTGCCGGTGCATGAGGAGAAGAGCAGGGGGGTGTATGTCAAGGGGCTGCTGGAGATATACGTCTCGAGCGTGCAGGAGGTGTATGAGGTCATGCGGCGAGGCGGCATGGCAAGGGCTGTCGCGGCAACGAATATGAACCAGGAGTCTTCGCGGTCACACTCGATTTTCGTCATCACGGTCACGCAGAAGAACGTCGAGACTGGGTCGGCGAAGAGCGGGCAGCTATTCCTAGTCGATTTGGCGGGCAGCGAAAAAGTCGGCAAGACAGGCGCAAGCGGACAGACGCTAGAGGAAGCGAAGAAAATCAACAAATCCCTGAGCGCGCTGGGAATGGTTATCAATTCCCTCACCGATGGCAAATCTACGCATATCCCTTATCGAGACTCCAAGCTCACGCGTATATTACAAGAATCACTGGGCGGCAACTCGCGGACTACACTTATCATCAACTGCTCGCCCAGCAGCTACAACGACCAGGAGACACTCAGCACACTGCGGTTCGGTGTAAGAGCGAAAGCGATCAAGAACAAGGCCAAGATCAACGCGGAACTCAGCCCCGTGGAACTCAAGGCCCTGCTCAAGAAGGCACAATCGCAGGTCACGACGTTTGAGAACTACCTATCTACTCTGGAAGGTGAGGTGCAGGTGTGGCGGAGCGGCGAAAGCGTGCCGAAGGAGCGATGGACGCCTTCGTTATCTCAGGATACCAGCGTTGGCAAGAGACCACCCCCACAACGTGCCGAGACCCCCTCAAGGTTGCAGGAGGCGCGAAGATCGGAGACGCCCTCGAGACCAGATTCGCGGATGGAGCTCGACCGGTCAAGCACACCGAGCGCCATCCTGGAGAAAGACGAGAAAGAGGAGTTTCTGCGGCGGGAAAACGAGCTGCAGGACCAGCTTGCAGAAAAAGAGTCACAGATCGCCAATGCGGAGAAAGCGCTCAAAGAAGCGCGAGAAGAGCTTCAATTCCTCAAAGACAACAACTTCCGGACGAGCAAAGACAACGAGCGCCTCAACGGCGATGTCAACGAACTCAAGATGCAGGTCGAAAAGATCAACTTCGAGACCAAGGAGGCGCTAATCACGATGGACGGCCTAAAGGAAGCGAACTCAGAGCTTACAGCCGAGCTCGACGAGGTGAAGCAGCAACTTCTCGACGCCAAGATGAGCGCGAAAGAGACAAGCGCCGTCCTCGACGAGAAGGAGAAGAAGAAAGCAGAGCGCATGGCGCACATGATGGCCGGCTTCGACCTGGGCGGCGAGGTCTTCAGCGACAACGAGAGGAGCATACGGCGAGCCATCGAGCAAGTCGACGCCCTGCATGAAATCAGCGCGGCGGGTGATGCGATTGCCCCCGACGAGTTCCGCGACCTGCGACAAAGGCTGTTCGAGACGCAGGGTATTGTGCGACAGGCGGAGCTCTCGGTCAACGAGCGCGGCGAGCAGGACGAGACGCACCACCAGCGGATGGAGGCGCTGGAGCACCGGCTTGCGAGCGTGCAGCGGGACTACGAAGCGCTGCTTGAGCGGAAGCTCGGCGATACGGATATTGAGGAGGTCAGGTCTAGGTTAGCCGACGCTTACGCCGCACGGCAGGACGGCGAGGTGGAGATTGTCGATGAGCTGCGAGAGCATCTGAGCAGGAGGCTCGACGAGAATCAGAAACTCAAGTCGGAGATCGAGGCACTTCAGCAGCGGCTGAAGAACGGAGCGGCGACAAACGGCATCGGCTCGATGGGCGCGAATGGCAAGACGGTTCAGCAGCAGATTGCGGAGTTTGACCAGATGAAGAAGAGCTTGATGCGGGATCTCCAAAACCGGTGTGAACGCGTAAGTCCAACTCCCTTTCTCCCCTTCCCCATTCCCCATTCCCCCTCCCTCCCCCAACTCACCTCCTCCCACACCCACATACTCACCCCACCCCCACAGGTCGTCGAGCTGGAAATCTCCCTCGACGAAACCCGCGAACAATACAACAACGTGCTGCGCACGTCCAACAACCGCGCCCAGCAGAAGAAGATGGCCTTCCTCGAGCGCAACCTCGAGCAGCTGACCGTCGTGCAGCGGCAGCTAGTCGAGCAGAATAGCAGCCTGAAGAAGGAGGTCGCGATTGCGGAACGTAAGCTCATTGCGCGGAATGAACGGATTGGGAGTTTGGAGGCGCTGCTGCAGGATTCGCAGGAGAAGCTCACGGCGGCGAATCAGAGGTATGTGTGTCCCTGCACTCTTGACGCCCACTGCTCTTCTTTTATTAGTTCAGCATCCTCGCCGAGCCTTCGCTTACCAACTCCACCCCACAGATTCGAGGCCCAGCTCACGGCGGTAAAAGCACGCCTCGAGGCCGCCAAGGTCGGCGTCGCAAGGGGAGCGCTTCCTGGCTCTCCGACCTCGACGGCGAGTTTCGCTTTCGGCGGCGCGGGGCCCAGGATCGCGAAACCACTAAGAGGAGGCGGTGGAGATGCGCCCATGCCGATGGTGCCCACGCTCGGGAGTCTGCAGCAGCAGGAGGTCGGCGGGGCGAAAAGGAGTAGTTGGTTTTTCAATCAGAGGTCGTGATCGCGTCTCTTGTGCGGATGGGCTATAGTCATTCTTTGGAAGAAGGATTGCGGCGTTCGATGGCTGCATTGGGGTTGTCTATATTGGAGATAGGTGTGCATTTGGGCGTGCGGATGCCACGGGGCATGGGATGGGTTGGGCGATCAGGAGAATATCCGCTTCGTGTTCTTAGAATTGGGTCAGCGGATAGGCTGGGCCATTTGACTGACCGATCAACGCTTCGATTCAAACGATCCGCTTGTTCGACTCGCTCACGCGATGGCATGTCTTGATGCGGGTTTCATATCCCGTGTGGCTTCTCCAGGGCATGCTGCGGAAGCCCCTTAAGCCCTCCCTAACCCAAACCTCAGTCCCTGACTCTATCCACCATTTCCTCCCCTTACTTCACCTCCCCTCCTCCCACCACCGATCCAGCACATCCTGCCTCACCTCCCACGCCCAATGATGGCACGTCTGATGCACAACCGGACTGACCTCTTTGCTCTCCCCACTCTCCTCCCCCTCATCCGCCACGCTCCTGATCCCCAATGCAACATACTTCTTCAGCAGCGTCCTCCGCCACCGCCCGCTCTCCCCAACACACCTCGCCCACCTCCCCACCTGCCTCTCGTCATCCTCGCATCGCCGTCCCTGGAAGAAGCGGACGTACCACTGGAACCAGCCGCGGATGTCGTGGGCGGGATTTATCCAGCCGGCGGCCTCCCAGGCCTCGATTGGCTGGCCGGCGGATACTCTGTACTTATTTACGTCGGGCCGGTAGGTCTCGCTGGTTAGGTAGGTTGCCACGTCTAGCTCGGCGGTCCAGGACGAGGGCAGCTCGCGCCAGTCGTCTTGGATCGTCAAGCCCAGCGCCGCGGAGTGGAGAGGCCGGAAGTAGGAGCCGCCGAAGGAGCCTTCGCGCAGCATCTCCTCTGGCGACTTGTTGGGCAGAAAGTCAGGATAATTTTCGAAGTGAAAGGTGCCGTTTTCGTCGCGTGTCGGTGGCGGGCCGGTGGGCGTCCATGAAGTCCAGCGGGCGCGAAGCGCGTCGATGTCATCGGCGGCGTGGTTGGATGAGGACTCGTCTGCGCTGGCGGCCGCTTCGGCGTCCGAGGAGGTAGTCAAAGCGATTTGGGGAGTTGCTTTTCGCTGTGATCGCGTTTTTTGCCCGGATGATGTTGGCGAAGGTGGTGCGTCTTCATTGTAGGTCGGCTTTGTGGTCGCGGCTGCTATGCGCGTCGACGTGCGGGTCGGAAGCGGTGCGGCGCGTGGGGAGAGTTTGCGCCGCTTTGATGGTGGCTGATCTACTTTTGTGGAAGTTTTTGGCGCTGTCTCGATTCCCAGTTGTTGTACGAGGGCTTGGTTGCGCTTGATGTTCTCGAGGCGGCGGGCTTCGTAGGAGTTCATTGTATGGGGAGCGCGTGTACCGTGGTGGCTTGCACGCGTTGATAAAGTAGCTGGGCTCGGGAAAGCATGACGTCAGTCACAAGGCTTAGGTCGGCATGCAGGATCAAATGAAGCGTGCACAGAAGGGATGGTATCTCTTCTACGGAACGTTCATCAACGTCAGGGGCAGTGTGTACAGATCATCTTGGTGCGGCACAACACAACGATGCATGTATCGAACATTCCTCAAAGACAGATAGTAGTCACAACGATGATGATGAGTTTGAGTGCATCGCGTTACCATACCAATCTCTAACTATGTACAAGTTCGCACCGTCTCTCGTGTCATACAGGATACTCATAAACCGCCGCTCCTCTCAAGCAGGTCGAAGCCGTAACAGACCGCACGCCATACTACCATCCACGCTCAAGCAATCTGGCCCCTGAAAGCACCCGGCACAGCCAAGCTCGAATGTGCGTCGCAGAAGAAGCCAGCCGGGTTCGCCACGATCTGCCTGACATGGAAAGCAGCACCAGTATCAACACCGCCGGGCATGACGCCCGTCCTGAATGGCCCGGTCTGGCAGCCGACAGTGTTCCTGACGTTCGGGTCAGAAGTGGCGACCGGGTTGGGGAACGCGATCCTGGGTGGGCCCGAAGCGCCACGGGCCGCCTCGTGGAGATGGGTCGCCGTGATGGCGAGGGACTGGTACTCGCCGCGGAAGTTGTAGATGGTGATGTTGTAGCAGATGGTGTTCGTGTCGGTGTTGAGACCGAGGAGGTAGAGGCCCGAGGAGCCCGGGAGGCCGCCGGTGGGCGTCGTGCCGTTGACGACCTGATCGGGGGTCGCGACGACGGAATAGGTGTTCGTGAAGGTGAAGGGGACGTTCATGGGAGGGCAGTTCGCTGGGTTCGCGCCGGTGCCGGGCGGGTACTTGACGTTCTCCCAGCCGCCAGGTGGTGCCGGGTAGTGGATGGATTCCCAGCCGCCTTTGGGTGGGCCATACTCGATGGGAGTGGCGGTAGCGCCGAGGACGAGGAGGGTAGAGGTGATGAGAGTGGCCTTCATGGTTGTTGATGTGGTGTGTCGGTAAGAGATTGTTGAATGGAGGGTGATGTTCAGGAACAGAAGTTTGCGTTTGGAGATTAGAGCGATTGAAATTTGAAGGTGAGGAGTGAGTGCTGTGAGTGAATGATGGAGGAATGTAACTGAGTACCATGGCGGTATTTATATGCGACATCCTCCTCATTCCTTCCCGGGTGCTGCCCAGAAACGAAGTTGCCCGCCTTGGATTTGCAATGGAAATTGGCAAGAACTGCTTGGCCAAGGTGGGCCAACATTGGTCGAGCTCAAGATGTGACTGCTGGGCCACGACAGTCTCATGACGGTCGCCAGGACGAAGCCACCTGGATCGGGCATTGACCGTCCATGAACGGCAACATTCAACATTGGCAGCGCGCACGGAAGCAGACTAGCAGGCGGAAAGGCAGCATCCGCGGTCTTAGTACTGTTTACCATAGCCGAATCTGGCAACGGTGCTGTGGAATGTTCCGGGAGGCGCAGCAGCAGCGCAGCAGCAGGGCAGCAAACGTGCATCTGGCAGACGTCGAGGGCTGGCCAACGCCAACAAGTGCCCTGATCCGTGTGGAGGGTTTGCGCGGGAAGGTGCACCAGCATGCAAGCCACTGACGATCGTGGAGATTTTCAGACGATCCTGCGAGCGGGACGCGCCTAGTGGGAAGCCTATTTCTAAGCTTAAACATCTTTTGGAATGGCGGCCAAAGGTGAGTCCTCTGGCTGAACATTGGATGCGCTCGTGGAAAATCGCTGACTGTTATTGGTACAGAGGATGCGCTTGACAACACGGAGAAGCGAGTAGTTCAGGTAGTTCAGAAATGTGTCACTAACTGTCCAACCACATCTGGATCCATTGCGACTCCGCAAGCGCGCCTTGAGGGGTACTTTCGTCAGCGGCCATGATACTGGGCGCGACCCAAGGCCCTTCATGAACAGCGCACTTGGCAGGCTGCTTGTCTTTGTCCATATCAATGATGTACCTAGTCGCACGGTTGTCAGTGAGCCTGGCGCGGCAGCAGTCTTCACTAGTCCAGTGCTGGTAAAAATAGTCCGAGACCATCTCACATCTCAACGCCCAGGCGTAGATCCCAATAGTGTGGTTTTCGACGGCTGGTCGACTTCCGCTGCGGGGTCTGCGGAGTGCATTCAAGGATCGCCAGAACCAAGGTACGGTCGCCCAGGGTGCCATCAGATGTGATCCAGCGGTCTAGATTGATTGCTAGGCTGTCGCATCGTCACACCGACAACGCAACTCCAGTGTGACTCGACCCAAACCGCGCGAGCTATCTCTTTTGTCTCTAACAGACACATTACCGCCTGAAGCGGCGACGGGAAGGAGAGTCCTGAAAAGGTGTTTAATAGCTCGAACACCTGGATAGGCGCAGAAAGCTGTGGTAGTATTATCGCATATATCAACCACTCAACAGGTCCACGACAACAGCCGGAATCCTTTCCACACCTTCGGCCTTGATGGCGCTGACCGGCACAGCGCTCGGACGATCCTTCCAAGCATTCTTCTTCCCGCTCGGATGAGCCACCGTGCCGTCGCGCACTGCAGCCAGGTAAGACTGAAGTGCTGCAAAATTCTCCTGTGTCTCTGGCAGATCCGCCTTCGTAGCAACGACAAACCACGGTTTCGAAGTGATCGGTGGCAGCGTAAGGGGAGGAAGCGGCATCTCGGAAGCATCAGCTTCGAAAACCTCAGGGTCTCCAAAGGTGTCACTTTCGAATTCTGAGGTAGCGCGATTGACCAGCGGTTTCCAGTCCACTAGCCGCTTTTGAGTCTCCGCGTTGATCTCCTCGTTTCTGAACGTCTCATACTCGCCGACCTCCCTCCAGAGCGCGCGCAGAGCTGCTACAGAGTCTCCAGCTGAGAGGTCGACCACAAAAGCGAGCACAGCTGCGCGCTCAATGTGTCGCAGGAACGAGAGGCCAAGGCCCTTGTCCAGATGGGCATCCTCAATGACTCCAGGTATATCTGCAATGGTGAAGTTCGTTCTCGGGTCGCCCCTTCGACCTGCGGTAATCATTGGCCGACCCTTGTGACTGTCCAACACCACAGTACCGATATTCGGCTGCAGCGTCGTAAACGCCCAGTCGCCGACTCTGGCGCGACTGTTCGTCAAAGCTCTCAGCAACGTGCTTTTACCCGCATTGGGCAGTCCGACAAGTCCGACGTCAGCCAGCAGCTTGAGCTCCAGCTGGACGTGCAGACTCATGCCCGGCTCGCCCTTCGTCGCAATTTTCGGCCTCGGCATGTCCGTAGAAACGAAATGCGTGTTTCCCAGCCCACCCAACGCGCCCGCCGCAAGCAACATCGGCTGCTCCATCGGCTTATCCAAATCCAACTGCACCGGCGCTTTCGGCTGTACGAGCGCAAGGTTCGAGCGTCTCGGACCTGGGTGTTTGGGAAACTCCATATTCCTGAACTCAGAGGGTTGGCTGCCTGGATACAGCATCCACTGATCCCGCCGATACTGCCCCTTCACAGCCCCATCCTCCTCCGCCCGTTTCGCCTTGCGGCGCTCGCTATACGCGCGCGCCTCCTCTTCTGCGACCGGGTCTCTGCGCCACACCTCCCGTAGAACAGTCCCAACCGGCACGGTGACAAGCACATCCCCTCCCCTCTCGCCGCCCCGGTTCTTGCCGGCGCCGTTCTTGCCCGCTCCGGCTTTGAGTATGCCTCGCCGGGCGAGCTTGTGCAGTGATGTCTCGCCACGCACGGCTTGTATGTAGATGTTGCCCCCAGTACCGCCATCACCGCCGTTTGGTGGGCCGGCTGCTATGTACTTCTCGCGCAGGAAGGAGATGCAGCCGTGGCCGCCGGCGCCGGCGTGGAAGGTGATGGTGCAGCGGTCGGTGAACGGGGTGAGGGCGTAGGAGTCTGGTGATGGGTCGAGGCGCTCCAGGTCCTGTGGTGGTTTTGATGGCGGAAGTATATCTTGGCTGTTGCTTTGGCTTGCTACGGTGGTGTTGAGCCTGTGTTGGCAAGCCGGGACGTGGTGGCGCGCTGCATGCCGTAACGAGCGGAGGAGCTGCTTGTTAATAGAGGGATAAAGGAACGGTGTTAATGTCCCGCTGATCAAGCAGCCACTACTCCGTACCGACGGCATTTGAGGTGAGGTCTAATGGATCTCCTGATTGCATTGTCCGCAGACATTCACAAATCTTGGCGCTCGGAACAAACCGACGCGCTTATTCGGACACGCGCCCATTCGGGTCGTGCCGAGGCTTCTTTCACCACCTTCCCAGACAGGAACCTTCACGCCCCCCAAAGTAAAGGTCGCCGTATTTTCACTGGTCATGTGGGTGATAGTACAGTAAGACACACGGACTACTTGTGTCGCCAGAGAGGATGCTGCTCCTTTCTGCATACCCTCCGAAACTTGTTCGGAGACTAACCAGCCAGCACTAACGTCCGCATCATGGTGGTCTCAATCGCTCGTCTGGCACTTTCCCCTTACATGACGGGGGCTGCGCTTCTCATCCTTCGCTATGGACCGGATTCTGTTCGAGAAGAGCTTACCCGGTTCCTGGGAAACAACTTGCACCTCCTGAGCACTAGCTTGAAGTGGCTGCTCGCTCTTGGGCTCACCTCCAAGGTCAACAGTCTGCTCAGTCGATGGGCGGAGAACAAGTGGATCTGGAAGAACGGCAAGACTGCTTGGAGATGGGAAAACGAAGTCGCTGTGATCACTGGAGGCTCCAATGGCATCGGTGCCCATGTCGTCCGGCGTCTGGTATCAAGGGGTGTCAAGGTTGCTGTGCTTGACATCCAGCCCTTGAGTAAGGACCTCGAAGACTGTAAGTTATTCTGCTTCAGGGACCCAGAAGCGACGGTCTCCACGCCAGCCGCATCTTCGAGCGGTCACATGACCTTATATCAGAATCTGGATGTTGACATAAGCACAGCGAAGAACATCCACTACTACAAGTGCGACATCGCTTCCCGCGAGGCAGTCCAGCAAGCCGCCGAAGCCATCCGCTCCGATCTCGGGAACCCAACCATCCTTATCAACAACGCAGGCATGGGAACGCCAGGAACCATCCTCGACCAATCATCCAAGGATCTCCGCACAATCTTCGACGTCAACCTGATCAGCCACTTCTATACCGTCCAAGAATTTCTCCCCTCCATGCTCGCGCAGCGAAAAGGCCACATCATAAGCGTCGCCAGCCTCGCCAGCTTCGCCGCCGCCGCAGGAATGGTCAACTACGCATGCACCAAAGCGGGCGTGCTCGCCTTCCACGAGGGGCTGAACCAGGAGCTCAAGCATCGCTTCCAGTGCCCCGAGATCAAGACCACGGTTGTGCATCCGGGCTGGACGCGGACGAATCTGACGGCGCCGTTGGAGGGAAATATCAAGAAAGCGGGGATCGTGATGTTGGATTCGGAGGTCGTGGCGGATGGGATAGTAGGGCAGATCTTCAAGGGCGAGTCGGCTCAGATTATCTTGCCGGAGAATATGAAGAATGCGACTGGGTTGAGGGGCTGGCCGACTTGGTTGCAGGAGTTGTTAAGGGACAAGTCGAAAGACATTACTGTTCTTACTCAGTAGGCGTGCACAGTAGAGGCAAGCGATAAGGCAGGGTCTAAAAGATCGCAACTGATCGACTGATTGAAGATATCGGAAGGCCTCCAAGAGGCAGGGCGCTAGACTTACCAGGATTTCAGAAGTATGTATTCCATAGCATTCTACATCAAAACAGCGCTTAATAAAACGCAGTTGCAATCTAAATCATGCAGTGTTCAGTAGTGACAGCGGCCTGTGATATGTTTGACGTCTTTCGTGTTGGTGGCTGCGGTCCGAAATAGACATGCGCCGTGCGAGGCTGTGTGGGTACCTGCAGCGGCGGCGCAGCCCCACGAAGGAAGAGGCAGACAACTAAACTTACCTTTGCTCTTAGGGGCGCATTTATTCTTTTGAGGCGATTTATTATAACAATGATGTCTGTTGGATGCGCAATGCCGTTTCTCTCCTCTGTCGATTTCGCAGCGACAAACTCTCTCCCTCCACGTCAGCATTCTATTCTTAACCCATGCATTGCTAAACTCTTGGGTATACTAAGTATACAGAGTAATACAAGGCCACTCTAGTTCTTGGAATAGCAGCTTGGATGCCGTACATGAGGCCGCGGCATACCAAATACATCGTAAGTCGTCCCACTTGGGCTCACAGTTATTCTTTCTCTAATACTCGCTTTAGTACAACGCAACCGCCTAGCCATCCGCCCACTGAACAGTTTCAAATCTAAGATTACATCGCTCGAAGGTGGCATTGTCAGTGCCGTGGAGTCCGAAACCTGTTAGATCTTCCGCCATCCTGCCGGTCAATCGCACCGTGTTTCACAGTCTACCAGGTTGCTCTATCGTACCGCATGCAGAAAACGAGGACGGCAACGATCCAGGAGTTCCAAACATTGGAAATCTTTCTTGTCAAGGACTCTCCTCGGAGTAGCCCTTACCACGGGAGCACTTCGTGCAGGCTTCGCAGAAACACTTAGGCGGTCGATAATATGAGCGCGTCGATGAGCGAACTCGCCGCTATATCGCTGTCCTTTCCTCAGGCGTTCCCATCCGTATGAGAATACCTGCATCAGTGACGACCACCCGTATACTACCAGGCCTCGTTCCCATTGGGATTCGTCCATCATTGTCAACGAGATGATATTCAGCACACCCACCTTTGTCTTGGTCCTTGGGGGTTGGAACGCTTCTTCCCCGTCTCACAGCGCGTTGGCTCCAACGGGTTATCCATCAGCACCTGTAATGATAGGGTCATCTCCGTCACTCACGACTATATCTTCGCTATCTTCCTCTTCCTCTTTGTACCCACTAAGACCGGCTCCGAGAGATAATCTTACTGTCATATCACCCAGTAGTGTTCCTCCAGCGCCAACAGTCTCTGATCCATCCTGGTCATTTCCACCGTCCATTTCGTCCACTCTTATTCTCTCCTCACCCAGCAGCAACTTCTCGGCCGCCACTTCCTCCACCCTCTCAACCCTCATCAGTTCGTCGCTACCCACCACCCAAGCTCCTCTCTCCGACACCGCTACCGCCAGCCGGACCTCCACCCCAGCAAGCCCCTCGACCAGCACATCCAGCACGTCGACCATACCCAGCACATCCAGTCCCCCCAGCACACCCGCCCCCTCCACTACCTCCAGCACAGCGTCCACAACATCCAGCTTCCTCCAGCCTCTCTACCCAGGCGGAGCTCGCGCCGTGCTCGCAACAGGCCTCTCAGGCGCCACTCTCCTGCTCCTCGCCGCCCTGCTCTACCTCCTTCTCCAGCGCCGGCGAATCGCCGCCGCACGCCGCAAAGAGGCGCGCTGCTACCCCGAAGAGGCGTGGTTGTACGATCCGCCCATTCTCAGGCGGCCAGGGCGTGCGGGGAGGGCCGCTCCGGAGGGACTGGGGCTCGGAACCAACATGATCGGAACGGTGGAGCAGGAACCAGGATCGCGTGGTCCAGCGATAGCGCGTGCGGGGAGTCGGCGGCCGCCTCCCCGCTCTCCTGCGCGAGAATCCCGCTACAGTTCCTTACCGGGCACTGTTGCAGAGGGCGCCGCCGCGCCTGAGCCTAGTAGCGCGCGAATGGAGTTGGGGTCGCGGAGGAGCGACGCGTTGGCGCCGATGCTGAGTACTTCAGACACAAGAAACTTGGGGAGTTGGAGTCCTGTGTCCCCCAGGTCGGAAAGTTCAGTGTATGAAGGGGAGTTGGCGGACGAGGGGCTCCTTCGCGCTGACGTATGACGCTTTTCGATGCGTGGTGCATTGTGCAGCCACTATGGGAATACCTCTCTGGATTCTGTTCTGTCTCTCGAGGTGGTATCAAGTATGCGAGTAGTGCTTCAAACCCCTTAGGGGCTATTACCCCTGGACGACTAAGAGAGAGCATAGACATTAGCCGCATTCGATGAAGATAGTACGAGAATCCATGGGTCATGAATCCGAGTCGGGAGGCGAGGAATAGCTGCGTACCAATGCAGGTCACAAACATCCAGTATAAAACCCTGAATCGTTTCAGTATACCTACCCTAACCTATGATACCTATCTACCCCGCTTAGAAACGATGCAAACCGTAACCTTTACTTCGCCTACCAGGCCTTCCAATTTCGATGTTTTCAAGGGGGTAAACAAAGGGGCTTTTGAGAAGAATACAGATACACGCTCAAGCAGAAGAAGTCCACAACAACCCGTAAACCACCTCCACTTTCCCCGTTTATGATCCTTCGTTCTGCACACACCGACCATGCCATTATCTCATGCCCATCGTACCGATCCGAGACCGCTAGACTCTCGGAGACTGTTAAACTCCACTCCCTCTCCCGAGATACAAACTAGGCATCTTCTTCTTGATGCTCGGACAAGCCTCTCCCGCCACGCCACCTCTTCAAGCGCTATTAAAGATCGGCCCACCAATCTCCTCACGCCTGCCAAGGTCCTCAGCTCTGCCAGAGCCCTCCGACCTATCAAGGCCCGAAGTCCTGCCAAAGCCCTCAGCGCGGTCGTAGTCCTCAGCCCTGCCAAGGCCCTCGCCACCAACCGGCTCCTGGCGGGGCGCAGTCGGGAAGTCATCAGCGCGGACGGAGCTGGAGCTGTTGTCCGAATCGCCCTTCATCGCCTCCGGAGAAGTCTGGCGGCTAGCACGACGCTTGGCCTGGCCGATAAGGTCCTGAGCTTTGTGGCTGTACTCATCAGCGTAGGTCTTGACGGTCTCGGTGGCGCGGCTGGTCTGCTGGGCGGCGGCCTCGCGCATCTGGTTCGTCTGGCGGCGCACGATTTGGCCGGTGCGGTTCAGCTGCTCGTCGATGACGTCCTTGTTCTTGACGTAGATGAGAGGGGCAAGGTAGATGATGGAGGTTGCAATGAGCGAGAGGCCCCAAAGAGGGACGACCTTGATGAGGAAGTAGGAGATCAGGGCCGAGGCAAAAGCCTGCACAGAAGATAGGTTAGCAACTGTGACGGTCATGCGGCGGTTGGAGGAATGCCTTACAGCAAGCGTGACGTAGACGTTCTCGGCGAAGATTATCCGCTGGAACTCGATGACGAAAAAGTTGATCAATTGCTCGATGTCGTCGGTGAAGCGCTCAAGAGAGGCCTTGTCGACCGTGTAGTACTTGCGAGGGCGGATCTGAGTAGCGAAACCATTGCCAAAGGCAGCCTGGCCGAGGATTTCGGCTGCGGCGGTAACTAGAGATGATCAGCATGCTGTGCCAATCGATCGTAACGTCACTTGGACCTACTGCCAGTGACGATGTAGGCGCCCTTGAAGAACCAACGGAGGATGGGCAGGTATCGAGTAGCGAAGATGAGAAGGACGGACACAAGGAAGGAGATGGCGGTGGCGCGAGGATTTCTCCACTAGATCCTATTAGCGCAAGGCATGGAGCAGACCACCGCAGAAGCTTACGCTCAAGAGCCGGTAGAACATGGAGTGGTAGTCTATGCTTTCGTCAGGCCTCAGCTTTCCTGTCCGTGTTTGTATGGCACCTACGGGTCAACGGCTGGCCAGTAGCGGCCGGCTGGTCAGGAGTCGTGCGAGCATCGGCAAGATCACGGAACTCTGAGGAAGTCTTGGCGGACTGCTCCTTGACATTCTGCGCAACGGGGCCTGAGAACCGTCAGTGTTGTCATTGGGTGATGAGGTCGCGAGGGTTCTGTGCTCCATATCAGCCTGGCCCCGCTTCGAGTCGAGCTTACACGATACTCACCTCACCGTTCTGGATGGTATCCAGCGCATTTTGAGTGGCAGGGTGGTTCTGTACGGAGTTCATGGCGGACTGAGCACCTGCGGCGTGGGTTAGATGGGAATGCGGAAGATGGTGGCGGAAAAGTTGAGATAAGGCCACTGTAATGCACAAGATCAGCTGCAGCTCGGCAACGCCAGGTACTGGTAGACAGCGTGGACGGAGATCACGACCTACCTAACCGCTCACGAAGTGGTTCTTAGCGTTCTGGAGAGATTCCTGGGCGTTGCCATTGGAGGTATTGGAGCCTTGGTTCGCAGAACGATCCAAGTCAGGGTATGAGTAGTCGTCGGTGTTGTGCGCGCGGTCAGACATCTCGCCGGTGACTGTGGGATTCTTGGGAGCGGAGGACGTCTGAAGGGTGTGCAGAAAGGGTAGAGGTAGGGGAGGGTGTGTTTAATGTTGAGAATTGAGTTGTGTGGAGGCAGATGGGGTTGAGAAGTTGCTCGCGTGCTAGGGATTTTCCTGCTTGCTCTGGGCGGTGCTGCTCTTGGCAATTGCATCACTGTGTCTTCACAATCCCATTCGTTGCAGCCACCGCACCTTCCACACACAATCGTCCAATTGATCAATTTCCCTCTCGACTGCCCTATCACTGTCAATTACAGCAGCCACGTACGCTTGACAGCTGCGACAGCCATGACAGCCACGACAGCAAAACTGAACTGAACTGGGCCGCTGTGGCTGCCAGCAGGCTTGCTTCCTTGGTTCTGGCGAACAATCCTAGCGCTCAAGCATGTGACAGTGACCGACACGTATGGTGGCGCACACTTCCGTGTCACGTGCAAAACCGCCGCTCACGTGACAGACACTGTGAAAGACTTCCTCATCCTGAATACACTTTAATCGATCGGCTGGAATAAGAGGACAAATCAGAAGTCTCAGAATCATTTCATTCGTAGCGAGCGTGAGTGTACGTAAAACTACAACAACATGCAAAACACGGGTATCGCGATGCTCCAAAGACATCCAGATATATCCCTCGACCCCCAACTAGCACACTGCCCCCCCCCCCTCACGCCAAAAGCATTGCGCCCCCTACAGCCGCCAATATCTGCAACGGCCTCGCATCGAACCTCGGCGCCGCCGCTCCTGGGACCGCTGACAAGCTCGCGGCCGCGTTTTGCGCAGCCGACACGCCCGCCGATGTAGGTCTCGCCGTGGTGCCCGATGGGCTCGAGCTCGTCACCGCCGCCAGAGTCGACGCAACACCTGAGGATGAGACCGCCGCCGCCGCCGCCGTCGCAGTCGCAGACGCCATTGCCGTACCCCCCACGGCGGTCGTGCTCCCGCAATAGCTACTCCAGTCCCACGGCCCGCCGCTCGTCCACGGGCCTCCTGTGCTCCACGCCGCCGGCGGAGCCCAGGTGCCGCTGGCGTGGTCACTCCAGAAGGAGTTCCAGTCGCCGGAGTAGGCTGACCACGCCGAGCTATACGAGCTCCAAGCCCCGCTGTTGCCGCACCACGCGCTGCTGTACGCGCCGCCCCACCCTCCAGGGCCGCCAGGACCCCACCCCGGGCCGTTGGCAGGGCCCCAGTGGCCAGGTCCCCAGTTGTTGTTTCCTGGTCCCCAGGGCCCGGGACCGCCTGGGCCGGGAGTCGGGACGGGCCCGGGGTAGGTGGTTAGGGTTGTGGGCCAGGTCGTCCATGGACCGGGGTTGGCGGACGTCCAGGACGCCCAGGCTGTGTTGTCGGACGTCCAGCTTGCCCAGGCAGCGCTGTGGGAGGAGGTCCAGGACGCCCAGGCTGCGCTCTCAGAGGGCCAGGCGGTTGGCCAGGCGGAGGCCCACGCGGAGGACCACGCGCTGGCGTCGCTCGGCCAAGCCGAGTTCCAGGGGCCGGCGCCGGGCCAGGTTGGGGTGGGGTCGTCGTCGGAGCTGAATTGGGATGTCAGGCAGCTGTCGAGAGGTTCTTCTGGGGGCAGAGAGGCGCGACTTACTAGTCCTGAGCGTACGCGCCCACCGCCGCAGCGGAGAGGAGTGCGGCGAGGGTTGCGGCCTTCATGCTGTAGGATTGCGCACGAAACCGAGAGGATTCGGATTGAGAAGAGGAGGGAGACTTTGCGCGCCGCGATTCAGAACACCAATGTAGAGAAGCTGTAACAGAAGCTGAAGAAAGCTATGGTACCGACGTAGAAGCGTACTCAGAGAAACGGTCCCGTGCCTACCTACCTTATATATTTCCCTCCCATGTCATCAAGCATACGCAGCCTGCGCAGCCGCTCCAAACCAAGCTTTCTCACAGCTCCTCCCTGCTGACCGTCTCCGCAAAAAGCGTCAATTAACGTTCTTCCCAGCGCAGAGTGCGGCCAGGGCTTACGCGTCTGCAGCCTTACGTGGGGAGCCGTTAGGTGCCCGAGAGGCCCGGCGCCGCAAGCTGAGCGTTCCTTGCCTATTTTGGGCAAAACGGTGGCCCCAGCCGACATGTCACAGCACCGGATCGCTCGGCTGAGCCCTTAAGTGTGCGGTTAGAACGCATGCCATCCGGCGGAGGTGAGGGCTTTGGGGGCTGCTGGAAGTTGTTCCTGAGATGTTCGGATGATGCGACGGCGGCTGTGGTTGGTGGGGTCGAAGTGCCCGCGCACGCGAGCGCGGGGGGACGCGTGTCTGAAGCGGCATGGGAAAAGCACTTCAATCGAGCAGCTTCAATCTGATAGACCAACATCCCCGAGCGGCCTTGGACCAAGAATTGCTGATCTCGGCTTCGGGGGCCTTTGAAGACCGAGCAGATCAGCGCCCCCGGTGATGTTTCAAGTTGATAACCTCCGCATCCTGACTCGAGCAGAGAGGCAGTGTTCGCGGCTGCTGACGCGGAGCATCGTGAAAGGGAGCCGCTTTCTGTCTCGGCTTCCTTCCGGGCATAAGGCCCTCTTAGCTAAGACTGGAGGCCGTGTTGGTTCGGCAAGAGGATTGGGGATAGCCGCACAGCCGTTTTCCGGGACCTTGGCTTGAATGTCGAAATATTTCAGATGCGCAGGAAGCAACTGTTCCGAGGGCCGCTCCTGCAGAATTGCACGCACGTGAGATCCGAAGAAGTCTCACGATCATCATGTAGGATGTCCTTGAATAGAGTATAGAAAAGTAGTGTATGTAAACAAGCCGCCGGCAGAGCGCCAAAGTCCCCTTGCATCAACCGCAGCCGTACCGCAAATTAACCTTGAGCCGTGAAACTATCTACCCACACCCTCCATAGCAGCGGGAACTCTAGGAGGACCTCCGGCAAGGCATAGTGCCGAATGTCCAGACCCTTCTCGTTCAGAGGCGACTGGTGATCAACCCCTCATGGCGTGCACCTGCGCAAAGCCCGTCCTCAACACCTCCGGGCCGATAGCCGCATAAGCCACAGCCGCAACAACATGTGCCCCGACAAATAAGATCGCGCAAGTGACGAAGAAGATCTTGATGTAGAGCTTCACAACCCTACGCCTGGCCTCCCAGTTGAATGTCTTCCATGCCTCAAGGAAGCCGATCGCGCCAGTGCCGCCAATGACAGCCGGGACGACCCTCCCGCCAAATGAGCGGTCGAATGGCACAATGGTGTCCTCCTCCTCAGGCAACAGGGACGCCTCGATGCGGGTCAAAGTAACATGGGCAGGGATAGCGACGAAGAGGACTGCGCAGACGCCAACAGTAATGGCGGCAATGATCTTGATGGCCCAAATCGCGATATCAGTCCCGGAGCCGCGCTCGACGTTGGGGATATCGACCTGGAAGAAGATGATGTGCGTGAAGCCAGCGGCGACAAAGAGAGCGAGGTCGGTGACGATGAAGCAGGCGGCTGCGGGGAAAGCAACAGCCTTCCAGGTGGAGCGAGGGAGGACGCGCGAGAGGTACGGCTTCGAGGACGGCGTGCTGATCATGGCGTGCGTCCAGGCCATGTGGTGGCGCGCGAGGATCATGGTCGCGGCGATCTCGCCGAGGAAGCGGCCGGGGATCGTGGGTACAACAGCGAAAACGAGGTTCGAGAGGAAGTGGAAGGCCGTGCCGTAGATAATGGCGCCGCCAAGGCCCCTCCAGCGAGATCTGAAACCAGCTTGAGCGGTCAGGTGGCGCATAGTTGTGATGATGCTCCTAGTGATAGGTTGGATGTGGACGACTTCGATGACGGGTTGTTCGGCGTCGAGCAGGTTTTCCTTCTCAGCCTCGCCCTTCGAGAGCGGCGAGTCGGGTTCATCGTGTTCGGCGGGGGTCTCAATCGTGATAGCGGCAGTGGGAGTCTCGATCATAGTAAGTGAGGCTACAACATGGCCGAGAGTGTATTGAACCTGTGGGTGATGCTGTTAGTGGCAGACGCGTAGCAGAGCATTCGGCTCTAGGTAGGAGATACAACATACAGAAAGGACGAGGCCGATGAACGCAAATAAAGTGAAAATAACCGCAGCTAGGCCCCATGGAGAGACCTCCAAGTTTGAAGGTGCATCTTGCTGCTGATTGTGCTTCGCAAGAGCAGCGGAGGCGGTTCGGCAACCCCGGCTGACGAGGTGATTCAGAAGCTGACCTTGCATCGCGACTTTGTTGTATCCTGTGCTGTGAGAAACTAAGAGAGAATGTAGATGAAAGGGTTTGTACGGTAGAAGGTGAAGTTGTCTTTGAGAAAAGGAGAGGTGGTGTTTGGTCGTCGTAAGCTGAAGGTGTTAAGAGGGCTAGGCATCGATGTCACAAAGGGTCACAGCCACGCTCGTGCCGCCGCATTGACCGACCCAAAACAGACAAGCCTCTTCTATTTCTGGCGCTGCCAAGATTCGCCGACGTCCGACGGCGCTAACCTTCATCTTTGGCTCACCATTCCCGTCTCCAACATCCTCTGCTGTAGTGCTGCTTTATCCTGGGCAAATCCATTCAACGACGTTGGACAATGAACGGGTTCTGAGATTCTGAGGAATGACCGCTAAATGATGCCAGCAAGCTGAGCGTTTTTGAGTAGCATGCAGCTGGATGGGTATCATGCGTTAGATCTAATAATGTGATCTACGTTTCATACTGCGCGCTCGTACCGCGAATGAAAAAAGGTCAATGAAACCAGCTATACGTATCACCCATTCTGAGCCATGCTACCGTGTACTTCATCTAGCCTACTCGCGACGCCTCATCCTTTGCGGATCAGCGTAGCTCATCTCTTACAGTACACGCAGCAAATAGGAAACCTTGGAGAGTCTCTCGGAGGTGTTATCTCTAGCAAACCCGTAGGTTTTGACTCTCAATTTGTCCACTACACGATTCGTTGGCGGGAGAAGACGCAGGCGAAGTACTGTAAAATGAAGTTGGTCCACAAACACGCGGTCCATGACCGCCCCGAACCGGGCTCCATTGGCACAGCGTGCAGTTTCGTGGCTCACAGATGGGCAACTCAGCAGTGTTAGGGCAAAGGCCCCTATCGAGGTCGGTGGGAGAACAAAGCCATAGCAAGGGACCAGGTCAGCACAAATAGTCAGCACAGGACAACTCAGTATCAAACACCTTCCAATTCTCGACCTCAAGCAAATAGTATCATACAAGCAGCCTTCAGTTCCCCAACCTCAAGATCCTCCCGCCAGTTGGCACGCAGCCGAAGCCAAGACCCCCTCTCTACCTACGAGCACCTTGGACGACGGGCGCTCCAGCCGTAGTCCCTTCTAGGGTTAAACTCCTCCCTAAACTCCGCCCCCTGAGGCCGCACGGACCAGCGGGCCGCGCGCGCTGCGTTCATAGCATCGATCTCCGCCTGCGCCTCCGCTGTGATGCCCTTGTTGACCTCCACAACCTGGCTGATCGGCCTCTCGGGCTAGCGGAGCAGCATCTCGCAGCGCCTCCCGAGCCCATACCGCTCGCCGCACCGCCAGACGCGCTTGCATGTTCAGCCTGTAAAGCACTTCTGGCTCCTCCCATTCCTCACCGACCCGGCCTCCACGGCCTGCCTGGCCACCATCTTGGCACTGCGAAACGCGGTACCCCACCCCTTCCCTGAACACAGCCGTTGCGCTCCGCTGTGCATCGTGCAGGGCACGCAGGATACCAGCATGCGCGTCTGAGCTGCGGCTTTCGACGGGGTACAAGGTAGCTGCGCGCCGCCCGACCAATCCGTCTTCTTGTGCCATGAACAGCGCGGCCTGGAGGATGTCGAGGGAGGCGCGGATGGCGGTTAGCGTGGCTGCAGTTGTGGCTGGGCTTGCGTTGGATCTGGAGGGACCTTCATCTGGCTGACAGGGAAGGACGCGCTCTTCGTCGGACTGGGGGCTGAGGATGGGCTCTTCGTCTGATTGGAGGGTGGGATCTCTATCGGCGTTGGCGCAGCAGGGGCGGTAGCAGTCTTCTTCGACATTTGCGATGAGGATGGTTACTGGGTCTGGGAAGGCGCAGGGATGGTCGGGTTTCGCTGCGGCGCAGCGGGCAGTCTTGAGGATGAGGGTTGCACCGCAGAAGCAGCGGGAGGGTTGGTGGTGGCACATGATTGTGGTGTGATCAGCGAGTTGATCGAACAGGTGTCCGTGACGGTTGAGGTTATTCGTTGTAGGTTTGTAGCGGTGCAGGAAGTGGTGCTGTGGTGTACTTCTTTGTGTTGAGGTGGACTATGATAGACTGTGATGATGCAGGAAGGAGCGGGCATGGGCAACGGAAGAGATATTTGACTTGTAGAGGTAGACTAGTATGATGAACACAGTAACGGTAGCGTAGTCCATGACAACGAGTGCACGCATCATAATGATCGCGTGGCCAGACTTCATCTCTGTGGCCGGACCTTACCGCTGTAGACGGCTTCGTTCTTGGGAATTTTCACTCAATAAGTATACGTCATGCACCAACCGCTGCTTGATTAAAGCGCTGAGAAGGGGTCACAGAGAGTGAGAAATGACGGAGCACGGGCACGGAAGACGCCATGCGAGGCACGCTCTGCGCGGACCTGACTAATGAAGGCTTGCAATTACTTGTTTCTAGTAACTCCGCGGCAGCTTCAATACTTTCTCGCCAACGTAGTTCAAGATCATCTCCTGCGTGTCATCAGCCAGCTGCGGTGAATAAGAGAGTTGAGCACATACCCTGCTGACCGGCGCTATCCGTGGCACGAAGCATTCCCTCAAGTACCGTTCCACATGATACTCCTGCGCGTACCCCATGCCACCGTGCGCCAACACAGCTCTTTCACAAGCAGTAAACGCCGCCTCAGCAGCGAGATACTTGGCAGAGTTGCATGCTACGCCAATCGCATGCTGCGTGATGCTCTGATCATGAACGCTGCTGTCGTACAGGCGAGCAGCGTGATAGGTTGCAAGCTTGGCGGCTTCGAGATTCATGTAGGCTGCTGCGAGCGGATGCTGTATGCCTTGATTTTGCCCAATAGGTCGCCCGAACACGACGCGTTCGCGCGCGTAGTTCGAGGCTCTGGTGAGCGCAGCATAGCCCAGACCGAGAGCTTCGCCGGCTAGGAGACAACGTTCGGCATTCATGCCGTGGAGAACCTGCGATGTGGTGTGAGCTAGGATTGGTTCTCATCTTGAAGAAGTTACCCGAGCGGGCGCCACATACAATCTTGAAACCTTGGCCTTCTTCACCGATGAGCGAGTCTGCAGGCACACGGTAGCCATCGAAAAACACCTCGTTAGCATCGATAGCTCTGCCGCCCATCTTCTTAATGCGCTTGAGCTCGAGTCCGGGGGCATTCTTGTCAAAGTCGATGAAGAACAGTGACAATCCCTCAGACGGTTTCTTGACGTCCTCCAGCGCCGTGGTACGAGCGAGCAGTACCATCTTAGAGGCGACTTGTGCAGACGATATCCAGATCTTCTGGCCTGTAATACTGTAATGGTCGCCATCTCTCTTCGCCAGAGTCCGAAGCTTCAGCGTTTCAAGCCCAGTGTTGGGTTCGGTAACGCCGAAACATGCTCTATATTCACCGCTGATGAGCTTGGGAAGCATACGCTGCCGTTGCTCGCGGGTTGCAAATTTGGCAACCGGTTGCGTGGCATAGACATTGGCATGTACTGTTTGTGCCCCTGCAATGCCTGCGCCGCTCTCTGCAATTGTATGCAGCATCATGGTGGCTTCTGAGATTCCTAGTCCAGCACCGCCTAGATCTTCCGGTAGAGCTATGCCTAGCCATCCATCCTTTGCCAGTGCAGCGTGAAGCTCATGGGGATACTCTCCAGACTCGTCATGTTGAGCCCAGTATTCCTGAGAGATGTCAATAGACATACGCAGCGTTGCAAGGCAGAGTCCGCACATCTGGGAAGTTTGAACAGATTTTAGAGATCGCTTCCCTGACTGTCATTTGTTCTGGAGTGAACCCGGATGTCTCCATGATCTTGCAGGACGGTGAAACGGAGAAGCATCGAGAGTGATAATTCCATAAAGGCCTAGGACTTCGTCGTGGTCTGCAGCTAGAAATGCTCTTACACGCTTCAAAGAGACGTGATCTTACTGTCGCCATCTTGGTGGAAGAAGTCTATGACTGACGATCAAAGAGGACCGGAGAGAAAAGACAAGACGCATCAAGCATGCATTACGGGGTTAGCGATCACGAAAATAGTCCCGATTACAGACGTTTCTACAGCGGCTTAATGCAAGTAGATGTAGGAAGAAATCTACGAGTGCCTACCTGAGTACTTACTAGTTGGTGCCGATGCGGCGGAGCTTCAGTTCCCCGAGGTCAAAGTGGAGAGAAGTCCAAAATCACGTGTGACCGCCTCCCCAGCCTAGCGTCAGCGCATCCCGTCGCCAACCTTGACCCTTGGCATGTTTTGGTCCCTCGAACCGCGACGCCGCAACCAACGAACCGACGAACAACCTCGAGATACTGCCGACGACTTAGATTTGCTCCTTTCGCTTTTGTCGCTTCATAATGAACTTGTATCGGTAGTCCTTTCAGCAAAATTTTGGGCCCAGCTGCGCGATTTCGCAGCCGTCAACACGGACTTGGATCGAACGTGTCAGCGTCGCCATGGCTTCCTCGCGCTCCAAGACGCAGGTTGGCTCTGCGCCATGGCTGCTGAACGAAAGGCAGCAAGCCAACGAACTCATTGAGCAAGAGGTGGAAGAATTCACTTACTCAGTGCGCAATGAGATGGAATGGTTAAACGAGCATATGGCGGAGATATTTACGCGGAACCAATTGTACGACTCGCCAACAAGGTGTTCGAGAAGCCTGCTGACCGTGCGTCAGAAACGTCGCGGACATATTCAAGACACCTGGGAAGCTACGCGGCAAGACCCCGCGGACGGCGCGGAAGAGGAACCCGTTAGAGACGCGCGCTGTAAGCTGTCTCTCGATACCGACAATCACACCTACTGACTAGCAATCTAGCCCTTGACGGATATCTTTGGGCCGAACCCGCAAGCTGAACCAAGCCCTGCGCAAGAGACACAGTTTTACAAAAGTGTCGCGCGTTTCCAAGTCCCCGACGACGCGAACCGAGCTGCGCCGATCGCAGCAAGTCCGCAAAATCGCGTTGGTGGGATTGGGAAAGAGAACACGGACTCTGGGTATCATGGAACAACGGACGATGAGATGGAGCTTGACCGTGTGCCGGTCGCGCCGCGCAGTCCGCTGAAGCAACAGGCTCCTGCTGTGCCCGATCCTGCACCCTCCCTACCCATTGAACCGGCAGAGGAGGATCATGAGCTTATCAAAGAAGCAAGACGAGCGACAAAAGAGTCTTTCGTTTCGGCCGAGGAAGTCCTGGAAAACAACAAGCCGCCTCAAGAGGACCTAAACAATGAGGATGAGGGCGATACCATACCGGACGAGGAAGTAGACATAGTGGTTACGAATGCCGACGCCGAGGAAGAGGGCCAGGAAGAGGGCCGTAAAGAGGGCAAGGGTGTGTCTCAACAATTCAGCGTTGGCGCGGAGACTGCTTCGGCCATGAACTCCATTCTCCACGAAGCGGAAGACGTTAACGATCCCATGGAGGTCGATGGTGTACGCTCGCCCTCCGAAGGCTCCAGCCCAGTCAAACCTTTGTTACGGAAAAGCAGCCTCACTTTCGCGACCCTCCCTGCGCGAGAACCATTGGCGAGCAAACAGAGTATTGGTAACCGTGTCTCTCGTACAAGCCATCTGGACCAATACAAGTCATCATATCGCAGCAGTAACTTGGGCCGTTTCACTGGCGGCAAGAGCCTGGGTGGTTCACAGCATGTGCCAGCGATCGGATCGCCGGACGCGAAAGAACACATGGATGTGGACGAGGAGAACAGGCCTCCGATGGCGCGCGAGGAGTCCGAGACCACAAGACTGCACAATAAGACCTCCACGCAGCGGCTGCATGAGAGGATAAACATGCTCGGACAAGCCAAGGAGACCAAGGATTTTCGATCATCAAAGTCGATACCGTCAAGCAATCCAGCCTCCCAGGTCGAGTACGCACACTTGCCAGCTTCCGAAACTGAGAAACCGAAACCCGCTCTCTTCTCGCAATCAGATGAACAGCCGAGAGCTGCAGTTGTGCCAGCCACGGAAGACGATGACGATGATTGGATTGTTCCTGTTGTATCCACAGGTGCAGCCAATACTGCTCCCAGACCCGCCTTTGAGCGGAGTCATTCCAACAAGAGTCAAGCAAGCGTTCCGGACAAGGCTGCAACTGAAACCCAAGATCACGCTCCATATGCGCCTCAGAAGAGCCCCGCAAGAGCGGCTTCACCAACGAAGTCTAGGCCAGCTTTTGGCCACCTGAAGTCAAGCTCCGCTTCTGTCTTGCCATCGCCGGGCAAGTCATCCATGGCCCCGCCGCTATCACACAAGAAGACAGTTTCCGTCTCGAACCCGCCTCTATCAAATGTGCCATCGTCGGTAACACCGGTTGGATCGCCTATGGGCAAAAAGTTCGCTGATGGCCCGTTGAGCGCGTCAAAGGCGAAGTTTTATTCCGTCCTCAAATCCGCTAAGGGGATCTTCGCGAGCAGCGCAGGAGCAAGCGCTCAGGCTAAGATGGAAGCACTATCTCCAGCAATTCACCATACGAGAAGCCAAGCCCAGGCGCCCCAAATGAATGCCTTGCTTAGCCCCAACGCCCATACCCGACCAGCTTCGACCTTTTATCCGGAGGTTCAAATCCCTGAACATGCCAACAGTGCTCCAACTCCGACTCGAGCCCAGGAGGGCCGTAAGACGCGAAGCTCAACTGAACGGGAGGAGAAGCGGAAAGAAAAGGAGGCGAAAGAGAGGCAGCGTGCTGTGGACGATCTTGAGAAGGCGCGTGAGAAAGAGCGCCAGAAGGCCGTTACGCAGAAGCAGAAGGATGCTACAGTTGCCGCTGAAGAACAGGCGCTACAGCAGAAGGCTGAGCCCGAAAGCAGAGCCGAGAATCCACCTAGCCACGATGAAGAGACTGATGCGGCAGAAGCAATGCCACCTCCACCGCCACCGAAGAGTTTGCTTCCAACCGCGAACTCACAGAAACCTAGAGGCAGGTTAGCCAAGCCGACGAAGAACCCATCTACTGCGCTTAGGCCGGCTGCGATGTCAATAAAAGTTCCCTCGCAGAGCTTCCGTCAGATTCCACAGCCTGGATCCGCTCTTCCCGCAGAAAGCCACGACGTGCTTCCTCCTGCAGTCCCGTCCAAGCAGTCTAGCATCGCTTCTAAGCAGAGCACTACATCTCTACAAAGCGCAAGCTCGACAGAGTCGTTTCGCACTGCTTCTTCTACGCAGACTAGGACGAAAGCCTTGGAAGCAGCTGCGAGAAAGAGAGAACAGGATGAGCGCGATGCGCAACGGAGGGCTGAGCGACAGCGTGAGCTCGAGCAAAGGCGCGCCGCGAAGCAAGAGGAGGAACGCCGGCTTGAGCAACAGCGCAAAGCGGCAGAGGAGCTACGCAAGCAGGAAGCGAAGAAGGCAGCCCAAAAAGCCGCAGAGACAAAGCGTCCGACTCGCCAGCAACAGCAGGTTAGTCGTCCACAGAGCCGACAAGCCAATGACCTCGCCAACACCCTGCAGGTTGAAAAGACACTCGCTCCACCGCCGCGGCAACGTGGTGATCTAGGCGCGGCGCGACCAGTATCGAGGATGAACACAATGCAAGAACCCCCACCTGCGCGGCCAGTCCCACAGATCAACCCAGCCAAGCCACCGAAGCGAGTCTTCCAACCTGAGGATGACGACGAGCCTGTGCAGCGTCCGACTTTACAACGGAACCCACCATCTTTTAAGCAGCTAGATGCGAAGCGGCGGAAGACTATCGACGAAGAAGAAGAGCGCCTAGAGGAACCGCGACGCTCAGTCATGGCGCCTCCAATGCGTCCCTCGAACGTCATCCGCAAGGTATGTTCGTCAATCCTCTTGCCCCTCTCGCATGCTAACAACAGACTTAGGAAACCAGATTCCCCAACGGCTATACCACCGCCCCGCCTCCTGCCGCTCACCCCGTCCCACACACGCAAACCCTCTGGAAACAGACCGTCAATGGCCAGCACCAGCTCCAACATCCCAAGCCCAACATCCAGCCGAACGACATGGCCAAGATCTCCACCGCCAAAATCCCCTTCGCCGACGCGCCCAACCCAGCTGGTCCCTCCGCCTCTCTCCATCCGCCAACCTACAAGACTCCCGCCCGCAACCTCCATCCAGCGGCTCCCAACACCGCCGGCCCCAAGTCCTCGCCGCGCTACCCTGCTTCCGAAACCATCGCTCTCCCCGAAATCGCCACCGACTCAGAAGACGAGGACTCAGAGAACGAGTTCAGCGCTCCCTCGTGGGTAGCTTCCCCCGCGCTGCGCGAGCTTCTCCAGCAACAGCAGCTCGTAGACCCCGCGGAGATATTCGGTCCGATTGCGGAGCTGAAGATGGAGGAGGTATTCCGGAACAAGGACCGCCATAAGCGATTCAGGGACAGGACGAGTAGCGCGAATTGGAATGGGGCGGATCGCTTGACAGAAGAGGAGAGGAAGAGGGATAGGGAGGGAAGGGAAAGGTTGGTCAGGGATGGGGGGTGGGTGTTTCATGAGACGCCGGAGGGGAAGAGGTAGTGGGAGGGAATTGTTGTTTGTGCGGTTGGATAAAGCCTTGTTTGGAGTTTTGGGAGCGCATTATGTCTATAAAGAAGTCGTACGTTTCGGCGCTTGGATTGCATGCGCAAGGGTTTGGTCGTTCTTTAGATGTCTAACGCTGGAACAGTCTATCAATCAATATGGTTGCAAATACACGCTCCTTCACTGAATGAACTTGCGAGAAACTATCTAGGACCCTACTCAGTCACAAGTCAGTCTCGGACTCAATGTTTGTTTTGAGGTCAGAGAGGTGCTCTCCCACTGCCCCGCGATTTCTGGCGCATCGCGCAAGCTGCCCCACCAAAATGTTTTCCCTCATCGACTCAGACGCGCCCCAAAACATCAGAACAATGGCGCCGCGAAAATCCCCCTTCGACCTCTCAAAGTGCGCGCGGCCGAACATATTAGCCCTCCAGCCTTATCGCTGCGCTCGAGAGTAAGCTTTGCCCCCAATTGCCCCATGCACGACCCAAATCGACCGCCAGCTGATGACTCAGTGACTACAAAGACGACGGCACAAACATCCTCCTCGACGCCAACGAGAACGCCTATGGTCCCGGCCTCTCCCTTAGCAGTACCGGCGCACTCAGCAATGGCACCCCCTCTACCGCCAACGGCACCACACAATCCTCCCTAGACATCGACCTTCTCGGCCTCCACCGCTATCCCGATCCGCACCAACACCCCCTGAAGCAAGCCCTCTGCAACCTGCGCAACACGCACGTCCACACTGCCAAAGACCTGTCACCGGAAAATCTGTTTGTGGGAGTGGGATCAGACGAAGCGATCGACGCCCTCCTGCGCGCCTTCTGCCGGCCCGGCGTCGATAAGATCCTGACATGTCCGCCCACGTACGGCATGTACAGCGTATCAGCCGCGGTGAACGACGTCGGGATTGTGAAAGTGCCGCTGGACGCGGATAACGGGTTCGCTTTGCAGCCCGGGAAGATCAACGCGCGGCTCAGCCAGGAGGATGGCGGGGAGATTAAGCTGGTATACATCTGCTCTCCCGGTAACCCGACCGCCAACCTAATAAAGAAGGAAGATATCCGCCAAGTCCTCGAACACCCGACATGGAACGGCGTAGTCGTGCTTGACGAAGCCTACATCGACTTCGCGCCCGAGGGGTCCAGCCTCGCGGAGTGGGTCGCCGAGTGGCCGAACCTGGTGGTCATGCAGACGCTGTCGAAGGCCTTTGGGCTCGCGGGGATTAGGCTGGGCGCCGCGTTTACGAGTCCGGAAATCGCAAAGCTGCTCAACAGTCTGAAGGCGCCGTATAATGTCTCGAATCCTACGAGTCAGATCGCGCTGGCGGCGCTGGAGGAGAGGAACTTGGGGGTTATGCGGAGCAATAGGGGCAGGATTTTGGAGCAGAGGGAGAGGTTGCTTAGGGAGCTGCCCGGGATTGAAGGGGTGGGCAGGTTTTTGGGTGGGGCGGACTCGAACTTTTTGCTAGTGGAGATGTTGGATAAGGAGGGCAAGCCGAGTAATGAGGTCGCGTTGAAGGTCTACGAGGGCTTGGCGGAGGACAGAGGGGTGGTGGTTAGGTTTAGGGGGAAGGAGTATGGGTGCTTTGGGTGCTTGAGGATTACAGTTGGGACGGAAAAGGAGGTGGATCGGTTTTTGGAGGAGATTAGGGATGTGCTGGCGGCTGTTCGCAATGGGAGGCTACAGAACGGCGTGGCAGATGAAGAGGAGAAGGAGAAGGAGGCGAATGCTGTGGTTGCGTGAGGTATGGAGAGCTTGCCGTGACGCGTAACGAGCGACGCACAGGGAAGTACTCCCAACTAAATAGACCATATAGGTCGCCGGTATAGAGAGCATTAGAGAAACCTCCTGCGGTAGCCATTCGTTCCCTCACGGAATTCAGTCGCCATGGCGCGATATCACATGATGGTCTAGGGCCGGGTTACGTACTGGCATGCTTTGCGCCGCTTGGCCATCCTCAAGCCTCGGATTGGCGGACGCATGACCGCAGATCAAAAACCTCTCAGTGCAACATTGGCCTGTTGCATGGAATCCCGCAGGGAAACAACATCGCCAGCCTTTGCGCCTCCTCCACCGTCTTCTGAAACTCGAGATCCCACACTAGTTCAGCAGTTCAACCGCTCCTCCGCCCTGCGTTTCATCTCTTGAACCCTATCGATAGCCCGTGGGTCCAGCTCGCACGCTTGCTGAGCCGAGTCTAACCTCCACTTGCACCTCAAGCATTTCCTGCAGCTCGTCAAACAGAACAACAAGCAGCCTTCCGGCGCGCGCAACCCGGTCGCATAACTTGCTGGAGGCATAATCGGCCACTGCTCCTCTACCAGACACTCGCGCCGAACCTCGAATCGCACACTTAACGGCCTTCCATGTCCTCGACCCAGCCACCGCATATACTCAGGTAGCCATATCAGACGCCATGGTCTCATATCCTGACGAGGCCTCGCGCACTCTTTCCTTCCGCCCAGCGCCCTCCGTAACCTCCTCCCACTCACGCGCCACGACCTCCCGGCGACATCGACACCACCGCTCCCAGGGCAACGAGTTCCCTATTTTCAGCCATACGGGCGACGTCGAGATCGTCATAGCCTCCGGCCGCAAAGAGCAGCGCTACCTCCTACACCGGCTGATCCTAGCGCAATGCTCAGGCTTCTTTGAGGCCGGCACCAGCGAAGAGTGGTCTCGCGCACAGCAGATAGGCGAGAGCAGTTCAGCAGCCCACCAAGCGCGCTTCCCAAACGGCGCGCCCAACGCAGAAACCGCGCCGCGAAGAAGATGGCGCTATGAGTTGGACTGGGGCACCGGACCCGACTCCATCCCCATGCTCGTCCAGAAAGACCCCTCGTCCCCCACATCCACCCTCTTCGGCGGCGACCACACCGCGCGCCCCCCACCCGCGCGCAACAAGCCGCCCGCACCAACCCCCTCTTTCTTCCGCAGCATGGCGAATCTCTCCTCGCTAGGCGTCTCCTCGACCTCCTCTCACGCCTCGACCTCGCACACATCCCACACCGCCGATGCCTCCGACGACCTCCTGCGGGACTACTCAAACCTCTTCCGCATCTTCTACAACCACGCCCCCACGCTTGACAGCCTGAATATCGCAAACGCGTACGTGGAATCAAAATCCCTCCTCCAGCTCGCAGACCTCTACGACGCCCTCGATGTCATCGGTCCGCGCGTGGACCACCATCTCCTCCGCTTCCAAGGGCGGCTGTTCAAGCAAATCGCCAAGTACCCGCCCAGCTACCTCAAACTGGGGCATCTGGCGCGGAGCCGCGTCATCTTCGCCGAGAGCTTGGTGCACGTGGTGGGACAGTGGCCAGCCGGGGCCGCGCAGCTGCGGGGACAGGTGCCGGAGTCCGTACTCGAGCTCATCCTGGATCGGGTGGACGAGCTCGAGGAGATGAAAAGCAGAGTCGAGGCCAAGCTGTGGAGACTCACGCTTACGACGCCGAGAGGCGAGAGGGTTACCCCTGCCAACGCGTGGCTGGATTGGTTGGCCATGAGTTTGTTCAGGCAGTGGCTCGCGGAGAACACTACGCCGGCACCCGCGCCGATTCTGAAGGACGCGGGTAGCAGGCGCGGTGGAGGGGGAGGGGGAGGGGGAGCAGCGAGGCCGGGCAGCAACCAAAGCACCGCCTCCCTCGCCCTCTCCTCCTCCGCTGCGCCCAACTCCCACACCCCCCACGCCGCCCCGCTAAACACGGGCCGCGTATTCCGCCTCCTGGGCCAAGGCGGCGCCGCATACCTGAACCACGACGACTTGAAGCGCTTCTTGAAGATCAACCCGGAGTTCTACACCCGGGAAAATCTGAGGAAGTTTGAGCGAAGAATGGATGAGTTGAAGAATCTGGCGAGGGATGCGGTCAAGCCGCTTATGAGGAACTTTTTGGAGCTGGATTTGGGCAGGGAGGGGTGTGGGGGGCTGCCGTATCTGACATGCACGAAGGTCGAGGATATGGAGTTTCCGTGGGAGGAATAGGGGAAGGGAGACTGAGATGGGGGGTAGTGTGAAGACGTAGGATTTGCAACGCGGATCTTGGGCTAGGGCTTCAATGCGGCTGCGATTTGGGAATCGGACCGAATCTTTGGAGCGGTGTTTTGGATTTGATACCCGCCTCGCATTGGGCTTTGGGATTGTTTGGACGCTAGGCCGGGCGAATTCTGGATCACGATGTTATGAACATGTAGCTGTGTAAGTTGAACTTGTAGCTGATGATCAATGTCGTGCTGGTCATGGCTTATGGATCAGACCAACAATTTTAATGTCCAAGACGGCTTTCTCTACTACTCAGGAACATCGCACGCAGCGCCACCAGGAACCCACGCGCCAAACTCCTTCAGAAACACGGCGTATCAATAACGCCAAAACTAGCTCCACCAACACCTCCCGTCAACACCACCCCTTCTGATCGACTAGCTTCGAACCTGAACCTGAACGTAAACAATCTCATATAGAGTTGTAAATCTTATGGAGTCCTGCGCGCCCCTTTAAAAGTCAACTTCTACAGTTCCGAGTTTTCATCACTATTGAACGGGTCGCGGAGAGAATAGCCCAGCTTCTCTCGCGGTTTTCGTCTTCCGGGTTCTGAGTCCACAATCTCACTGTTGTCGTTGCAACCGGTAGTCTTGCAGTTTTTCGTACTCGTTGTTGTCCTTCTTCTCCTCCTTTGCTGCATCGCCGTCCTCTTTGCAGCCGGCTCGGGGATTCTCATCCGATGCTGTATCACGGACAGCTAGGCGCGGGGAGTGTCCCTTCGCTCGTCGCTTCGCACATGGCTGGCGTCACGGTCATGGCTGACGACTCACGGTCGCGGACGCTTTCGCTGTCGTCATTGTTAGCATCACCATTTCGTGAACAAGGATACTTGGAAGGAAATCGAGAGTACACAGCTACGTACCTGCAACATGTGACATTCTTTAGATGCTCCGTCATTCTTGTCCATGCCCTCAGCGGCGATGCACGGCGGTTAGTGAGACTGGGCATGTGCCGTGTTCAGAGCGGGCCCTCTGCCCTGAGCCGTGAACTGTTAGCCGCCTCCTTGTCGCGCAGCAGCTGGATCACTGCCTTGTGGCGGCACGATACTGCCACCGATAGCGGCGTCCAACCGTTCCGATCAATTGAGTCTATGTCTGCCCCCCTATCGAGCAGCAGCTTAACCACTTCTACACTCCCGTGCTGTGCCGCGTACCATAACGGCGCCCTTCTCTCTTTATCTTTTGAGTCCACGGCCGCCCCCCTATCAAGCAGCAGCATGACCACTTCCTCGTGCCCAGTATATGCCGCCCTATACAGCGGCGTCCGACCGAGTTTATCCTTCGAGTCCACGGCCGCCCCCTTGTCTAGCAGTAGCTTAGCCATTTTCTCGTGCCCATTATATGCCGCACTATGCAGCGGCGTCCAACCGTAGCAATCCTTCGAGTCCACGGCCGCCCCCTTATCGAGCAGCAGCTTGACCACTACCTTGTGCCCGTTCCGTGCCGCCCGCAATAGCGGGCTCTCACCATGATCCTTTGGGTCTACAGCTGCCCCCTTATCAAGCAGCAGCTTAACCACTAACTCGTACCCTTGCTCTGCTGCCCACGATAATGGTGTCCGCCCGAAGTTTTCCTTCGAGTCCACGGCCGCCCCCTTATTCAGCAGCCGCTTAACTAAGACAGCGTCACCGCTTTTGGCCGCCTCGAGGATGGCTGTTCTGCTGTTGGTAATCCTAAATATTAGTCTCGCTATGCGGCCTACGTCCTTGCTACGCCTCGGACTATCTATATCGGGCACTTTGTTAGAGGATATTCGGTCTTGGATTGGCTGCTGCAGTGGCTCGTCGCTGTGTTTAGCATTAGGCTCTGCTGATGATCTGACTCCTGGTGTGGACGATGCTTCAAAGCCTTCTTGACCTAATTCTGAAGACGCGGAGGAATCATAAATGCAGGGGATATCTCCTGCAAGATCCTCTTCACTGAAAGCCTTCTGCAGCGTGGCGACGATGAATAGGCGGTGTTGGGCAGAAAGAGCGGAACTTATGCCAACACTCTCCAACTCTTTTCGTAGTTGGCGCCATGCTTCCTTCTCGTCGGCGGAAAGTGATCCAGTTGTTTGAGTGGACACGACCGATCCTTCTCGCTTCCCGGTGCGAACTTCGTTGATAAACGTCATCAGCATCTGTTCGATCCTCGCCTGGGACGAACTAGAAAATGGACGCCTTAGTAAGGTAGCACGCTTAGAAGCGTTTCAGTGGGATATACTTGATGGTGTTGCTGTTAATCACGCCAAGCATGCCGATATAGGTCACCAATCTGGATCTTATCTCTGCCAGCTCGTCTGTACCCCATCCCATCCTTTCCCACGTCAGTTGACATTGGGTGCCAACGCCATCAAAGTGTGCTTTTAGGCATTGTAGGTCCTGCAAGACCTTGTGACAGTCCCGAGATAAACTGGATAGCTGAGGGTGACGGTCGGCATTCAAGTGTAGTTCGTTGGAGTGATCCTCGGTGGTTTCCAGCATGGCGAGAAGAGCACCGAGCTCATTCTGCACTTGCTTGAAGAGGTCCGACGAAGTTAGGCAGGACCGGTAGAGGGAGCGGGCGACTGGACGAAGGGTTGTGATGTGATCTGCGTGGCTCAATTGTACAGTATTAGCAACCAGGGTCCCTACAGCCAACATCTAGTGTACTCTTGACGCACTTATATTGATGTCCCGTGCCGCATGGAGATCACCGTTAAACACTGCGCCGCCTTGCGAATGGGTCGGGCCAGAATATGTTCGCTGTTCCCGTAACGGATATGCCATGATAACCGTGTAAACGCGTCCGGGACGACACAAGGCCGTGTCCAAGACTGACCAGTGCCGCTAATCTCTCAGTCGAAGTCAAATGTGACGCGTTAGTTGGAGGACAAACATCTGGGTCAAGGCGCACGCAAAACTTGTATGGCGAGGCTGCATAGTCGGATGGTTTGCGATTAGCGCTTACCGTAAACGGTTATTTCTGTCAGCCTGATACTCGAGTACCTACACCATCTGAAGGTGGCTTCCCCTGTGCGACAAACATTGTTCGAGAGTAACCACAGGACAAAGACGGCGATAGACGCGTATGAAACCAATAACCTCCTGAACCACAAGTGTGGTATACCCGGACGCTTTCTGCGGACTGCCCGTCCGACGTGGCCAGGTAGTGTACGGCTGCGGCCTCGCTCAGCCGCAGGACGCTCTGCTGGCGGCACAGTGGGGAGAACTGCCATCTTCCCATTCCGCTCAAGTTGAGAGTGATCAACAGGCGGAAGAAGTATCCAGATGGAAGAGTTGTGCTCAACCGAGGGAGACTACGGGCTCAGAACTCTCTCCGAGCTGAATGAGGTGATTGTGGAGTGTGAAGCCCCTTGTCCTCAACCGCCAAACTAACTACTACAATCTGACTACTGGCGCTGCTAGCATCGTCTTCGTCCATGGACTGACCGGTAATCGCGAGACAACGTGGACTCACAAAGAAAGCAAGACCTTTTGGCCGCAGACACTACTTGCTCGCGACCTACCTAATGCTCGCATCCTTACCTTCGGCTACGACGCCGATATCGTGGGCGCGCTTAAGCCTGCGGGTTCGAACACGCTAAGGGATCATGGAAAGTCACTTGCGAATGATATAGCGCTAAGGCGGATGAGGTCTCGTACTGTAAGCTAAGTATTGCGCTACAAACGGTTACAGCATCAGCTCAAGAGGTCTAGAATCATCGTCCTCTTATCTTCGTCGCGCATAGCCTTGGAGGGCTAGTGGTGGAACAGGTTGGCTTCTGCTCTTAGCACATATGAGCTGAGCTGACAACAATATGCAGGCTCTTCTAGTTGCCCGTGGCGCAGCACAACAGCATCTTAAGGATGTCCTTGAGTCCACCGCAGCCATTGCCTTCATGGGCACCCCGCATATCGGATCAGCCAAAGCGGATTGGGCTACGCCTTTAACACGCCTCTCCAACGTCCTTCGGAAGACGAACAGCGAGATTGTGCAGGTGCTCAAGCCTGGGTCGGAGATGCTGGCAAACCTACAACAAGAGTTCCACACGCTGCTGGATGATCGGAGCAGGAATCAGAAGAAGACAATGGACATGTTCTGCTTCTTTGAAGAACTGCCTGTAGTAGGGGTTGGCAAGGTGAGTAGGGCAACAGTGGCAGGCTTCGAGTATTATAGCTGACGCACTGTATAGATAGTACCCGACCATTCTGCAATACTCAGTGCGTGTCCGAACCGCAGCATACGCGCAAACCACATGCAGATGACGAAGTTCAGTGGCGCTAACGATGCGGGCTACGTTGCTGTCAGTGATCAGTTGTGGTTATGGGTCGATGCTCTACAGAAGGAGGCCGAAGCTGCAGCTAAAGCAGCTTCGGTGTCGCCAGTGTCGGTAGAAGAGATACGAGAAAGGCGCAACAGAAGGCTTGGTACGATGCAAGATGTTGTTAGCGGGTCACAACACTTCGCGTCAGTGAACTCCGGCGGCGGACCAGTTTTCCAGGGCAATCAGAGCGCTGGACGGGATTTTAACGTTGGCATGAGCTCACGCTGACGACATGTCATTCTTTTTGCATACAGCTTCATGTCAGATTTGGTCGTCTGCGCAACATCGTTCTTGTAAACCTCAGTAGTGTGTCCTCGCGCAGTGTAACATGTCTGCGCCGTATGCTTAACGAACTAATTCAGCCGAAACATGTCGTGAATGATGATGGAACGCGTGCTCAGATCGGAGCAACATTTGCGCAGGTCCGAAGGTAGAGTTGAAGTTTGGCCAGGTAGAGCTTCGGGACAGACTACACAGTGGTTTCCTTTAGAATTATAGACTCCAAAGCGCAGAATGCGTTTCTCTACGATTTCCCCGCCAAGCTGCATGATAGCATACCCTGAATGTGAGATCCAAGAACCAGCGTTCGAAACCCATGCGCCTAAGTTCACGTGCGCTACCACGCTGATGAAATTACAATAATCAACCCGGGCGGTCTTGTACTGCGCTGAAATCGCTGAGACCAAGCCCACAAAGACTTTCATCAAGACTAGACAGAGTCGCGTTGATCATAGCAGCAATTCCACAACCAGAAGAACGACTATAATAATTTCTCCTACAGTTCTGCACCAATGGAAATTGGAATGCACGAATATTGTGCACCAACTCGTCGAAACTGAAACCTAGAAAGGGAGGTTCAGGTCGGGTAAGAAGCCCTATAGACCTCATACGTTTCGTGAGCGCACCCAGCAACATCGTGTCACATTCCTCACTGCAATGCACAGTATCGCCTTGATAATCCGTAAGGCAATTATGCAGTGCCGAAATGATTTTACGGAGTGACTCTTGTCTCCGCTGATCAATTGTCTCTGGAGTTCTGCGTTAACCCGTGAATCTATAAGGGCAACGAGTACTAACCGACTATTGAGTCTGGAATTGGAAGCCAATCTTCAGCAATCACGCTCTTGGTTTGCCGTTGAGCGATCCTGGTCACTTGTTTAAACTCAAGCGGTTTTTGGAAAACCCAAGATATACAAATCCATTGCACGAGATCAGTTGTGCAAGTTCCAGGCAGCTGTTCTTTCAACCCGTCGACCCACATGTCCGAAAATACTTCTACAGCCTCGTGGAAATGGTAGTAATCGACTAGCTTCGCGAGTTGTGTGAGTGTCTTAAGATCCACCAGCCGGGGAACTTTTCTAGTGCGGCCGTGAATGATGTTCATCAAGATCAACATGGCAGCAGGATCGTCTTCCTTGAGGGGGATTTCAACAGAGCCTGTAGAACGCAGAGTGTTACCCTCCCCCCAATCACCTCGGAACATTCGTTCGAAGTGAGATGAGGCGAGACTGAGATGCTTTGATGAGACTCGCATTCGGATCTCCCCCGAGTTTGTATCCACTGGGATCCAGCCGGTCGACTCCCGGTGCCATGCTAGATCTGAGGAAGTAGAAGTAGTCCCTTTCTTAGATTTCTTCGTTTTTCGACCGCGTGGCCGGGCTAAGGACCCGGCCGAAGCTGTCCTCTCATCGGCCGGTTCCTCCACATGTTCAGCTGGGGCTTCGTCAGATTGAGGAGGCGGCGCTAGATCACTCCGTGAATCGTCACGTTCGGCGAGTCGCAGGTCCTCTAATGTCTTGTGAGGATAGGATTGTCTCTCTAGGATTAACTCGACATCTCCACGCGGATCGAGTTCGTAGTAATCTCCCGACATGGCGCCAAGCTTCAGACCATCGCTGGAGGGTCGTGCCGTAAGCGGGGCGCTTCTTCTATTCGAAATTTCGGACGAGACTTACTTCACATTATCTCCACTTTCAGTATCGCAGAACTGCCTGAGGTCTCGGCGGGCGGAAAAGGTTTGCCTCCGATGCTGGCACCCTGCCGCCCACGTGCCGCCTTGTCACTCGTGTTGTGGTGGGGGGCTGAGAAAAGATGACCATTACTCTATTGGACTATGTATGTATCTGTTTCCTTGCAATCCTCTCTGGAGCAGAGTCTCCAGGAAAGAGAATACAAGAAATCTTTCACATCTCACTGAGATAGTTCCATGTTGTGTGTAGGTAGGTATAGGGTAATATTAGCAGTGTGTACATGTGAGTATAGGCTTTGGGAAGTTCACGACTAATCGCAAGGCGTTATCGTGTCTTGTCTACTATGCTACTTACCTCTTAACCTTTTACTAAAGACGCATGTCGACGGCTTCAACTAGGCCGCGTGTTGAGGTAGTGAACACAATCTTAAACCTCTACACCAACATTGTATTCATTCAGTCCTAGTATCAAGCAGTCCTACCCCTAATACCACGTTATATCCTCCCAAATCGGAGCCCGCTGCAGATGCTCCTGATCCCAAAGAATGTTGCCCTTCTCATCGAACCATGCACCTTCATCAGTGATTGGAATGACATTGCGCGTGTGCCTAACTTCTTGTGCGCTAATACCAAGTACATCCTTGACGATCCACAGTTCGGGCGCGGGAGAGACAACAGCCGGGTTAGCGTACGCCTCCTTCTGAACGTCTTCGGGATACGATAGTATCGAATGGCTCAAATCCGGGTCTCGAAGGTTGTGCTTCAATGCGTAGTACGACTGATGCGCCTGCGGAAATAGAAAGCGAGTGAACATGCCACTGATGCCGCCTTTTTGCGGGGAAATGTTCTGCTTGCGATTGGAAGGCGCCGTCCAGTGCGGTTTGTCGGAGACCATAGGCTCAGAATTGCTGTGCTGGACGGGATTACTATTCTTCGAGTAAACGCCTTCCTCCATAGCGTTTGTTGCTCCTCTCTGATCCTCCTCTTGATCAAGAAACAGATCACTAGGGAGGAATTTCGTGAGAGGGTTCAATGCACTACGCATGGTGATGTGATAGAGCACTGTCAAGATAGTAAAGAGGATCATCAGCACTAGAGGACCACTGGAGATAGCACTGCCCGAAGTTCCAATAGCGAAGAGTCCGATAAGACACAGCTCGGCAATGTACACACCAACAGTCAGTTGCTGTAGAGCTCGAGCGTACGCAGCGCCTCTGGTGTCGACACTGTTTGTCGTGACAAAGAGGAGATTGTAGCGGAAAGCAAGATATAGGATGTAAAGTCCGACGGTCGCGAAGCCGAGAACGAGCGGCGCAATACAGGAGTATGCGATAGCTAAACCATGCCACGTCAGTCGATAAGCCGTACAATGAACAGACTCGGATTTACAGACCAATGACCGCAAGATTGGTAAACTTGGGGTACACAGACCCCCATCCCAAACCAGGCAGCTGCGTGTATCGCCTGAACATCTTGCGTGGGGAATCATCCAAGAACTTCCCAAGTATCTTGAACTTGAGAAGAGGAACAATATTCAAAAGTGTAGAAGCGCTAAGGGCTAAGCCATACAAGATGAAATACGAGATGTAGAAATTGGACGCCGTAGGGAGTTGCTGTGCTAGTAATGCAGGCGCTCCCGTGGGATCCGACACGATGTTACGAGCGACGGCGGCCGCTCCGGAGGAAAACGTTGTAACCAGAAACACTTGAATGACTTGGAAGCCGAAATACCACGACTGTGTCTTAAGTTCGACCAGTGCATGTGTCGGTTCAAATAATCCAGCGAGGACTATTGTCTATTAGCCTTCTGTTGGAATCACACTCTTGGTAACAACTCACAACGACATAGAACTGGCACGAGAGCGAGAAGAGCGGCAAGGAGCAAAGTTGGTAGCAACCCTGTAATCACTCCTAGAACAGATGACGGGATGTCATCAATCCACGCCAAGAAAGGTATTTGTGTAAGCTGGTCGACATTCGTGAGCACGCCAATGAACGCAACTGGTACGGACCAGAAGAGTGTTAATAGAGTGATGAGGAACGTTGCCACGGCAGAACGAATTATCGTATTCCACCAACTGAGGCCGACATTCTTCCAGATGACGTCTGCCGGGACTGCTCCGATAACACGCGGAGTCATGTGGAGAGGTGTGTGGTGCGCAGTCTGTTGGAAAGCGCTTTGGGCCGCCCGTTGTGTCTTGAATTCAATAAAGATAGCGGAAACCTTCTTAGCATTACCCGCTCGATGAGCCGCTTGTTCACGGTCTACCTTAGGGATAAGTTCGCGGAGAGTCGAGCGAGCCCACTCAATTGTATCGACCTTCTCTCCGATGATTGGCTTTAACCTGTGAGTGGGGCGGTCCTTCTTGTCAAGCCAAATCGCTGCTACAGAGCCAAATTCCTCTGGATCAGAATGAGACGAGTGAGCACTGCTATCATGTTTGTTGAGGCGCTTTTTGTGGGTCTTGGTAGCCTTCTTGGAAAGTTGGATTTCCGCATCCTCGAGCCTGAAGGCCGCGTCTTCCCGACTATCGACAAGCTCTTGAAGCTTGTCGCAATCGGTTGAGATCCATACCCGCTGGACTAGAGGAAAGGTCTGCCGTAGGCGCCCCTCGTCGAGGAAGTGATCGGGCACCGAGGTGAACAGCACTGTTCTTGACGACATACGACTAGCGTTGCGGGGTGATAAGAGGTAGGCCTGACGCAGATTGATGAAGAAGATAGTTTCACGAGTGATCATGAACATGACGAAACCTATGGAAGAGTCAGCTCAAGCAAGAATAGTGCGAATCACAAGCTCCGAACGTTGCCAAGTCAACGCAGTTGAAGCGGGGTACAACAAAATATATAGAGTGACAGTTGCAATAACAGGGTGACTTGACCGAGCGACTGAGCGCTTAAGAATCTTTGTCGGTGTTGAAGTATGACTTGAGCGCGCCACTGCGCAACAGCAAGCGAGAGGGATTAGAAGTCCACTTGCCCAGAAAGATAAATGCGACAAAGCAGGTAGCGTAGTAGCGTCCGACCTCGTTGAGATGGCTGAAGGACACAACTGAGAGTCCCGAAGCATCACCGTTGCCAGTGCCGTATACCGGGAGGAGTATGGGCCAAGTGATGCAGGTTCCGACCAAACACATAAGCACAATCATTTTGAAGAAGCGCAAGAAGAGGAATCCATCGAGCGATGAGTGATTGAGGACATAAGCGTCCGGAAGACTTCGAAATTCTTTGATCCATCCGAACAAGCCGACAGATGCAACTGGAGTTTTCTCTCTAAGCCACTACGTCAGCGTCTTACAAGAGGTCAGGAGCAGAAGTACTACTAACTGGTCGCGAAGGGTACCGAGGTACGTTCGGGGAGCATATAGACGGCGTTGGCTGCGCCGCAGTAGAAGGAAAACACCGAACAGGACCACGCTAACGATAAGCACGGGGATCAAAGTCGATAGCAGTCCTGATATAGAGTTCGATCCTGCTGATCTGTGACGGCCTTGTTGAGCAGTCTGACATGAGCTATCGATTAGTAGAGCCGAATCTGTTGGATGCATGCGACTAGACGACTCACGGCTCTAGGTGCTAGTAAGCTTAGGACTGGAGAGCGATGGGTATCCATAATGAGATGGAGGCCCTAAAGCTCGACGACGCAGCAGCAATGGCGAAGACGGTGCTTTATGCTCTGTGCCGTCCTACAAGTAAGCGCATGGTAGCTCGCGCACGCCTCCGACCGCATCGGTGACAAACAGGTTATGCGGCCGTTTCAGGGAAGCTTTTACATAGTGTCGCTCGGTGAAATTAGCCATGGCAGACACGAACTCAAGGCTCCGGCTTGGCATGCATGCCCTTGGCGGCGCTGAGGACACGCATAGAAATGGGAGCTAATCCATTTACGAAGCCCTACTATATCTTGATTTCGAACCCTAGAGCTCAAACCTCCTGTGGCGCTTCTGTAACCGTGCCATGTACAGCTTATCTCTCTGATTTGATAACAGGATTCAAATTCTCTTTAGGATAAATCCTCTTAAGCCCCAACCCTAAACGGTACGAAGTCCTAACCCTCCAAATCGCAAAAACAATTGAGAAGGACAGGCTTTTCTATGCTTGGATCCATTGTATCTCATGAACCATGCAATCCATTTGGTTATGATTCCGTTCCCCCATCCCAGCGAAGAGGGACTGTACGCTGTACAAAGTTGTGCAACGTATACCAGCTCCTAAGCCGATCCACCCTTACGACCCGCCTCCTTGGCTGCCTCGCTACCCTTGGTGAACGTGCCATCGGCATTACGACCCTCCTCGGTACCAGTGGCTGCAGATCCGGTCTCAGAAGAGGTAACATTCATGATACCGCCCGTGCTGTGCAGGCCACCTTTGTGCCCGGCTTCGGAAGCGGCTTCGCTGCCCTTCGTGAAGGTGCCGTCGGGGTTGCGGCCTGAGGTGGACATGATGGTAGATAAGTGGGTTGTTGAGTTTAGTGAGAGTGAGCTGTTTGCTGACATGGTTAGCATAGCCATGAACTGATAACCAGATCGACTTATTCTGTGCTGACTGATGCCAGTGAGATATGTTGGCCTCACCTGAGTTGAGTTATCGTTGAGTTGTCGTTGGGTTGAGATGATAGCGGCTGTTTGAACTGAATCTTGGATCTGGTCGCATGTCTTATCCTGCAATTAACGCGTGTCACCGGCACGTCATTGCCTGGAAGCTAGCAGGAATTCGCTTTATCACCAGAAGTTTGCTTCTCATCTTTGTTCCATGGTCCAACGAGAAGCCGTACGTTCGTTCGGAAGCTTCTCCACCGCTTCACACGGCCAAGACATACAAGCCGCCCTTGCACCCTTGGCATTCGATTCCTACTCATGTCGCCGGAAAATGATGAAATTGCCAAGATCGGCTTAACCGGCGAATGTCTGTTGCAAACACAGTGGATAAATCGTTGGCTGACGTCAAGCAGTGAGGACAACTTTTCGGTCCCAGTGTTCGAGGTTGGCAAACCTCTTTAGTCAACCTTCTTCACGCTCTGTCAAGAGTTCAGTATATGTACCTATGTACTGTTGCTTTCCTTCTTTACGAAATCACACGTCATCAACTTGGCCTTGAAGGTTCCAGCTAGAGCGCCTCAAGATGGACAGTTGCCCGAGAAAGATGGCAATGCTTTATTGGACCATTATATGTGCCTGTTTCCCTGCAATCATCTCTGGAGCAGAGTCTCCAGGAAAGAGAATACAAGAAATCTTTCACGTCTCACTGGGATAGTTCCATGTTGTGTGTAGGTAGCTACCACATATCCAGCCCTAGACGAACCTCATGACCGTTGGTTGGCCGTTCGAGTGTGCTAGCGCGAGAACACTGCCTTAAAAAGCTCAGGAGCCGGGCTCTTAAAAGCCTCAATGGATCTCAAAATCCTGTGCCGTAATATTAAGCAACCCTGCCTCCTTAAGGCCATCTACAACTTCACCATCCATGATCCCGTAACAAAAACACTCGCCCACAACAACCCAATGACGGCCAAGATGCACCCTCCTTAACAACAACGGGATATCGCACCCAAACAAAACAACCACGACATCACCAGTCTTCGCTTCCTCTGGAACCATCGTGTACAAGCCTTCTTCGGTGAGGGCAAAGCGCCGGCCCCGAGTCGTCTTCTGCAACATTAGGAGCAACTCGTTCGCTAGAACACTTAGGTCGATCCTGTCCCTCCCCGGCACCATTGAGTCCTCCGCAGTTTGAATGAGCGAGTCCAGATCCATGTCGTACCATTGTCGCGGGGCTTCGGAGAAGTAGGGGTTGAGATAAGAGTCAAAGACAAGGGCTCGCCAAAAATACGATCGCTCAAAGGGATTACTGGCCGAGGGGTGTTTCTCGGCGAGACGGTACCAGCTAACGACGGAGCGAACCAGCTCGACGGGGTTGGGATGGGAGTTTTGAATCTTGTCGCCCACGTGGGTGAGTTTGTGAAGTAGGACTCCAGAGGCATGGAGAATTTTGTCTTCTTCCGAGAGGACGTAGACGGGGGGCGTTTTCCCCGACACTGTGTAGCGATTTCCGCTGAGGTCGTCGATGGATAGAGTGGATGAGTCTCTGCCCCAATGCGGAAGCCAGGACGGAAAGTTGTCGGTTCCCTTGTCACGAATTCCGGCTGCGGTTAGGATATTGAGGGGACCATGCGCTCTGCTCACCGCCTCTTCTGTCTCGTAATCAACGTGCATCTCGTCATCATCTAGCGTTCGTCCTTCAGCTTCTGCTGCCAGCACAGTTGCCCGATTATAGCTCATGGTGTAGTTTAACGTAAACTTTGGGTTGCTGCCAGTATGTGATTGAGATTGCGTCCTTGCTAGTCTCGGCTCTGAGGCACAGAACTTGAAGATATCCAGGTACAGATCTCGGACTGGCCTCGAGTATTCGACAGTGATGAGTTGGTCGTACGCCACACTACCTTCGTCCAGAAAGCCCAGCAAGGCAATTACTTTATCTCGCGGGTCCGTTGCTAGGGAGCCGCGATATCTCAGCAGCGCCGCTGCCAGCCACGAGGGCCCCTTTGGCATATTGATATCTTTTCGCTCACGACCTATCGCCAGCGCCTTGTTCTCTGCAAGCAACTCGACCCATGGGTGGTTAAGTGGCCTGCCAGGATGCTCCATGTCTAGCTCAGCGGATAAGCTGCTCAACACGCGCATCAGGGCATCCCAAAAGGACGCGCTCCGAGTGCCGACACATACCTGCGGCGCTGTGCCGAAAGCAATCTCCTGCACAATCCACATGCGCTTCCAGTACGGCCGCTGAGAGAGCTCAGACAGCGCTCTCCAGATATGCAGCAGTCTTGGCTCCTGCATCGCGCGATAATAACGGGCAGCTGCCCACTCATCATCGCCACCATCCAGGGTGGGGTTCAACAGCCGTTCATCTTCCCAGCCTATGAAGTCCATCATCAGGTCACTGTTCTTGAATGCCGGCCCCAGCCAGATGAGCGTTTGCTGCGACTGGCGGTAGATGGTGCGCATGATGCGCACCTGGGCGTTGCGCTCAGGAATGGACAGCTGGTTGATGCAAATGGCGTCGATCCAGAGCGTGCGTGATGCATTCTCAAGACGAAGATGGCAGATCGCGTCGTGGAGGCTGCGCGTCACGTGGAAGGGCTGGTCGTTGAGTGTGATGGCGATGGGATCAACCGGGGAGCCCCATGTATACGATAGCGCTTCATACCGTGGGGACTCGTCGAGAGAAGCGTGGCTCAGTTGACAGGCGACTGGTGTTTCCAGGAACGCGCCAGGGGAGATGGTGACAAGTCGGATCTCGTTCTTCGGTGAGTTAAGGGCCGCATAGGCAAAGGCCTCATTTATGGTGTTTGGCTGGTTAATCGCTTGAGTTGCAGAGGGTTTCTCTTCCTCTGACTGTCGCAGGTTCCTGAACGCGTTCCGCACGTTGCCCGAGAAGCGATCCGAAACAGAAAACGCCATTCGATTTGCAATCCAGGACACCAGCAAGATATCCGCTTGGTGTTCCAGCTGTCCTTCATCAAGCTACTACAGAATACTCACGGCGTCGTTTGATAGATCAACTGCCTGAGGCAGAAACTAGTTTCGGCGCTCGGAGAAAGCCTGCCTCCGATGTTGGGACTCTGCCGCCTTGTCTCCATTGACGTCGTTCACACTCTTTAGGCACGAGACCCTTGTCTCGCACACCTCTTTAATCCCATGCGTCTCACCTCCATACTAATATCTCTCCTCCCACCATAGACAGCCTCCCTCAACTAGACTGCAGTAGCACCACCTCTTCCATCCCAACCGCATACCGCAATCCGCAACGATGCATGACCCCTTCCTCCCCGCGCCCGCCTTCCTCTCCCGCGCTATCCAACCCGTCGCAGACTACCTCTCCTTCACCACCCTCCCGCTCCACATTCATGAAGTGCTCCTCTCCGCGCTAGCCTACCAGCTCATCAACACCTACGTCTCGCCCTTTCTCTCCTCGCGCCTCTTCCCCCGCACCTACCCCCACCTGAACGCGCGCACCAAGATCAACTGGGACGTCCACGTCGTGAGCCTCTTCCAGAGCGTATTCGTGTGCGCGCTCGCGCTATGGACCATGGCAGTGGATGAGGAGCGGAAGGATATGAATTGGAGGGGGCGCGTGTGGGGGTATACGGGCGCGGGGGGGCTGCTGCAGGCGTGTGCGAGTGGGTATTTTTTGTGGGATCTGTTGATCAGTACATGGCACATTGGGGTCTTTGGGCTGGGGCTGTGGGCGCATGCTGTTAATGCGCTGTTGGTTTATTCGCTTGGATTTGTGAGTATTGCGTTTCGTCGTTCCTATCTTTTGGCGCCCAGGAGAGGCTGCAGAACGACATGAGGTCGCGCAGCGGTTGAGGAGAGAGAGTGAAGCCACGGCTGTCCTCTTCCTATCAACCGCCCACCAGTGACGAGTTCCTGCGTTACCCCAGCACCCCCCAAGACTCCACCTCGAAAACTCACCCAGCTAATCCCTCTTCCCACAGCGCCCCTTCGTAAACCACTACGGCCCGATCTTCATCCTCTACGAGCTCTCCAGCCCCTTCCTCAACATCCACTGGTTCTGCGACAAGCTCTCTCTCACGGGCTCAAAACTTCAACTCTACAACGGCATCCTACTCATGACCACTTTCTTCCTCTGCCGGCTTGTCTGGGGCTCCTACCAATCCTTCCGCGTCTTCAGCGACATCTTCACCGCGTACCAGCACGGGCATTTTGAAGTCGGGTCCGGGCCGCTCGGGACGATGAAGGAGGGGGCGAAGAGCGTCACTGCGGAGGACTTAGGATCTTGGGGGGCGGGTTGGACGGGCGAAGGCGGCAGGAGCGAGATGATGCGCTTTGCGAAGGACCAACATATTCCGTATTGGCTTCCGGCCGCCTACCTCGGCGCGAACGCGTTACTCAACGCGCTGAACTGGGTCTGGTTTGGCAAGATGATCGAGACGATACGGAAGCGGTTTGAGCCGCCGTTCGGGACTAAGGGCGTTGAGGGTAGGGTTAGGGGCAGGAGGAGGAAGAGCATTGAGGAGAAAAGGAACGAGATGTTAGTTGAGGGGATTGATGTTGATACCGATAGCGGTGATGGGAACGAGGAGGAGAGGGAGGTTGAGATTAGTAGGGGTGTGAATGGAACTGGGAGGAAGAGTATCGAGGTTAAGGCGACGGAGGTGAGGAAGAGGAGGAAAGCGTAGGGGTGTGCGGAGGAGGCGTAGGGGGCTGATGGCATTATTCAGGGGCGTGGTGTTCGTCGATGCTATCTTTGGGTGTTGATACTGTTGACTTTGGCGAACTTGGCGCGCTGGATTTAGCGTCTGTTTTTGATTTGACGGCAGAGCACATGGAGTTGACCGCAGGGGGACGTTTGGATAGAGGAAACCGCTTCGAATCTTTATGCTGATCGACAGCTCTCTTCAAGTTTACGCGCTTCCACTATCTCAAACTTTCTCGACATGCACTACTCCCGTCTCGCCCACCCCCGCCTTCTCAACATCCCCATGCGCCACCCGGTCCTCCCTCATGGCCTGTTCATACACCTTCTCGTCCTCCGCAGTCGCGCCGTAGTAATGCACCGCGACCCTCTCCCCAAACGCCTGGTTGATGTCCTCCAGACTCCTCTGCTTCGTCTCCGGGAAAATGAAATACACGTTCAAGAAATGACAGGCCGTCGGTATGATCAGCACAATGAAGAACCTCCACGTGATCTTCTCCAGCGCGATCGGTCCAACCGAGAGGATGATGATGGAGGCCACATACAGCCCCACCATGCTAAACGCCACCCCCGCGCCCCGAATATGCGTCGGAAAAATCTCTGCCACATACAGATACTGCGTCGCGTCGATAAAAGTGCTCCAAAACGCAATAAACAGAAAGATGAAAAACACAGCGGCGCGCTGCCCGGCCTTGTTCGTAGTGCCCTGGTACAGCGCCTGCAGGATGCACTCGAAGACCAGCGTCACGGTGAGCCCGGCAAGCCCGGTTAAGAGGAAGAGCCGACGGCCTAGTCGGTCGACGAAGAAGGCGGTAAAGATGTTGCCGGGGAAGGAGGCCGTTACCCAGATTGCGGACAGGAGGAGGGGCATGTAGGTTTGCATGCCGAGGTTTGCGTAGAGGATAACGCCGTAGTTGGCAATGATGCTGAACGGTAGGTTGTTAGCGGCTGCTGCTGCTATGTTGAGTTTGGGGGCGGCGCGGAGGCGCGGAATAGGTATAGAAATTGGCAAGGTAGATGGGTGGGCAGGTGAAACTTACAGCACACCGGTGAACATATTGAGAAACATAAGCGAAAATCCGACATATGCGCGTCGCCGGTTCGGCGCCGTCTTGAAGAGCTCAAAGGCGCTCGTTTTCGCCTTGATCGCGCGGTCGAGGTCGAGCTGCTTCTTCATCTGGTAGAACTCTTTGTTGGCCAGGTCATCTCTGGCGTCATCGCCCGTGTGGTGCAGGCGTTGGAGCACGGCGTGGGCTTCGTCGGCGCGGTTTTGCGCCAGCTGCGACAGTGTTAGCGGCGTGGTGGACAAAATAAAGGGAGGGAAAGCGACGCACCAACCAGCGTGGAGAGAAGGGCAGCCAGGGCGAACAGCCTAGCAGCAGGATGGCGGGAACCATCTGGAAGGCGAGGGGAAAGCGCCAGGCGAAGCTGGAATCTGAGCCGGAAGCGCTGACAAAGTAGCAGCCGAAGCCGATCCAGGCGGAGAGCGTATATCCCATCGCGAACATGATTCCATGCATACTCACCATAAAGCCGCGAGACTCCGGCGTAGAAACCTCAGCCTGGTACATGGGAATGACCTGCACTCATCCATCAGCCCAAGACACCAACCCATCAGAGCTTCTACCCACCGTGATAAGCATACCAACCCCCCACCCCGCCACAATCCTCGCAACCATAAACATGGCCACATTCACACTCCCCGCACACAGCGCCGCTCCCACAATCGAGAAAATACACCCCATCTGCATCGTTCTCAATCGTCCCCACTTATCACTCGACCAGGCCGTGAAGACAGCAGCAAGCGCCGAGCCCGCAGAATTGACGCCATTGAAGGCGCCGATTAGCTCGGCTGTGCGGTCGTAGCCGGGCTCGCCTTGCGGTGCCAGCCCGAGGTTGCTGTAGAAGGACGGTTGCCCGATTGTGGAGGAGATGACGGCCATGCCATAGCTGCAGCATGTGCTGCCGAGGGCGGCGGCGATGACGACGAGGAGGTTGAAGGCGTTGGGGATGCGTTTGCCCATGGTGGCTGGAGGTGGTGCTGGATTTAGGGAAGATGTGTTCGGTGCTGGATAGGGATGCACAAGACCTGCCGCGTTGTTAGTATCAGGTATTTGGACTGGTCGTCGGTATCGCGAGCAGTTTGAAAAAACGTAAATATGGAACACCGGCAGGAAAGCTCTCAGGAAGACAGATCGGAAGCGAAAGGGGTGATTGAATTAGCTACTCACTTCTGCACTCCGGCTTTGGCAGGAATCTATGATCGACGAGCACAGGAGACACCAACAATTCGCGACGCAGACCACGGGCGGATATGGCACAGCTGATATTTGTTTACTCCAGCTCCACCACTGCAGCCGCGGATGCCAGCAAAAGCTCCACCTCGGATAACCTCAGGCGAGAAGCCAGCCTGACCAAGCATCCTGGCGAGACCGTTATCTGCCGCCGAGCAGCTTCCAATCATGAAAGCTTCGAAACGTGCCTTGCCGTTGGATCGCCGACGGTTGTCTGTGATGCGGGGAATTCTGCTGCAGCCCTAATGCACGGCGTTGATCTTTGCGGGGTCTAGCGTGGGATGTGGAAGGGGGTTTCAGAACTCCATCGGAACTTCACCGCTAAGCGCGGCCTCTATGCGGCTATCACCAATCCTTTTTGGGAAGTCGTGTCCCGGTCGTTTCGCGCGAAAGCGAGGGCTGAGATGTGGAAAGACGGTGGAGGCCGGGTGGGAGCTCTTAGCCATGATGGAAGAACACTCGGAATCACAATTGAAGACTTGTTGTATAAATCTTGAAAGAAACATTCAGCGAGCGCAACAAGAGACGAGAGGGACTGCTCTGTTACTACTCGCGACTGCTAGTCGAGTCAGACATGAGGTAGCTCCTTATCGAAATCTCTTTTACCAGTGACTCTTACGTGGAAGCATCATGTCCATGAGGTTGTGCGTAGCGTTTTCGTGCAGGTACAGCACACCTGCTAGTGATCAAGCTTTTACAAGGGCTGCTGACGACGTCGATGCGATCGGCGGGCCTAGGTTTCTCCCTCAAAGTGACTATCCGATGCCATGGCGCTGGTCTCGTGCCGGCGGTCTGGAGAGGAGGGCAGTCCTTCCACAAACACGTGACAGATGGAGCTCATTCTATCAACCTCCAGCGGCGGTTTTTCTATTCGAGATAGATGTTCCCCCGCATACGCTGCAGGTTCTGCAGAAAGCCACCTCCTTCATTCGCAGCCCGATTTGCAGCTTGTCTCTGCGAGCCGGTACTCTGAGCGCTACTTGACGCCTGGCCTCTGCCCAACGCCTTCTGCCGCTCTTCCACCAGCTTGATAAGACTCTCAATGAACCTGACCCTAGCCTTCTCCTCAGCAGTGCCCTTCCACACCGTCGCGAGCTCCCGCAACGCATCAATGCGGCTGATTGCAGCATCCAGCCCCTGCGCATCCGTGCTTCCTCCGGTCACTAGATCCGAGATCTCATCACGCAGCTTCTCCGCAAACTCTCGACCTTTCTCCTCGCGCGAGTGGCTGTCTGAGCCAGGTTCGGGCGCTGAGACAGAGATGAGCGAAGATGCGAGAGAGACTTCAGAGGGCGGGAGCGTCCATTGCATCGCTTCGCCGAAGACCTTGATTACGCTTTCGAGGCGGGCGCGCACAAGGGTGAGGGTGCGGAGTTGAGCAATGTAGGGGACTTCTCCCTCTGCTGCCGCGTTTCCAGCTGTTTCTGATGCTGCAAAGTGGGTGGGTCCAGCGTCTGTCCCTTCGTCCGCAGCTTGGTCCCCTTTCTCGGCAGGTGTGCCGGCAGCTCTAATCGTCACGCCTTCTGGCACGAACTTGCGCACATCTTCCTGCAATCCATCCGTCAGGGCTTCAGACAGACCGAGCGTTTCTCCGCGCAGCACCTCAACACGATATGCTAGCCTCCCTCCGCTCCGCAGTATATCGTCCGTCAGCTGTGTGAGGGTGCTGGACAGCCGTGCGGTCTGTGCGTTGAGTTGGGCAAGCAGCGTCTGGGTCTGAGAGGAGAGCTCCTGGAGTGATGCGGAGGCGGCAGCAGATGATTGCCGTGGAGCCCTAGGCTGCGTACTCGAGGAGAGCGAGAGCGAGGGGAGCGTGGTGTTGAAGTAGTCGGCTACGTCAAAGCTAGGTTGGATGAAGGGGAGGAGTGTTGGGTCGGCGACGTGAGTGGATTTGGGCTGTACTTCTTGAGTGGCTGGGTTAGTAGAGAAGGCCATGTTATTGAGACGGTCCAAAGCTTGAGAGGAGCTAGGCGCAGTGCAAGGCTCAGTTGAGAATATGTTCTCTGGCTGCTTGTTGGACAGTTCAAGGCCGTAGCACGAAGGCAATCGGCAAGGCGTCGTCCAACTCTCTCGCCCCTCCCGAGCCAACTGTTCTTAAAGGTGATTGAATGAATGTGGTGTCTTTGTGGGATATATCAGATGAAATCCGACAGTGTTAATTGGTTGTCACGTGCACGCGCGACGTGGGGCAGCTTCGAAAGATGGATCCAAGCCAGCACGGCAAGCGGCAAGCTGCAGTTCCTTCAGCCTCGCTTTCGCGCAAGGGCGAGGAGAGCCCTCCCTGCTGCCTGCGCTTTCGTAACGAGTGCTCTTCTGAGACCAACATAGACGTAGTCTCGTACATAGTTAGACCGGTCTCCGTATTCAATGGCCGTGGCGCAGCGCTGGCTTTGACTTCAGCGAACCTGCCAGATTGAGCCTTTGGGCCAGAACCATTGTGAACTTGATACCCACCAGCTTCCCTAATCTCACCAGCCTGAAGACGTTCTCGTAGAGACCTACCATATCATTCACTTCGCTTCCACCACTGCCGCATTCACCCCGTCCATAGAACCGCTTTCAATCTCACTACATCCATTCATCTCTGACCCACATCCTTCTTTCGCAGTCGTGACATCCCGCAACACGACCACAGCCTCTTGCAATCCTGTCGGCTGGGATCTGTCTATCTACGTTCGCTTACACGTCCGGTTTCTCAATTCAGCATGCCTCGGAAGGCTTTCGTTGCCGATCTAAATCAGGCGATTGCGGATGTCCATGTCGACGGCATCTCCAACGTCCGCAAAGGCGAAGACGATGGCGAATTCAGCTTTGACATCCTACCGCCCGCCAGCAGAACAGCCTACAAGATATCCGCGCTTGTGCCAGAGCTCTCAGAGTATCCATCTAGCCACGAGTTCCACGTCTATGTTGCTGACGACGACGTACCCGCCTCCATCGCTATCAGCCTGCAAGACCTCCCAAGCACGAACGGCAAAACCATAGCGCAACTGCTAGAGCTTGTCTCGCGAGCCGTTGCGCGAGGCGGCGAAACGGACAGCGATGGAGACCTAGTCATGCGCGACTCCCAGCTCGAGGATGAGGAAGGGTCTGAGGAGGAGGAGGAATTCGAAGAATACGATTACTTCCCCGACGAACATCCAGCTCAACCTTCCACTCACAGCGACACTACTCACACCGTTGTATCTAGCGGCCAGTCATCCTCTACGCCAGCTCTCCGAGCCAGGATACGGTCAGACCTCAGAACAGTAAAAGAGGCGGGCTTCAAGGCCGGTCACATTGGACTGCTGCTACATGGCTCCGACAGCTGCTACGTCAGTGTGTCGTGCCGGATATCTAAGCTGGGTATCTCTGAGGAGGCCATGGAAGCGTGGAACATAGAGCCAACTCAGTATCTCATCCTCCTCATACAGTACCCGAACGGCTACAAGGATCTTGACACGCTGAACGGATACGAGAACTTCGTCGCACGACAGTACGTGGCCATGCGAGTGGGCGTGAGCTCCACATACAAGCCGACGATGCAGGAGGCTATCCGCGCTTTTGCCAAGATGAACAAAGAAGAGAAGGATGCTGACTCTGCGGATCACGCTGATCAGCTGACTGAAGGCTTCCGCGACGTCTTTATATCGCAACCCATCAATGCTTTGTTAAACGAGAGGCTGATCACCCTGATCAAGTACCGATGTATGGGAATGTCCTGGAAGGGCTCCGAGGATTTCTACAATTCGTCTCAGGGCAAGAACATAGCCCATGCAGACATGATGGGCACCACATACGTGGCAGAAGAGAGTGTAAGTACTTCCCCCCTGCTCAGCACTCACAAGATCTGCAATCAAATCTGGCCACAACGCTTCCAGAAAACCTATGCACGGCTAGAAATCTGGCGACATTCAGATGAAAATCATCTCAGCACGTCCTGCTGGCTATAATAGGTTTCAAAGCGAGGCGAACATACTGCCTCATAGTGCCGTCTTTCAGATTCATGATTCCCATAACATTTACGACGCGTCTCTCCCGGCCTCGCTGGTTTAGGTATTAGTAAGCTGCAGTGTGCTGACTTCCTGCAGACGAGCGCCGAATACCCAAATCTCGTAATGTCAGATCATGTCCGCGACTCTCGCATGGGTAGTGCGCACTCATTACCGCTGATTGCCATGCAATTCTTCCTCCGCCACTTTGTCCGCTGCACAGAGTTCTGTCTAGTGTGTCATTGCAGGCTCGAAGACGATCTGGAAGCACTGAAGCCATATGTGTGCGACAAGCCGCTTTGTCTCTACCAGTACATGTCGCTTGGCTTTGGTCCAAGCATTGAGCACGAGATACTTTCACAGCCTTACGTGGTCGATCTGCTTGTCAGCTTTTGTTACACAAGCGCCAAATCGGGACTATTGAAAGACTTCCCGCAGGGTCTCAGTTTGAGTGTCCCTCCGGTCGCGGATCTGCGCCCCGGGAACTCTCATCCAACTTATCATGGATACGGGGGCGATAGAGTGGCAACTTCCGCGGAAGACGGTGCGACCGCGAAGCCCACCGCCGCCCAGTTCGACAAGTATGGGCTCCAGCTGTCCTTTGGCGATGAATCGGTCTGTCCCGTAAAGGTGGGAGACTGGGTCGCCATCCAATTGGGGTCGGAGCCTGTAATGCATTGCCGGGTCTCCGAGACCGCGTACTTTCCAACCGTTAAGGTATCTCAGCCGGTTTCAACGAACGCGCCTGAGTCGACAAGCGGGAATGCTGCCGCTAATATGCCTACTCCTGGAAGTACTACTCCCAGCTTGAACACGGCTGCACCTGCACCCGGATTCAGTCCTGTGAGCATCTGGACCTACAACGTAAACTTCGACGGTTTGCCTGAGTGGATGAAGCGATCCTTGATCTGTATTCTTCTAGAGACACTCCCGAGCGTTAGGGATATGGCGCAGTACCTCGGCAAGTACGCTTCAGGAAGTCTGTCTACTTGGGTGGACAGGATCTCGCCTGCCGCTCTGGGCCTTCTTCGCTGGATCATTGCATCAAACAGGTCATGCATCGTGCAGATTGATGAACCGCTTTCGGCGGGTCAGGAGAAGAATGACACTAGATTGCAGAAGTAAGTCTCAGTTGATTTCTTTACTTGTTGTTGTGCTTCACTTAAGCGCGCCTCGCGGTAGTAGAGATTGTTTGCATCAAGATAGACGGGCCCATTGTAGCAGCATCGGCTTTTTCCAAGCGCAATGCTAACTTACAACCAGGACTTCGAAGACCGTCAAAGAGACTGACAGGCTTTATGGAATGCCTGGCTGGATGCAGTTCAGATTCGCCATGGGCGCTCCGGACAAGGAACGACGCTTCATCAACGCGCTCAAGGAAAAGACTCAAGAGCTGAACCTGAAGTATCCCACTCTATTTGCCTGGCATGGTAGCCCGCTCGGCAACTGGCACAGCATCATCCGCGAGGGACTCCACTTCAACCGAACGGTCAACGGGAGAGCATTCGGGCACGGCGTGTATATGTCCCTTCACCACGCAACAAGCTTAGGCTACGCCGGCTTTCACAATGTCCAAAACCAATGGTATTGGCCGCAAAGCCAGCTCAAAATGTCTACCGCCATGTCCCTGAACGAGGTGGTGAATGCTCCGGCGCAGTTCGTCAGCAAACATCCTCATCTGGTCGTCGACAAGCTGGATTGGATCCAGACGAGGTATCTCTTCGTGCAGTGCCAGCAGGCTGGAGCCCTTGCGGTTGAGACAGAGAAGAAGCCAATGCAGGTATTCGAACAGGACCCGAGTATGACTCCCATAGGCGTGAGGGAGGGAATCATGATTCCACTCACAGCTATCTCCCCGTCTCGTCGGCCATCAGTCAAGGCCGTACGGAAGGGGAACAAGAAGATCAAAGCCACAGGCACCATCATCGATCCCATCTTATTAGGAGAGGATGACGCCTCCCCGAATGACGACGATGCCAACAGCGTCGCAACAGACGTAGAAGACCTCGAGATCCTCTTCGACGACGAGCCGCCCCAACCCGAGCCCTCCACGAGCACCAAAAAAGACAAAGCCCCCACCGAAACTTCCAAGCGCAGTTCGATCTTCTCGCTCCTCAACCCCAGAAAGTCGCCCACCGCGCCCACCACACCCCTCACCGACTTCATCCCCGGCACCCTCGACCACAGCACCATCACCAAGCTCGCCCCGCCCGCCTGGGCCACCACAACCGCAACCAAGCGCCTCCAATCCGACTTCCGACAGCTCCTGAAAACGCAATCCTCCACCCCCCTCCACGAACTCGGCTGGTACATCGACGCCGACGCCGTCTCAAACATGTACCAGTGGATCGTGGAACTGCACTCGTTTGAGCCGCACCTCCCGCTTGCCAAGGACATGAAATCCAAGAATCTGACGTCTGTAGTGATGGAGCTGAGGTTCGGGAAGGACTATCCCATGGCCCCGCCCTTCGTCCGCATCATCCGCCCGCGCTTCCTGAGCTTCATGCAGGGAGGCGGCGGACACGTCACTGCGGGCGGGGCGCTGTGCATGGAGCTGCTAACCAACAACGGATGGTCAGCGGTGTCGAGTATTGAGAGCGTGCTGCTGCAAGTTAGACTGGCTATGAGCAGTGTAGACCCTAAGCCCGCGCGATTGGAAAATGGTCCGGCGAGGGAGTATGGGGTCGGCGAGGCGGTGGAGGCGTTTATCCGCGCGTGTAGGACGCATGGGTGGACGGTGCCCGAGGGGTTCGCTCAGATGGCTTATGGTGGCGAGAGCGTGGCGGGCGGGCGGTAGTGGAGACTGGAATTATGGGCTTGAAAGTGGGCGTGCCGGTTGTTGGGAGCGCGCTCTTCGTCAAGAGGCTACGCGGTACGGACCGACGAGCCTGGCGGTCACATTGCACTGTTCGGTTTTGCATGGCGAGGAGGCGTCGACGCGTTTAGGGGAGGGTATTTGCTGGGATCACGGCGACAGCGAGAAGCTCGGTCGGCGCTTTCATTGCTGCTCTGGCGAGCTTCGGAGTGGGCTATGTGCTTCCATTGAAGGAGAGAGAACTCGAAACTTGCTGCTTTAGCTAGTAGCGAATGATACCCGCAAGCATAGCACTAGAAATTGCAGCAGTATCAAAGCATTTTCGCCAAGCGGGAGAAAATTGCGGCAGCAGCTTGTAGAGACGGTTCTCTTCTAACCCACCCTCACCCTTCTCGTCCAAGGAATAAGAACAGAATCATCAACGATTCAGCCTGCACGCCTAAACAGAATCGAGAAACAAAGACAAGCTCATTTTGAACAACCCACGGGATATTTCCAGACCGCTCCAAACCAACACAAAGGTCCGCTAGGCCAGTATGGACGTCCTCAAAACGCCGCCTCCCGCTTCCCAAAAACCGGAACAACCCTGTTGCACGCAACATGATACGCCAGACTCCCCGCAACAGACGTCTTCGCCTCCCGCGCTAACACGCCCTAACTCATCCCCTCTACACCCCCGTCAAATCCAAACACTCGACACCACTAAGCCGCCACTCCGCCGGCCTCTCCCTCTCCTTTATCCCTGCCCCTTTCGCCATCTCCCCCGTTTCGCCCTTCTCCCTCCTCTTCGCAGCCGTCGTCATCGCCGTCGGCCTTGAAGTCCCATACCCCGAGTCACCCGAGTCGGTACGTCGCGCAGGCGTCGGGGCATGCGAAAGGGGCACCTCCGCAGCGCCGCTCAGATCCAACACCTCGGCGTCTACGAGGCGCCATGCGCCTTCGAGGGAGGCGCGGAGCTGGATGGCTTGTTTTGGCTGCCTTTTGGCTTGCGCGGCGGAGACAGGGCGGGATGTCGTGGCCGTCTGTTGGCGCAGGGGCTCTGAATTTGTGGAGGTAGGATAGGCTTCAGATGCCGCTTGGATGGACGGTGGGATCGGCTTTGCGGGTTTAGTACGGCCGGATCGGGGCGCTTTGGCCGCGGGCGCGGGTTTTGGGGGTGGGTTGGGCAGGGCCACGGGTGGAAGGCCGCTGAGGTCGAGTTCGTCCAGTTCTTCGATCTCGAGAGCGTTTGGATGGTCGTTTGGCGACGTAGCACGCGAGGGCGGCGGAGATGTGCGACGCTTCGGTGGAGGCTGCACACGCGCCGCGAAGGGCGAATCGGTCAGATCGGTTTCGGCAGCCGTGAAGTCGAAGCGCAAGGGTTTCGCTGCGGGCACTCTGGCTGGATCGAGGGATTCCGGCGGTAGTTCTGGGCCTGGGCGGCGTGGCCGTGGCTTTGTGGGCGTGGCGCTTTGGGAGCGGCGGATGCAATCTGGCAGTGTCTGCTGCCGTAATTGGTTTGAAGTTGGAGAGAGAAGAAGAGCTGCTCCTCGCTGTTGAGGACATCCTGCTGAAAGTGTTGAAATTTGCGGTGCTGGCAGGTTATTCAGACCGGTTTTGGGACGCTTGAAACGTAGGCTCTGCGAGGCTGAAGGTGATGGAAGAGGCGATGAGGAGGTGATGTCCATCGCATAAACGAATAGAGGTGGAGTCGAGGGACGAGTATCCAAAAGTGGATGATGGGAGGGGTCAGCTGGTAAGGTCTTTGAGCGACTGAAAGGGGAGCGTCGGCGCTTCGTGACAGTAGGCGGCAGGTCCCAGCCCGCTAGGTTATTGGTTTCTTGCTGAGGTTTGCTTCCAACTCTTGAACATTCTTCAACTTCTGGCGAGGACAAAAGCTCAATGATGTTCATCTGCGTGTCTCGCTTCGGAGAGGGTGGACAAGCGCGTGGCAGTCGAAACGTCGGCGCAGGTGACCTTGATTTACTGGGTCGGTCCGGTACCGTTTGAGGTTTGGCGAGGACAGTCTCTTGTGAATTGGAGGGCCTTGAAGGCGGTCGCGGAGAGCTGGAGCCAGGCTTCGTCACTCTGGTATATTGCATGATGGTTCCCGTCTGCATGTCATCCTGGGCTTGCTTCTTCTTTCCTTTCGTCGCTCTACTGGCAGCTGGCCGCTCGGCACGCCGCATCGCAAGTAGTTTCTTTGGGCTTCTGAAGTTCTCTTCCCAATCTTGCACTTTTAGCGGTACTCCGACCTTGACGTATGTCTCCAGGATCCATATCTTCTCCGATACCGTAGGGTCGTATGTGGATGGGCCCCTCTTTCTCGCCGCTTGTGTGCCGGACGGAGCGTCGCCATCGTTCTCGAGTGATGCCACTTCATCCTCAGAATCCTCTCCCGCCCCTTCGGGAATGTCGTCCGGTGGCTCAACTTCCAGGTCAATTGGCACGAGGTCGATCGGCTTGAAGCTGATCCTGAGCTCTGGCACACTGTCCGTTGTGGCGTGCGATCTTCGCCCATGAATCTTAGCCACCAGTCTTGCCTCCCGCTCCTGAATCTGGTCCATGTCGTCAGAACCAGCGTCTCCCCGCTCGCCCCTCATCCTGAGCTCCCTAACCAGCATCGCTGGAGCGATGTTTCTGATGAATCTTCGGGCTCCGCCAAGGTTTAGCCACTCGAACGCGTCCGCCGTGAACGTTCGCAGCGCAGCATAGTCGATCTGCTGGTCCCATTTGAGCTTCGCGCGCAGCAACTCAACCTTCTCCTTCGAGCTTATCGCCGGATGCGTATAGTAACCCAGCACCTCTGAGCTTGGAAAATCGTCAGGCAAAACCAACTTCGACTTCTTCTGCTTGAAGAACTTCGACTCATTCGTTTTGAGCTCATGACAAAGCTTCTCCCTCCAAGCTCTCAATTCCTCTCTCCTGCCCTGTTTTATATCACACAGGCTCTTTCCAAACCCCGCTCTCGCAGCCTCGATCGCCAGCTTCGGCCCACAACCCGGGATGCCCTCGGGGATGTAGTCGCCACCACTCATCAGAGCCACGAGCACCATGCCCTCCCTGTCCAGCCCACTCTTCTCCTTCGTTACCCGCGCATCATACAGATTGACATGCGTCGGCACCTTTCCTTTCCCCTCCGCGCTCCAACTCCTTAGCGTGATATCACTCCCGAACATTAGCGTATCCACATCCTCGCTCAATACAGCATCCACAACACCTTCCCTCTGCAGCAGCGCGCACTCGGCCTCCGCCTCGCCCGGCGCATGATGGTACGGCAGGCCAAAGTGCTTCAGGAGCTGCTTCGCCAGGAACTCAGGGATGGAGGAAACTTTGACATTGGCCCCGCCACCAACGCGACGATTTCGCTTGAAGGGGGGTTTGTTGGGGCCATCGAAGACGAAGAGCGGGTGAATGTCGAGAGTGATGAGGCGCAGCAGGCGGTAGTAAAAGGTGCGCAGCGCGGGGTTGGTGCCACCCTTGCCAGACTGGATTTGGAACAGCCAGATGGAGATGTCGATAGCGAGGCGAAAAGGGCGGCCATGTTTCTCGAAGTGCTCGACGGCTAGTTTGCAGAGGGCAACGCGCTGGCCGGGGCCGATTTCTTTGTATATGCTGCGGGGATGTCAGAAGAACACCGTAGCACATCGGATTTAGACTTGCCCATTGATACCCATAACTGTTTCATGCTGTGAAGAAGCGCGGGGTAAGCAACACAGCGATACACAATGCGAATAAGCTGTCTGGTGAGAGTCGAGTTTCGAGAGTCCCACAGCTTGTCGCGCGCGGTCGAGCAACGTGCGCACGTGACTGTTGTTTGGCATGGCAACCGTCACTATACAGGATTTCCAAATGCTAGAGCACCACGTCGCAAGCCACGCACACTCTCTGATCCAGAATTCAGAGAAAAGAAGAAACATCTGAACTGTCGCTATAGTGGAAGAGCTAGAGAAGCAGGGCTAGAAGCCCACAACCAGCACAATGTCCGCATACATCTCAGATGACGACGGCGCATCTTCTCCAGATCCACTCGCGATATCGGCAAACCAGCCTCTCACCAAACAAGCTCGCAAATCTGGTCGCAGAATGAGCGCGCCGGTCGCCAAGGGCTCGCAGAACACTCAATACATCAACACAGCGTCTGCTACCCCGTCACCAGCGAAATCGATCATTCTCAGTACACCGAAAGCAGCCGGGACGAGCCCGTGGAAAATCAAAGTCACCGTGGAAGCCGAGCCGCAGTTTGACGCATCCGATGTGGAGAACTCCGGCTCGCCTACGAAGACGCGAAGGACGCGCACAACAACCACCACTGTGCCGCTGAAAGGGCCCGATGAATCGAGTCCGGTCAAGCGACGAGGCAGGCCGCGGAAGTCCGACGGTGCGGAGGCAATCAAGGGAAAGAGGAGTGGAACGCCTGTGAAGCGGAGGACGAGGCCATTGAAGAAGTCTGAGGTCGAGGAAGATGAGCTCAATACTGCTGGGGAGCAAGAAGCCACTTCGCCGGCCAAGAAGGGCAGAGGCAGACCGAGAAAGAGTGTAGAGCCTGCTGATGTTCAAGAGCCAGCTCTGCTGCCGCCAGCACGAGAAGTGCCTGGCCTCGGAGAGCTTACGAGGGCGGCGTATGAGTCGGAGTCTTCCGCAGAACCGCCAGACGAGTTCCCGGTGCAAGAGCATATGGAGGGAGCTGAGGAGACACCTGCACCGGAGGCAGTCCATCAAGCGCAGCCGAGAAAGACCTTCGACTTCACGAACCTGACACCTCTGCACCACAAGCATGTCCTACCATCTCCAAAGCCGGCGCCGCCTAAGATTCCAGAGGTCAGACCGCCATACGCCAAATCTATCAAGCTCAGAAAAGCTACGCCACCAAGGCCAACATCTAAAGCCTCCGCTGGATATCTACCGTTTACGCCTTCGCCAGACAAGCAGCTGCCAGATGTTACTCCGCACACGAACAAATTCCTCGCTCTAGAATCGCGCCCGTATTTGCCTGCTGGATCGTCAAAACGATTGTATCAGCCGTGGATAGCGCCGGGCCACCTCCCTTACGCCCAGCCAGGTATTTTGCTTGCAGAAGAACAACCTGTAAAGCTAGACAAGTCATCCGCGAAGTCAGTGAGGCACGAGACTTGCGCAATTGTTGAACTGCACGCTTTGTCTGAGAATCAGCTCAGCTCAGTGCCACTGACGTTGTCTCACGAAGACAATGAATCCGAGGTGTCAGAGGAGGAAGAGTGCGATTTCGAAAACCTCCACGCTGCGAGCCAGGCAGTCGCTGGAGCCGAAGCAGAAGACACCATTTTGCAAAGCGAAGAGTTCAGCATGATTTCGATCGACTCATTGCCTAGCAGACAAGCTATGCTCAGCAGCCCTCCAAATGGTCGGACGCCTCGACGCGATGTTTATGTCACTGCGCGAGGCGATGCACATGATTTGAGTGTCCGTTCTTCAATTGGACCATCAGCGGTAGGAGCCGAAGCCGGCCAGCTACTTCTAGGCGAAGGCACCCCTCCCTGTATCAATTCGTCTTATCTTCAGCTATCTCATCCAAAGGATACGTCCTCTGCGCAGACTTCCCCAACGCCATCCCTGCCGCCAACTCTGCGAACGATCAACACCACGTCTCAAAACACCTCTACACCGAAACTGGCCAAAGTCGTCCGAACCGGCATAGCTTTGCGAGGTGTGCTCAACGATCACACCAGCTGCAGTCCATCAAAGCCGTCAGGCGAACAAGAGACCAGGCTTGACAGTCTCTTTAGCGGCTTCGGCGAAGGCACGCAACGTGAGCTCCGAGCCGGTCTTCGTCTAGGTGAACAGTTGGCGGAACGCTCACAGCAGCGTGGCAAGTTCTCCATCCCAACGCCTCTTCCGTCACAAGCATCGTCAGATGGGAAGACGCCGTATGGCAAGACGTCAGATGGCGAAACTTCTGGTGAAGCATCAAACTCTGGGCACGAGCCAGCCGAAGTGACCTACCCACGGCTACCTACGCCAGAAGAGGAGGGTGAGGATAGCGTAGCTTTGCCTGCACCGCCGGCCACCGTTGCAAACAGCGGCTACGAAAGTCTCAATGCGAAGATGATGCAAGCGCAGCTTATCAGCCCGGCCCGAAGCGCAGTCTCAGATGCTATGAGCTGGCAGCCTAGCACGCCACCTTCGACTAAGAGTAACACCTCCGCTTCTCAGCTTGAGGAATCTCCACTTGACCAGCAGAATGTCGCTTTTGGAGATCCACACGACGCTGCTGGTCGGATTTTGGCGGAAGAAGGGACTCAAGTGACCCGCAAGCGCCGCGCCCTTCACCGCCAGCCCAAGGCGGTGGCAAAGCCTACAACTACAGCAGAAGCCACCGCAGCTCGGACAGAAGAGGACTATGAAGATCTCTGGGAGGAAGAGGCAAGCCGATCGTCCGACCTGCCAGGGAAAGAGAAGTCGCCGCAGCTTGAAGATCTCTTCGCGGATGAGCCGATCCGGCCTCGCCGTAGCAAGCTCCCCAGAACGTGGCGCCGTAAGAGCGCCAGCAACTTCCAGTACAGCGACGAAGCTGAACCCGAAAGTTCCCCTCCCGCTGTTGAGCTGATGGAGCAGCCTACTCGCCACCGTACTGTCACAGTTCCTTTGAAAGCCGCCCATGGAACTTCGGCTACAGAACACACTTCGAGCACTTCAGACTCGGAAATGCTTACACCGCGAACAGACCAAGACGATAGTGAAGAGAATGGGATCCTCTGGCAACGACACTCGCCTTCAACCTCCAACAGAAATCCAGCCATAGCGCTCAACAACGAGCTGAAAGCCACTAAGCTTGACCTGTCGACGCTGCTGGACATACACGGTACACCACTTCAGCTCTCTCCGCCTAAGAACCCGCATCGATTCAGTCCGGTCAAATCCTTACTAATGAAACACACGGCTACCGTAGCCACTTCAGCTGGTGAAGCGCGGTCAGGCGCCAACGTTGACGGGACCAGTCGAGAGGAGATCTACGAGCAAGAGGGAGTGGAAGACACGATGGCATCCGACGTGCGCCAACTCCACGCTGAAATGTCCCATCCAGCACCGCCATCTGAAGCGCGGTCAACGACCAGTCAAGTACGGCAATTAAGCGAAAAGACGACCACTCGTATCAAATCCTACCAATCAGGAATCTCAAGTTCACCCGCGCCCGTCAGCGAGCCGGTTAGTGAGCTCACTACAACCACCTCTACCACCACTACCATCACGACCGCGTCCACCACCCATGCTTCCTCCGCACCCGCACCCGCACCCTCCCTACTCACCCGCCTCACCTCCGCCCTCTGGTCCACGCGCCCCTCCGCACCTCAACCTCCACCGCCTCATCCGCTCATTTTGTCTCACCACCCGCTCCCCTACGTCCAGCCCTGGACTAAATCCCACTACCGTACCCTCGACGCGCTCTACCAGTCCCTCAAACGCACGCCACACCTCTTCTCGGCAGACCATCCCGCAAACGCCGCGTTACTGCAGGATCCACAACACCGACCCCACCTAGTCGCCTACGTAGGCACGCGCTTCGGCAACTGGGGCTACACCGCCACGGTCACCAAGGAGTGGATGGTCGTCGTGGGTGTGTATCTCCAACTCCTCAGCCTTCCGGACGCGGCGGCCTACGCGGGCATTGCCGGCAAAGAACTCGATTTCGGACCAACGGTGGAGCGGCAAAGGGAAGATGGCATAGTGGAGAGGGTGCTGGAGGTTATGGCGGGGTGGCCTGGGGAGGATGGGGAGGCCATTGGACCTGAGACAGTGGTGAGGAGGCTGTGGAGCGTTGTTTGTGGGGAGATGGTGCGCAGAGATGAGAGGAGGGGACGAGTGGTTAGAAGGACGCCGGGGACGTTTTGGGTTGAGTGGCCGACGGGGAGGTGAGGGGAGAGGAATGGGCGGGGGCGTCTGGGGCGCTCTTGAGGGACGAAGTCATGATTTGCGAGGGCGATTGGGCTGGAATTGGATTTGGCGCTCAGGAACTTTGGAGGGTGTGCGTTGGATCTTCATGAGAACAACTTCACGGTTTCATTTGCAGCGCTTTATAGGGGTTGGTGTGCGCTCCTTGTGCAGAACTATGCTCTGCTATGATAAGGATTTCTTCTCCTGGCAAAGAGTTGGTCAGAATCACCTAGATAGCAATGGGTGATTTGAGAGCGGACGCTTCGTAGTGAACCTAGAACGATACAGTGTCATCCCCAGAAGAAACACAGTTGTCAACAACATCATAGGTCCAGCACGTGACTTATTAAACGCATGAAGCGCTCTCCGCATTTCGGCTTCCCCGGCCCGCCCCGTGGTGCATCCACTTTTGTTCTGTCTGCGGGCGTCAACTCTTTTGCAGCGGCGATGCTGTACTGAGGTGGCTTTGGTATGGCCTAAGACGTTCCAAAGTCCCATTCAGCTCAGCTGAGCATTGTACAGAACGGCGGCTGCCACAATGACTATGTCCGTTCAATGATGGTGTGGTGTGTGCTCTCCAACCGTCCCTTCCGACTCACTTATACCTCCGCATCTTAAGAATCGCCTGCATGGAGTTTACAAGGATGACACCTCCCTGATGCGAGAATCAGTGGAGCGTTCATGCCTTGCCTTATGCGACTGCGATGCGGGGAGCGTCCGCGTGCGCTGACACTTTACAGCCACGTGCATTCCTTCGAGAGCAAGGTCAAACATCTGACTTCATCCACTACTCCGCACATCTCTTTGCAGCATCAGTTAGCGTCACACTTCGGCCATGACTCCATGCAAGCACTTGCTGAACGTCTTGCTGCTGTTGGCGGCGGTTACCGTTGGCCAAACCGCTGGAGGCAACTATGCTGCTGGTAGTCCTGATGCGGATGGCAAATATACTATAGCAGCAGAAGGCATCCGCGCTCAATTCATTCCCTACGGTGCCAGTCTCACCAACCTATTCATCAACGACACCAATGCTGTCGAGCGGGACATTGTGCTGGGATACGATAACGCAAGCTACTATTCCATCGACCAGTCGCATCCACACCTTGGAGGAGTCCCCGGTATATAATTCATATCTCAACCCCACTCGTCAAACACGCCAGAGCTCATAGCTTGTAGGCCGCTATGCGAACCGCATCAAGAACAGCAGCTTTGAGATCGACGGCATAGAATATCACGTGCTACCGAACGAGCATAACAATAACAACACTCTTCATGGCGGACCTAGAGGCTGGGATTGGGTATGCCATTCCTTTGCAATTCATGTTCCACAGCTGCCTGACTGTCTTCCAGAGGAACTTCACTGTGGTGGCTCACACCACCTCCTCCGTCACCTTCTCTATCGTTGACCCAGACGGCGAGCAAGGCTTCCCCGGCGAAGTCATCAGTTACATCACCTACACAGTGACGCCATACCAATGGCACATCAAGATGGTTGCACTCGCCACCACAAAGAAAACGCCGATCATGCTCACCTCTCATGTCTACTGGAATCTTGACGCCTTCCAAAACCCCAACAACCCAACCGCGCTGAATCACACGCTCCACCTTCCCTACTCCGGCCAACGCATCGCCGTAGACGGTATCTTGATCCCGAACGGCACCATCTTGGCCAACCAGCCGGGCTCTGTCAACGACTTCTGGACCGCTCCGAAGCAAGTGGGCGCCAGTTTCGATGATCCGGAAATTTTGGGGAACTGCGGGACTAACTGCAGCGGCTACGACAACTGCTTCCTCGTCAATCGCGCGCAGGAGGGGCCGTTCGACTGGAGGTCTAAGGGACCGGTGGCAACGGTGCTGAGTGAGTGGTCTGGGATTAGGATTGATATCTGGAGTGATCAGGATGCGTTTCAGCTGTATGGCTGCGGTGGACAGAATGGCAAGTTATGATTCGAAGCGTCATCGCTTAGTACTAGATCGGTATTAGCTGACATAAACTACAGGTACAATGCCGCTCAAGAGGACGCAAGGTTTCTCTGACGATCCCAGCCGGCCGCGTGTAGTGGAGAAGTATGGATGCGTGGTAATTGAAGTTCAAGACTGGATTGATGGGATCAGCCAGCGGGCGTGGCAGCGGGACAGGAAGCAGATCTTCGGGCCCGACAGTGAGCCGTACGTGTTGGAAGCTGTCTACAAGTTCTCTGTCGATGCGGGAGACAATCGGGAGCTCTGATTCGATTTGAGTATCACTTAGAGGTAATGAGACGAAACACTTTACGCTCAGTACGCGTTCTCACGCGCTGATGATGTGAAAACGCTCCCTCAATTCTCTTTTCAATCTGGCTTCACCATGCTGACGCAAGCCCTGTTTGGGCCGGCGAAGCTGAAGCAGATACACTTCCAGCTACACGGCGATGGTGACCGACCATATACTTCCTAAAGCAGCACCCGTCGAATATCTTCGCCTTCCAGCTGACTTGGAAGTTATGAAAGTTATGCACCCCTTAACCGCTTTCTACCTCCGTTTCTACTGTATAACTTTATACTACTTCACTTCACCTGTGGACAGGCCCATGTTTCTCTTTGTGTGAATTTCAATGACTCGCAGTTACGTCGCGTCTCATTTATATTCAGCTTTAAACCTCTCAAGCGTCTTACCTGCTACAAGCACCGATAATTCAGAGTATCCAGGCGCCGGAAGCGCCTTCGGTGTAAGCCTCCCCCATTTCACTCATGTTGAACATACCTAAGAATTGGTATATCGTCTGCTACTCTTGAAGTCTGTCTATGATTCTTGCGCGCAGCTTTGTCCTTCTCCTCCGTTCTTCACCATCTTTCTGACTTTCTTTCCGTTGCTGTTTCGCGTTGTGGTTTGATTCTTCATCATCATCACCAAAAGCTAACCGCACCGTCGTTAGTCACGATGCCACGCCGCGTAGACATCGCAGAATATGTAAAGCCGCACATGCACAAGATCCAACAACGGTCCTTCAAGCTACAGGCGGTGCTGGGGCTCCGCTTCTATGAGGCGGCACCGTTCCCGCCGGTACAACCAGTGATCCCGGATGTGACGGCACTAAGCGTTGCTGTCAATCGAGGATCACTCGAAAGTCAACACGATACGACATCGCCTGCTGTCCCTCCTCAGCAATCACCTGCCTCCGCAAGCCCAAACCTACTCGCAAGTGAAACCTGGGATCCGAGTTACTGGTCGTTCCCAGTAGATCCCGCAATAGGAGTCATATCACTCCCCAAGCCCGTCTCAGCCATGTGGTGGACACCCGGTCTCGCTCACGATCTCGTGTCCTGGCATGAACTCCTTTCTGCCCGACCTCAGCCACAGCAGGGCCCCATGGTCCGCTCCACACCGCTACAACGCATCACTGGCACTTGGACGGCGACTGCCATACCACAGATCCTCTTCGACATGAGCCTCACCAAGGTCGGCTCGATAACGCTCTATGACATCACCATTCCACCTCAGTCAAACCACAGTTCTCGGTACTCAGCCGGCCGCTGGCTCTTCATCCTCATGAACCAAGCCACGGGCGAAGACTCCGACGCTCCTTCTCGACCCGCCTCAAGTATCCCCACCGACCACGGCGGCCGCCTTGCTATCAGACAGGCACCAGCCCAAGCCGCCGACAACGTCTCGCAGCACCATACACCCGCCCACATAGCCGACAGTGCTGCAGAGGACCAGACAGCATCCGCCAACCCAGAGCGCAACCCCAAGAGACGCAAAACCCACAGCGATATGCCGGCACCGCCCTTACCGCATCAATACCAACCACAACAGCGCAACCCTCTTTCCACCAAACCTCCTCTACCTCCCTTTGCTCCCGGCACATCCTGGCAGCTCCTCGCCCTCCCGCTGTACGCAGTGACATCGCAATTTTCCCGCTCTACGAACATCCCCACCTCTACAAGGCGCGAGGAGTCCAGCGGCCCCAACAACGACAGCGCCACTAATGCACAGGGAGCCAGGAACTCGAGGGAGCTGGTGCAGACGGAGCTTAGGCTGGGCCGTGCCGGGTTTCTACCGCTGGTCGATGGGCATGAGTTACGATTTGAGTTCTGGGATCGGTTCTGTCACGCTATGGGAAAGGGACAGGGAGCATTGATGCTGTTGACGGAGGAGGTGGTGGGCGGAATAGGCTAGGTAGGGGCGCAGTGGATGTGTGGAAAAAGAATGTATTGACTCGGAGGGGTCGTTTTGCATCGGCTGCTAGACAGCGGGAAGGTCCACGGGAGATTGGTTCTCGTTACATGACAAGGGATGGGATCGGACGACTGAAACAGACATTGAATGATGATACGGCCTATGCAGGCTCTTATCTTACGGGCAGAGAGCTGAAGTGGAAATCAATGGAGCTGAAAGCAGCTAGAACACTGCAAGCTACATTTTGCGCCAGAGTGCATTGCTCTCAGCCTATGCATATCTTACACTTGCACATGCATTCCCCACCTGCAGCAACAGATCCACTCATGCCATCAGATGCCACACATGCTACTTCGCAAGCCACATCTCTCCGTACCACACATCCCTTTCAATACCCACCCCTCCCACCCCTACCACCTCCGCCGCCACCGCCTCTCCCTCCTCTCCCTCTATATCCACCACCGCCGCCGTCCCTGCCCTGCTGCTGCTGCTGTCCGCTATAGCTCTCGCGGCCATCGTACCTATCATACCCATCTCCACCTCCACCTCTGTTCTGCGACCCGTCGTACCCGCCTCCATACCCACCCCTTGACGCCTGTGGCGCTCCATACCCGCCCTGTCCACCATACCCACCTCTTCCCGCGCCCGGCATCGGCATAGGCGGCATCCCCTGCGCCTGCGCCCACTGCTGCATAAACCCTGGCGGCAGCATCCTCGGGTCCGGCGGCGGGCCTCTCGGATCGAACGGCGGGAAGCCAGGCGGTCCACGGCCAAAGCTACTAGGATCGAAATTCGGATTCAGGTGCGCCGCAATGGGGTTCGCGTAATTCAGTCCTCCTTGGTTGCCGCCGTTGCTCGAACGCGTATCATAGCTCCTCGGGCCCTGGTCTTCATACCCACCGCCGCCGCCGCCGCCATTGCGGTTGTTGTTGTTGCGGAACTGGTGGCTGTTCCTGCCGCCGCCTCTGCCTGGGCGGGAGCCGCCGTTGAAGTCGTTATTGTTGAATTGGGCGCCGCCGTAGGAGCGGCCGGAGCGGGAGGCGCGGGCGCGGGTGGTTTCGATGTCAGAGCGGTCGAGGGCAGGTGGAGGAAACTTGACACCGGGGAGGAGCATAGATTTGTGAATGTGGGTTGATTTGGGCATTTCGTAGTGGACACTAGTGTGGGTTGTTAGATGCTGATTCTCGTTGGAGATTGAGGGAAGGAGGAGAGGGGAAGAGAAGAGGGGCTTACCTGATGGACTGATCATCCTCGATGTCCGGCATTGTGCCGTCTCCGCCGGGATAGCTGAGGGTGCTCCCAGGGAGGTAATCCTCGTTCTTCTCGACCTTGCCGCTCAAGCCTTCGCTGATGCGAGCGTTGAGCTTGTACTTCGGCGCGCCTTGCTTCTTGCTGTAGAAATTCGTCGACACCTCTTCATACAGTGGATGGCTAGTGGAGAACAAGAGCACGTCCTTGCCAAGCTCATTCCTGGCCACTTCCTCCGCCGTTAGTAGCGGATACTTCGTTGCCATAGCATCCAGCAACCTCTTCGCGTTGATGAACGGCAGAAGCGCAACACCCTGCCATGCAAACTTCTTCCCGTTGAGATCGACCTCGAAGTCCTCTGGGTAGAAGTCTGCGATCTCGCTCGGTTCGACCATCAAAGGCCTGAAAACTTCAGGTATTGCATGATTGGACGCGGCTGGAAGCACACCCATCAGTTGCTCGTAGGGCCTGAAAGGTCTGCCCTTGTCAAATGTGATCTCAAGCTTGTCGAGGTCCACAAAGTCGGCGGCGAAGGGCGCGTAGTGGTATGGATAGTACCACGTCCACGAAGGACAACCTTGAAAGTAGTAAAGCAGAACCCAAGCAAGACCTTCCACGTACGCATTGGCAACTTTGTGCCGGAACTCAACGTCTTTGGGGTCGACCTTGAACTTTTGTTCATAGTAGCGATCCGCATAACCGTCTTCCCACAGGCGTACGGTATCGGGCGCTGGCTCGTCTGAGTTTTTCTGAGGATCTGCACCGGCATCCGGCGTCGCACGTCCGAGGTCTGCGCTATCATCATCGATCATATCTGCTTTGCGTTTGCCCAGCGCTGATTGTGGGGTAAGCCCAACGTCGCTGGCAGGAGTGCCGGGAATATCCGTGCCATTGGGTTCACCGTCAACAGTGGCAGCCTCTCCAGCGCCGTCTTGAGTACCAGGCGCCCTGCGTCCAAGCAGCTTCTCCTTAAGCACAGCTGCGGCGCTCTTGTTCGCTTGTTGAGCCTCTTGTGCCTGCTGGGCTTGCTGGGCCTGGAACATGGCCTTGCGGTTGACAAACATCTCGTGCGACATGATTCTGGCATCCTCTGGGTTAGACTCTCCAGGCGTAAAGCTGGGAATTTGGGCCATATCAGCGATGCTGGGTGCAGCAGGCGGTTTGCGACCTCTCTTAGGATTGGATGTTGGCGTGCTCGGGTCGCTATGACCATTTTGCCTCCCGCCTGGCGTGTAGTTTCTGCCATTACGCGCATCCTCGAGTCTCCTTCTCTTGGCGCCGGCTTCTCTTCTGTCTTCGGTTTGCTTGCGACGCTTGAAGATGGCGTCTTCTTGCTTGGCCAGCCCGGAAAGGATGCATTGCGCTCTCGCAAGGTCGACGTGGCCATCCTTGGTGACGTAACCTCCCATAATGGGAATATTTTCTCTCCATATGGAGATCAGCGTATCAATGCCTTGCTCTCTGATATCGAGACTGGGCAAATGCGGAAGGAAATCGTTGCCCACAAAAAAGCACATGAATACCCAGTCGTCTAATGCGCGCTCAAGATCGAATTTGAAAGGTTGATCTGGGACATACAACTCTTCTGCAAGGTACTCCCGCAACACCGACACATGAAGCCAGATGAAGGGCTTCAGAGTTGGCGAGTTCTGTTTCTCATCGAATTCTCCTTGCTTCTTCTTGGCCTCGCCGCGGCACTCCTCCGCTTTATGACCTGTCTGTCCGCAGATCCTGCATGTCCTCTGCTTCCCTTCTTGGAAGAACACATCTTCTCGAAGTACACGGAAGTGAGGTTCGTGAGTAGCAAGACCCAACATGATCAGATCAGCATCCTAGATTGTTCCGGTGAGTAACATGTCGTGGAGCGATGTCAGAATGACTTACCAAGCCGTAGATCACGTGACGAGTGTTCGGATCGTGTTCCGGCGACCGCCGCTGCGATCGAATGAACTCCATGATCTTGTGCTCGCCTTCGCCAGGGACAGTCGCGTCAGAAATGATGACTTTGAGCTGGAGTACGAATTAGACTAAGAATGCTTGAGGTTGCAGTGTGACAAAATACCTTCGCCCATGCCGGATCTGTGTTCAATTTGTACGCGCACCAGTAGCGCAAGCTTGCAGCCAGGATGTCCATAAAGGGGGTGCCTGGTGTGATGGCGTTGCTATCCCATGTCTTCTTGTTGATGGCTTCGTGGACCTCCTCCTCGATGACGCCATCTTTCTTTTGCGATTGAAGCATCTTGAGAAATTCAGCCTTGTCCTCATCTTTCTCCTTGGCCTCTTGTGCGGATCTGAATCGACGCGATCGCTGCTGGTTCATCTTCGCTCTAGGTGCAACACCGTCTGACTGTGTATTAGCGTACGCGTCGAGAGCAGGGAAGGGGTGCGAGATCGCGCGTATGAAAACAGCCATACCCCCCTCGCCGACGAGATGTAAAGGATCTAGTGCAGCCGTCTCAGGGGAGCATTCTTTCCTACTGAGAGTGCCATGTTGCGCATTTTGACATACCAACAGCAATCATAAGCAGCTTCCTCGGCCGCGACATCTTCACCACCCTATCGGTGTACTTGAAGACCTCCACCATCATCTCCTGCTCGGTAGCTGGCGCCGGTTTGTCCTCCGGATGCGAACACGGATGGACAATGCCGTTCATGTCGAGGTAAAGGTTGTCCGTCTCCTCGCCATTTGGATTCGGTCCTCGCGTGTCCACGGGTATGAATTCGCCGTCAATCTCTTGCGGCTGTTCCTCGATCACTTGTGAAACGATTTTGGGGTACTTTTGGGAAAGCCATCTGAAAAGGGCCGGAACGCCCATGGCGCCGGAGATTCAGGTTCGGACGGATAGACTGGCGAGTAGATACGAAGGGGGAGGGCTATCTTAAGGCAGCGACTCGGGCGCAAGGTGGGGGATGGAGGTGGTCGGAGGCGGCTCCGGTGCGTTTTCGAAGTGCGCGGAGCTCTCGAGGTCGGTCGTGGCTCAGGAGGGGTGCTCTTTCAGGTCATAGCCAGAGATGGTAAGCCGCAGCGCGCTGGTGGAGTAGCTCTGTGCTGTAGAACGAAAGGTTGAAAGGATCTTCCATCAAGGTCGCGAACGGCGAACGCGGCGTTACTTGGCGGAAAGCTTGCGGCCGGCTTAACTCCGGCTGAACTGCGAAGCTTCATGAAGCTTCATCGAGCTCTCTTGCAAGCTGGAGCACCGGGGCAACCTAATACTAGGCCACCTTGCACGCAGTAAATTTCTATGCGAATCGTCTTCACGAAGCGGATCAAGCATACCCGAATGTCCATATGAGCCACACCTGTACGAACTCGCCGACTCACAACATGGCCGTATAATCCCCTACAGACTCCTCCGAAACCCGCAGCCCGCAGCCATGTTGCGTATGCTTGAGAGCCAGGCGCCGGCCAAGCAGACGGTCACGGACACAATCAATATATTGAGCAGTCGCCTTGCCAGTGCCACGCTCCTCGAAGACCGACGTGCCGCTATACTCGGCTTGCGCAGCTTTGCAAAAGAGTACCCTGCTTCCGTGGCCTCGGGTTCCCTACGGGACCTCATAAGCAGCCTGGCCAAAGATGCCGCCGATGTCGACACGACCAAGGTGGTGCTGGAGACGCTGCTCATGCTCTTCAATCCGAATGAGCGTAGTGTACGTACATCTGACTGAGCGCAACAAGGCGTGGGGAAATATTGATCCAGGGGTGATTGCAGCCTGAAGCATCAGACGACGTTTCTCTCTGGCTAGCCGATGAGTTCACAATAGTATGTACAAGACTCCCCACCACTCAACAAGTGCTGAGCTTATGATAGCGCCAAGATAACATAACGATTCTGCTTGACCTGCTCGAAGCGCCCGACTTCTATCCCCGCCTCTACTCCCTTCAGCTCATCTCCGCCATCTCCTCCGCAAGGCTTGAAAGGACACAAGAGTGTATATATACGGCCCCGCTAGGGATCGGCAGGCTTACGGCAACTCTGGACGATACGAGGGATGCTATCCGTAATGGTACGTTCCCGCAAGTGTAGAAGATCATTGCTATACTAATCACGTGTTTCTCGCATAGAGGCTCTCCTGCTCCTGACTACCATCACGCAATCCCATGTCGAGCTTCAAAAGATGGTGGCGTTTGAGAACGCCTTCGAAAGGGTCTTCAATTTGATCCAATCCGACGGTGGACTGAATGAAGGCGGGATAGTCGTGCAGGACTGCCTCTCCTTGCTCGCCAACTTGGTCCGCTCCAATCTTTCCAATCAATCGTATTTCCGCGAGACTGGCTGCTTTGCCAAGTTGGCGGCGCTTCTGCCGGGAGGGTCGCAAGGCCGGAAATTTCCAGGTCAAGAGCAGGATGACTGGGCTAGCCCTCAGAAAGAGAAGAATCTATGGGGTCTCTTAGCTATCCTGCGCATGTTTCTAGTCGCGGGCAGCAAAGGTACGCCAGAGAACCAGAATGCCTTTCAGAGACATGGCCTTTTGCAGCAGGTTCTTGACCTTGCTTTCAGCACTGCTACGGCCATTCAGATCAGAGCCGAGGTAAGACCAGCAAGGGGATCTCGTGTCCAGAACCAGCATAGGGAATATCTTCTGACTACTGGAGTAGGCTTTGCAAACTTGCGCAGACATCATTAGGGGAAATGCCAGATTGCAAGAGAGCTTCGCTCAGATCCAAGTCACGCCACCAATCGACCATCATGCGACCGCCAACGGCCAGCCACATCCGAATGAGGTGATGAAGATTTACATAATCGATGCGCTGCTCGATCTAGCTCTATCCACCTCCTCCACTCAGATGTTTGACGTGCGTCTCGGTGCCATTGACTGTATCAAAGCCTACTGCCACAACCACATCCAGATTCGGCATCATTTTCTCCACCGCGCCATCAAAGGGCATCTGTCAGGCGAAGACGCGACCGCTAACGCCCTCACCATCCTGATTGCCGGACCACAAGCCTTCCAAAGCACCGACCCCTATCGATTCTGGTTCGCCTCTGTCCTTCTCTTCCACCTTATATACGATGACCCTGAAGCCAAAGCACTCCTGATGGACGTCATCGAAGGCGACGCTGAGGCCGGCGAAGACGTCGTCACCGCCATCCAAGCTATGGCCAGCCACCTAATCACCAGCCTTCAACCCAGCACCGCGCAAGACGAGCGCGTCGCAATCGGCTACCTCATGCTCCTATGTGGCCTACTCTTCGACTCCGCCGCGGCCACCAACGATTTCCTTGGCGAAGCTATCACCGTTAACAGCCTCGCCTCCTTTGTATCTAAGAGCCCCGCCTCCCGTGTCTTGACCAAAGGCCTCTGTGCAGCCCTGCTCGGCACAACTTACGAGTTCAGCACCGCCGACTCCCCGCTTCCCCGGCGCCAACTCCACGCCATACTCACCTCCGAAAAAGACCTCGGCCGCGATCGCTACCTTGATGCGCTGACCCAACTGCGGCAGCACCCCCTCATCCGTGACTTTGAGGTTCTTCCCCAGACCGCCGCGGCCGGATCCCCGGCCGCTGGCCTCCCCAACATCTTCTTCGATGCCGCATTCGTTGCTTTCCTCAAGGACAACTTCTCACGCCTCGCGCGGGCCATCGATCGGGACCCCGGCCTCGAGATCCACCTCAAAAGCCCTGAGGCTGTGGATAGAGACATCCTAGACTCTCTGCGCGGCGCGCTCGCGGAAAAGGACGCAGCCCTGCAGACCGCGGAAGCCGAGGCTTTGGACCTGCAGCAGCGGCTAGAGGTGCAGGCTGCGGATGCATGGAAAACGGCCGAAGCGGCGGCAGCGGAATTGGGCAGGTTGCAGGCGGGCGCCGCGGCGGAGATAGGCAGGATTGGCGCGATTAATGAGGCACTGCAGCGGAACCACGATGCAGAGATGCGCGAGCGAGACCAGGCGCACCAAGCGCGGGTGCAGGTGGTGGAGGCGCAGCTGCAGCGGCAGAGCCATGCGCTGGCGGTTGAGATGGCGCAGGTGAGGAAGGAAGCGGCGGATGCGGGGGCGAGGGTTCGGGCGGGGTATGAGACCCAACTTGCGAGTTTGAGGCAGGAGAAGGAGGCTTTGCATGGTCAGAAGAGCGTTGCGGAGGAGAGGCTCAGGAAGGTGGAGGAGTTGTATGGGGGCGCTGAAGGGAGGGTTGGGGAGCTGGAGCAGAGGCTTAAGGAGGCGGAGAACGGCGCCATGAAGAGCCAAGAGCGTATTGGGGTACTTGAGGAAGAGCTGGCAGGGATGAGGGGGGAGGTTGAACGGCTAAGACAAGCAAAGGAGCAGATGGAGACGGAGGCCGAGGTTCACGTCACTCAGATCTCAGAACTCGGCAGCAGGATCGAGGAGTACGAAAGCCGGATGCAGAGGTATCAAGACCAGAGGGCTGCCGCGGAGAAAGAGGCGGGCGAGAAGATCGAGGCGCTTAGGCGGGAACTGGATGAGAAGGAACAGGAAGCGAAGAAGCGGGCTGAGGCGATGCAGAAGGAGGTCGAGGAGAAGGAAGAGGAGAGGGTGAGGGTGCAGGGGGAGTTGGATGATCTACTCATGGTGCTGGGAGATTTGGAGGACAAGCGGACGAAAGATAAGGTGAGTACCTGACTACGAAGTCAATGACTCAAACACTGACGCGAATTTAGAAACGGCTGAAAGAGCTGGGGCAGGAGACTTCAGACGCGGAGGATGATGATGGTGAGGAAGACGAAGGGGGTGAGGAGGATGAAGACGACGGAGAGGGCGGAGATGGTAATGAGTCGGAAGATGATAAGTCGAGATAGGTTACTAGATATCTTTTTGATCCTTACAGATACCCATCTGTTGGAGATCCTGCATCTACGATCAAGACGCATGGTTCTCATAACAGACTGTGGAAGGAAGGCGATCAAACCGAACGCGGAGAAATAATGCTCTTAAGTTTTGGTCTTTCCATCCTGGAGATTAACTCTCACGTGCTTCTATACCCAAGCAACTTCCATTTTGCTACGGAACAACTTCTGTTCGTTGTGGGAAGACCTAAGGCGAAGTACCCAACGACAATCCATAATTCTGAGGTAGGAGATGGCCTAGGGTATGCAGAGGGGCCCGCATGAATCAGGTTTGGCTTATCCGCTCATGGCTCTTTCGCGAGCTGTGATTCATCAGAAACTGGGGAGGAACGAGTGTCAAGCAGGTCTGCACCGCACACGCACAGGACCTTTCCTGCAGCTCTGACCCATCAGAAGCACGCGGCTGCACGAACGGCGAACACCTGCGGATCACCAGGCTAGACGGCACTGCCACAACAGGGAAACGTAGGACGCCTCACTCTCATTTGCGATGGAAGGAGCATGTTGCATATATACCAGTTTCCTCCTCATGAGAAGTGAATCCTCTTCCGCCCTCTTTTTCAATCACTTCGTACAAGTCGTAACAACGGAGCTCTGGTTTCGCTTCCTTCAGTCAAATTGCCATCATGCCAGTCACGGTCTACCCAGCCCCCCACGGCGCTAATAAGGCGACGGACTTCCGCTATCCTGATGAATATAAAGTCAACCCCCTCACGGTGATGAGAAACACTAGCTTCGAAGAATATGAGGGCTGCAAATCGATTTTACAATCTTCCTTCGACGGCCGCGACTTGGAACAGATTCACGGACGCAGTAACGGCTTCGTCACAGCAGCTGTCAAGGCATACAGCTCGCACCATCACTTAGTGATCCGGCCAGACGATGTGTGGATCAGTATCTTGACTCAGTTCAGCTTGTACGTTAGAAGCTTACCCTTATCGGTGGACAAGTAGGAGCTAACACCACGCAGTTACGTCAACGCCCACGCCGAGGAACTCCGCTCGACTTTCGTATCTCATGATGGCAAAAAGAAACTCGTCGTCACCCGCCTCGGCGACCGGCACAGTGTCGACTTCGGGGGTGTCGCGACCGAGCTTACCGAGCTGATGGAAGAACACATCAACGACCCAAGCCTCCGCGGGTGGATCATGCAGGATTTCTCCACAACGACCGATAACGACCGCATCGTCAAGGCCATCGCCATGATGGGCACGCTGCAGAAATACTTCGAGTTCGGCTGCTGCATCACTTGCGGCCTGCCGTCCGTGACCCTGCTGGGCAAGCGAGAGGACTGGGCCAAGATGCTTGCGGCGCTTGACCGGCTCCCAACTTTTGGAAAGGAGACGGCGGAGTGGGCTGGTGTACTCAGCGTCGTCTTATCTCGCTTCGTTGCTACCTTTGACGAGCCGGAGAGCGAGAGGACCAAGGACTTCTGGCAGCGTATCGCGCACTATTCTGCCGGTGGCAGCGGGCCGAGCTACTGGTCTGGTTGGATCACTGCGTTCTGCGTCTGGGATGCCGAGGGCAATTCGCTGCGGGATAAGGGGAGATTGCCGAAAAACTATGGTATGAATGAGGCGATTACCCTGACGATTGATGAGCAGCTGTTCCATTGGGTTGATTCGGATGAGATGCCGCCCGGGTATGTGACTGTGCCGGTGACGGTGAACGACAACGGGGCTGTGTTCGTCGGTCGGATGGTCGCCGGTGTGGTGGGAGTCAGTGTTGTGAGCAGCGGGAGGGAACTGGAACATGGCGGCACTGGGATGGACACGCTGCGGCCAGAGGTTGGGTGGTGGATGTTTGAGGATAAGGAGGCGGAACCGGAGTGGACACCGGTGCCGGAATAACACGGGACGTAGGGATGCTAACTGCGTGGATGGAAATCCGGTTTGATAGAGGAGAGGCCGGCTACCGCCTGCTGCCAGGCTACTGAGTACGAGATGGTCGTGGTTTGCATTGAGAAGAGCTGTTTGGACGCCATCTCTGACTGTGCTCTTATTCAAACTGGTGGTTTCTTGCCGAAGTATATGCCTTGACTAATTTGAGCACGTGTCCAATGTCAACGCGTGCGCGACGTATAACTAGTAGATGCAAGCGAGAATTCTTGCCTGAGGTCCAAGGGTAAACTAACGAAAGTTTTGAATCTATGAACAGGCGGATACCAAAAGTGTATTATTGCGTGACCAGCACCTCCTCCCAACAATCCGCAAAGCCATTATATCGTATGTCAATGAACACTCCCGAAATGCCCTCGCTCAATTCGAGCTCGTAGAACTTTTTGCATCGCTTCCTTCGTCCGAGCTGTCATGCTCGGACTCTGAATGATGTTCCGCAACAATCTCCTCCGCCTCTGGTATCGTGGACATGACCTCCGCCATGGGCGCGAACAGCATGGCCTGCGCGACTGGCGAGGTTGGCGATAAGAGGAAGGAGCCCGGAGTCCTGGGTGTGCCAATCGTCGGGCGGCGGATGAGAGGTCCCGGAATAAAAAAGTTGGTGGCGAGCTTCAAGCCTGTTGCGTGCCGGAGCTTCTCATCTGCGGTTGGTGAGGTCGTAGGAGCTTCAGCAGCAGGAGCGAGAGGCGCGGGCGCGGGCGCTGGCGTTGGCGCGGTGGATGTAAGCAAGAAGTAGCCTCCAGATCCAGTAGAGCCTTCGACCCAGGAAGAGGTGTATTGTCCGCTCTTCTCGGCGTCTCTGACGAGGATGGCTTTGACAAGCAGCCATCCATCGTGGTTGTGAATTTTGACAATGGAGTTGTGCCATGGCGTTGGTACATGCAGCAAATCGTCGGTGCCTTCCGCTTCTGGGCCCCAGTTTACCAAGTCAGACGTGGTACGACAGTTGAACCGGCTGAGTAAATCAACACCGTATTTTGGCCCCGAGTTCAGATGTGCGTGGATAGAAAGACGGATGTACGCAGGGAAGAGGAGTTCGCAGAGATTTGAGTAGGCTTGGTTGCGCTTGAGCATCTCGAAGGCAATCTTCGGTGCGATCCTTTTCTGCTTGGATTTGGACTGTTTCAACATGAAGCCATTATGGGACAGGTCTTCGAGCATGAAGCGTGAGAAGCCCCGGTATAGAGCTAGTGCAGCCCTATCGCCAGAGTCGATTTTGTGGCGCAGTGCGCTGCCGTCGATGCCGAATCCGGTGGTCATGAGTTTGCGGCACAAAGACCCATCGCCCGTATGGGACGTTTCCACGTAGTTGGGCAACTCAATCCCGGAGACGTAGGTCAGGGGTGGTTGGGAGCTCTTGAGGGCCATGAGCTGGGGAAGGCCGAAAAACTGAATCTTGTGTGCCTCCGCGCCAAAGATGACGTCCTTCATCTCGATGAGTTGTGCGCTATATGTATCGACGACTTCATCGTCCACGCCAACTAGAGTTTTGCATTAGTATATCTAGGTTGCAGACAGGAAGCTGGGAGGACTGACTGCAATCGCTAAAAACATGTCCGTCCGAAGCAATGAACATGCGGGCTCCCGGTGGATAGATCTTCTCAACATCCTTCACGAACGCGAAAAGCCCCCTGAGCGCGAGCTCTTCGCCCTTGTCTGGGCGGATGCCGGCGACCTTGTTTAGCGAGGTGGATTTACAAGGGAATGCGGGAAGGACAAGGTCAAGTCTAGCACGACGAGATGTGAAGAGAAGAATGCGATCCTCGAAATATTTGCTTCCTCCAAAGTCCCATCTGTCGCCTTCAGCGATGTTCCTGAGCGTGTGGGAAAACAGCTCGGTAATATCAGCGGCCAATTTATGGGCTTTCTCGTCCTCAACGGATGTGAGGTTGCAGTGGGAGAGGCGAGAGGTCCGCAGGATGAGCTTGATCACCCATTCCACAACAGAAGTTGGAACTGGTGTTCCAAAGTATAAGTTAGGGATCTTGATCAAGCCACGGGTCTGCGTCTCGTCTTCAAGCTTGGTTTCGTACATCTCGAGCGTCGTGGGCAAGGGGGCATTTCCAGAGTCCAGATGCTCAGAGGTGATTGCTGTGCTGTTGTCGACTTCGAAGCCGGTAACGGAGGAGTCGCAGAAGCGAACTGTCTGTTTTCCGGAGTTGTTGCCGAAGAGCGGCTTCCAGTGGATTGCCCAGTCTGCCTCCACTTGGGTTGCCTTGGGTCCAAAGATGCTAACGAGATTGCCTGCGGCGTCTCGCGTATAGATAACACGAATTTGATGATAGGGAGAATCGCCTCGCTTGATTACGGCCATTGTTGCTAAGGCGATGGATGTAAGTCAAGGGAAAATAGATTCCACAGAACTACGGAGGTTGGAAAAACACAGATAATAGATGAGATGATGGTTGAAAGCGAACTGGTGTGAGGTGGAGCGTTAGTGGACGAAAGAGGAGGGATTTTGGGGATGTTGTCGACGACAATGATATGGAAGGCATGCTTCGGCTGACTTAATATACAAGATATCAGAGACTCAGTCTTCACAGCCGCTAGCCAAACACCGTTTGGAAGATGTTTGCTTGATGTGAACACCATGGTTGAAGTCCACATGCCGGCTATTGCAGCTGTGGGCGTTCTCACCGTCGCTCTCAGCGATGCCCGACATGCACAGCACAGCACAGCCTGGACGGGACGGGCTCCTGTAGGATTGGTAGCCATAGGGCGGTACAAGGGGAGCGCAAGCGTAACTCTTAGCCCCTAAATGCACGCTTCTATCCTTGTCGCCCATCTCAATACGGACGTGCGACCTCCTGGTTCCCAAAATGGCTGCTGACCAGGCCTGCGGCAGTTCCGAATAGTGGCTGAGGCGAGCAAGCTAAGCTGACTCACGACTGGCTGAACGAACCAGCTACTGAATTCCTGGATGCACAGGCGTCGACCAACATTTCTTGGCGTGTGGCGTAACGCAAACAGTTGCACAAGCTGAGGCAGCAAACAATTGTGGAGAGCTGTCGTGAGTCGTGATAGCCGATGTGGTGTTGAGACGGTGAGGCATCGCCGCCAGACGTGCCTCGTCCTCCTTGGCTCACCGCCACCAAGGGGCACACAACGCCGTGCCCCCCACCACCCGCTCTGCAGCTCCGGTTGGCAGGTCCAGCACGCCTCGGCGACTACGCGCAGCATCACCTCATGCGTGCCGATTTTTGCGCACTGCTCCGAAAACCCTCGAATGCACAACGCAAGGCTGGGGGTTGGCTTCAGCTGACTCTTCTTAGTGTTGCGCTGCATGCGCAGGCATCCCAAGTGTTGGTCAGGCCCGCCAAACAGTTCGTTGGTAAGAAAGAGGCTCAGACCTGTCGCAGTGGATTTTGAGGATATTTGCTCGGTGCCAATACTCCGTACATTGAAACACACAATCCCCCTCTCGCTCGTGTACTGAGATTTTCCACCCTTTCCTCTTGGCCTTTTCTCTCTCGATCTTTCCTCTTTTCATCACAACATCATGGATTATTCTCCTTGTTCGTCCCGCTCCGCTTCTGTCGCCTCTTCTTCTTCTCCTTCCATTCCGCGAATCATAGAATCCTCCCCCAGAGTCTCTTTCGAGTCCGTCAAACATTGTCCGCCGTCATGTACGTGTCGGCTGTCTTCTGCCACTCTGGTGCCCACGGAGAGCCTGGCGGAGACTCCTCTCATATCCAAAGGACCACCGCCATACACAGCATTCTCCAACGACCGAAGAAAGCTCCTGCTTGCCATCGTCACCGCCGCTGCATTTCTCGCTCCGGTCGCAGGCAACATCTACCTCCCAGCCCTTCCAACCCTCGCGAAAGAGTTTGGCGTGAGCGATGTCGCCATTAATCTCTCAGTCTCCCTCTTCATGCTTGTCTTCGCCATTGCCCCCCTCTTCTGGGGCTCCTGTGCCGACTTCATGGGCCGAAAGCCTCTCTACGCCATCTCCTTCCTGATCTTCGTCGTGGCTAACGTCATTCTCGCCGCCATCCCTCCCAACTACGGCTGGCTTATCTTCTTCCGTATCGTGCAGGCCATCGGCGCCTCTAGCGTCGCCAGTCTTGGCGCCGGCACAATCGCAGACATCTACGAACCCAAGGTCCGTGCTTCAGCTATATCGATATTTATGCTGGGCCCGCAACTGGGCCCTATCCTTGGCCCTGTCATTGGCGGAGGCATCACCGCCGGGGCGAGCTGGCGCTGGATCTTCGGTTTCCTGGCCATCCTCGGCTTTGCGCTCTGGGTTTGGATGCTGTTTTGTTTGCCCGAAACGCTGCGCGCACGCGTAGGCAACTCCGCCATCCATGCCAACGAGCCGTGGGTCAAATTCCCCGATTTTCGCGCACGTGCGCCGATTGAACCCGGAACAGTCATTATGAAGCGGCCGAGTGCAATGAACGTGTTCAAGCTACTAAGATATCCGCCTATTTCGCTCGTCTCGCTCAATGTCGCGATTCTCTTTGGAAGTTATTACTGCGTCGCCATCACCCTGCCCACGATTCTCGAGCGCGAATACCACTTCAGCTCCACCGGCGTCGGTCTCGCCTACCTACCCGCGGGCGTCGCAATGGTATCAGGCTCATTGCTTAGTGGGCGATACGCGGACTGGGATCGTGCGAGGGCAGCAAAGGCGTCCTCGGACGGGACTGTGATTCCCGAAAATCGGATCAAATCGCAACTGTTTGGCGTCGTGCTGTTTCCCATTGGCATTGAGATGTATGGCTGGTTTTGCCATTACCACATCCATGTGTCCGCCGTACTCATCGCGACCTTCATTATTGGATTTGCTATGTCGTGGGTTTTTGCGACTAATACGACATACATGACTGAATGTAAGCCGGGCCAGGCGGCGACACTCGTTGCCATCGCTAGCTTGTTTCGCAATCCGGCCGCAGCATTAGCTTCTTTGATCATCGATCCCATTACCGATGGGATTGGAATGGGTTGGGCGTTCCGCGGGCTGGCGCTCTTGGATATGGCGTGTGTACTGATTGTCATTGTGCTCCTGTGGTATGGGCCGGCATGGAGGAAGAAGATACAGGGAGAGATGGAGACGGAGAAAGAAAGGCCGAATCCACCGGCGCCGAGTCAAGTGTCGCTTGCGCCGAGCGCTATGCTGCGATGAGAGTTTGGGTTTTCTTCAGTAATCGTAGTAGTTGTGATGCAGATGATGCATTTGAAAAACTTCCCCCAAAGTTGTGATAGAGCCGCACCGTCTTGTTGATATCTTGATAAGTTCTAGAAACACTGCCTAGTAAGTTCAAACATCTAAATGCACCGACACAATACCACCCTCCAGAATGAACGCTGCTCGACATCCCGATACCAATCGCAATCTTGGTGGTGACTTATCACACAATTAGCCGCAGCCACTTCATCAATCACGGCCAAGACTCAGCGACATCGATGTCAGGAAATCCATGCCCCTGTCAGGCTGTCCATGCCTCGAAGCACGGCGGGCACGGACCGTCCGGCGGCTCCTGACGATCCAAGCTATTCTCGGGGCTGAGCGACTAGGGATTGATTTAGCTGCATATGCACGTGCTGCCGTGGGCTGAAGTGCACTTCGCTTCGCCCCCGCCGAAGAGCTGAGCGCTACGCAAGCTGTCCATTGTTTGGGCTACAAGATAGTGTATGCTGCTTGGCGGTCAAGACAAGCGTGAGGGCTGGCCGATAAGTTGCACCGAGTTCGACTGCGCCTGAACCTAATGTAGCTTGTTGGTTTGCAAGGGCGGTGTTGGCTTTGTGGTCCACATCGTAGGTAATTCGTTTATCTCTGGGGGATATTTACGATCCCCGAGACCCCACTCCATTCCACCACTTTAATCTTCTGTTCAACTACATGACGGCATAGATAATGATTCTCCTCATTGCAACTCTCATTCTACTCGTGATCGCCGGCCTCTACCACGTCCTAATTCCACCCTCTAACTTTCCTCGCAACATCCCCACAATCCCAATCTGGGTCTCGTTCCTCGGTTTCTTTACTCCCCTCGACCAACTAGAAATATACTCTCAGTATCTGGAACCCTATCTGCAGCAGCACGGAGCCGCCAAATACTTTTTCGGCGGCCGTTGGAATATCCTTGTCAAGAAGCCTGACCTCCTTTCGGATATATTGAAGCACGAAGACGTCTTCGCAAAGAGCGGGAACCAGAAGAAGATCCCCTACAGTGTACTCGCCGCTTTTACAGGCGACAACGTCATCAGCGCACATGGGCAGGCGTGGAAGTTGTACCGGGATGCCATGAAGCCAGGGCTGCAAAGGCACGATTTCGATGTAGATGGGATCAGGAAGAATGCGGAGAGATTGGCTTGGTTGCTGTTGGAGGCGCAGAAGGGGTTGCAGAATCCTAGAGGTGTTGCGGTGAATCCGCTGATTCAGAGGTTTGCAATGCAGACGCTTGGACAGACGGTCCTGGGAACTGATTTCAAAGTAAGCTCCGCTACTCGTCGAGATATACTCGAGTATGGTTTGACATTCGACGTAGACACTGGAATCAGCGACGTCGAGAATCCACACAATCCACACGCAGCTTAAGATGCAGATTTTCAAGCCGCTCTATCTCACGATGCCGTTCCTGGACCGCTTGCCTATTAAATCGCGGAGAAAAGCCAGGGCGCTTGTCGATGAGTTTGAAGACGAGCTTGTCAAAACTGTTTTGGAACAGACTGAGAAATTACCCGAGGACGATGACATGCTTGTTTCACTGATGAAGCGCGCAAGGCGTGATGGGACGTGGACGGAGCGCCAATTCCGTAGGTCATGCACCACCTCTTGGACGCGGTCATGACACTGACAAACTACAGGCGACAATCTCAAAATCGTATTCATAGCCGGTCATGAGAACGTCCAGCAGCTCCTAAACAGTCTCCTCTATGTCCTCGCCAAATACCCCCAAACCCAAGAGCAGCTGCGAGACGAGTTCCGGGCCGATTATGACGCCGAGAGCATGAAATCCTCTACCCTGCTAACTTCGGTACTTCTCGAGACACTTCGCCTGTTCCCACCAATCCCACAACTTGTGAACCGCAAGACAACCGCCGCAGTTCTCCTCGGTGACATCCCGATTCCCAAAGACACCTATGTCGGCTGGACCGCGACCGGCGCCCACAGGGATACGGAAGCATGGGGTTCCAACGCAGACGAGTTCCAACCGGAGAGATGGGGCGATACACCAGAGCAGGTTCACGGCAACATGCGGAAGCATACGAGCAAATCCCAGTTCATCCCGTTCCACGGTGGCAGGAGAGCGTGCCTGGGCCAGAACTTCGCCATGCTGGAGGTCCGAGCGGTGGTCGTAGAACTTTTGAGAACGAGTCGGTGGCGGTTTGAGGAGGACGCGACGGTTAAGTTCACGCCTGGAGGGTTGCTTGCGCCAATGGGGATGAGATTGGTGTTTGAAAACTTGAAGGCTTGAAGAGTGTTGCATGCGTATGTAGTGATAACGATTAGTCAATCCGCAGTTCAGGCACGCCTATTGTATCACTTCTATCTACTCAGCCTTTCGCCGAGCAGCTGACACAATACGGCGTACTTCGGCCGCACTATACAAGCTCTAAATCCTTGCCTCTATCTCGAGCCACCTATCATATCCGTTCGAACGTTTCGCTAACTGACGATCGTTCAAATCAAAAAGGTTCAACCCGTTTTGACGACACTCATCTTAGCCGAGTAGAAGGATTCGCAAAGAAGGCTAAGAGAAGCCTATTGATGATGCTGCTTGGATGGGTGAGGGGTCGAGCAGAACGAAGGGGACTGCTGTCCGAGTATAGACGTGAATGGAATACCGTGGATCTTGAACGAATTCCAAGGATTTAAAAAGAGTTTGTCTTGCAATAGAGCATGGCTGGCATTTTTGATCCAGCGTCATAATTATAGGGATCACCAGCATGTCAGGAGAAAGCTCACGTCAAGTTTGAAAAGGAGAAACGGGCAGAGCCTGCCTTGTGTGGTCACTTCGAACGACGAGGCGTGGAAACGCCATACTATAACGAGTATATGATGTTTCAGTCAGAGTACTATCTACGGCCCTAGACTTCAACCTCGGCAAAGAGTGTCTGGAGTAGCAATTTCAAAGAGAAACACTACCATAAAGTCGCTCGCGGCGAGCGTCCTCACTGAGACCCCCCCGGAAACGCCAAACGCGCGACATTCCTCCCCATCCGGCATCCAAACTCCACTGTCGCGGTAACCTGCTCGCCGGCACCGGCATAAAACAGTCCCGGCTCAACCTCAACGTCACCCAGGAGTGTCTGGTTAGCATCTAGCCTCGGGACCGAATCGAACAGCGGCTCACGGCTAATCCACGAAATCACGGGCTTAGTAGGCGGCCCGACGTCCAGCTCGAGATACTCGCCGAGCTCATCGTCCGTGACAGGCTGCTCCGAGACCAGCTTGTATAGGTTTTCTGCTTCCACCGGCTTCGGGTTTGAATACCGCCCGACCAGCCTAAGCTGGAAGAATGGTAGCGGATGGTTCGTTCCTATGCCTGTGGTTAGAATGTTCTGCGGTACCGGACCATCAACTTTGAAGTAACTTGAGCTCAAATTGCTCGTTGTAGTGAAGTGTGTGACGAAGCTGTCGACGTAGGGCAGCAAGAGGCCTGGCCGCGAACCAAGTTCTGGCTCAAACGCAAGGTCGCTGGTTGACAGCGGCGCGGCAATGACAACAGCGTCGAAGTCTATCGAATCAGAGACTGTCGGTGTGGAAAAGTAGAGCCGCCAAACACCCTGTGGTTGCTTCTTGATCTTCGCAACAGTCGTGCTAAGCCTCAGATCCGCTCCGGAGAGTTTGATCAGCCGGTCAACAAGACGGAGGTTTCCTCCAACAATCTCCGAAAGAGTGTCGCCACTGAATCCCAGGATGGCATCCAGGCCGTTCAGCTCGTCTACGTTTCCGAAAAACCTCTCTCTTATACCGGCATCGACGACCTCTTGCAAGAAGAGTGAGTTTCCGTATTGAGTACAGTCGAGAAGCCCGCTCTCACACACCCCCAATCTCACCGCCTTCTCCAAATCCACAGCCTTCACCGCGGCCCTGAGAGACGTGAACATGGCCGTGCCGAGCTGGCGATACCTCGTCTGCGTCGAAGTCACGTTCCGCGCATATTCCCACGGCGTGGCACCATACCTCTGGAACCACCTTAGCTTGCGAAAGAGGCTCCAGGTCTGCGGGTTCCTAAAGCCGGTATCTTCAACGAAGCCCCGGAATTCAGTGCCATCCCACACGCCGGTGCCCGCATCCGAGGGGGTAACAATTCTAGTCAGCAACCCTACGTTGGTAGCGCTAGTAGCGAGGCACGTGTCCGACAGCGTCGAGAACGTTGCGGCACAGGTGTCGATGGTGAATCGCGGGTCCCTGTAGATCTGAGTGGTGGTGATGCGGCCGCCGATGATGGGATTGCGCTCGAAGAGCGTGATTGAAGGGGGACCAAAGGGGTCAAGACGGCCGGCTTCGGCGATGGTGAAGGCGGCGGTGGAACCGGTTATACCGCTGCCGATTATGGCGATGCGGCGCGGCTTCCGCTGTGCAAACTTGGTTCCAATATCGATGTAGTCATGGTCGGTTTGGAAACCAGATGGCAAGCCGAGGGAAATCTGCGGATTGGATGGTAAAGCGAGTGGATTGCAATATGTTGCATGGAGCAACAAAGAGAGGAGTTGATGCGACTTCATCATAGTGTCTAGAGGGCTCTGAGGATGGAAATTTCAACAGTTTTGCTGCTAAACATAATCAAGATTGAGGCATAACTGGGAGCAAGACGCAGTACCCTCTAGGGGAGTGGGAGAGTCAAGTACGCCGTCCTAGAATAGGCGAGCAGGATCAGATGCACGGGAGGCACAGCTCCCATACACAGGTAGTGTTTCTCGAGGATTCAGGAAGCTGTCTAGGCAGCAATGCGGCACTTCCAATGCCAAGAACCGCTGTGCCTCACTCTCGTAGCATGCTGTGATCCTTCTTGCGTTTTAAGCTGGAGATATTAATAGCGTTACGCCCATCGAGTCATCCTGCGCATGGTAGAAGGATTTCAGGCCAAGGTTGCCCGCGGGGCTCGCTCCGAAAGATGTAGAGCTGCTGAAGATGTAGGATAAGGTATCCTATGAGAAAGCGCAAAGCCAAAGACCGCAAGACATCGAGTCGCTGTACCATCATAGGATATCTCTTCTCGGGAGTGCGGATGCACAGCCATGAAGGATTCTCTACCCTGTTTCGCCCTGGAACAAGCTTTGGAACAAGCCTCTGCGAGCAATTGTGAAACTTAAGGTAAATGTGAACGGGACAGAAAGAAGTATCTGTGATGCTGCAGGTGTTCCAGCTTACCGTGTCAAGACTTGAGCTGGGATCCTATGAAGTTTTGTCGCTGAGGAGCCGGGCACGTGCCGGGTCAGCATACGGAGATGTGATTTCCGCCAGAACGCCAACAGCGGCAGAACTTTGCCTAATATAGGCGGGGCTTGTAACAATATCACGTTTTCGAGTCGCTCTTAGCCCTTGTGTATCTGCGATACAAGGACAATCTTAGCTTACAGCCTACCGTACGGCTACTATCTATCAGGTACCTGCTCACTATGTCGCACGCCGATAATCGAGCATCCGAGCATGAGACCCGCTGGACGGCTGTAGACAGCTACTCCTTCGCTTGCCTCCATCCATCCTCCTCAGCTACTCCATCTAATGAAGCCCTTCAACGCGTTATCAGTAACTCCCGTACGAACGATCTTGCCGACATCGCTGTCTCCCCCTCCCAAGGCAAATTTTTGATGCTGCAAACGCGCATGCTGCGCGCTAAACACGTCCTTGAAGTCGGGACGTTGGGCGCTTACTCTGCCATCTGGCTTGCGAACGCGGGTCCTGATGTCCGCGTCACAACCGTCGAGATCGACGAGAAGCATGCACGGGTCTCAAGAGAAAACTTGGAAGCCGCGGGTGTGGGTGAGAGAGTCGAGATCCTATTGGGCAGCGGACTGGAAGTGCTGCCGCGGCTCAGGAAGGAGGTGGAGGAGGGAAGGAGGGAGAGATACGGTTTTGTGTTCATCGATGCGGACAAGCAGAATAACTGGTCGTACTTCGATGAGAGTGTCAAGATGTGTGTTCCTGGGGCTTGCATCGTAGTGGACAATGTAGTGAGAAAGGGACAACTGGCGGATGAGGAGGCGGCGGAAAGCGATCCAAAGGTTAAGGGAAGTCAGACGGTTGTGAAGAATGTGGGCAAGGACGAGAGGGTGGATGGGATCGTGATGCAGACCGTTGGAGAGAAGGGCTATGATGGGTTTCTAATTGCTGTCGTAAACGGCAACTAAGACAGAGGCCGGCTGGAGGGCCCGGAGTATGTAAGCTGCATGCCTCCCTCTTCTGACTGAGTCTGCCCTGAAAGCCCATTCTCGTGGATCACTCGTCCTGCAGTGCGCCTCCTCGCAAACCTGCGGCTAGCTAGACGAGATTCCGTCTCTTCAAAAGGTGGCGCATGAAATCCCAGGATGCTGGGCCTATTCTCGGTCCTTGCCTGTTGATTTCCGTTTTTGCGCGAGATGTTACGTCGGGAATGATATTGGAGCGGTGCAAAAGAACACAATCACATGAACCTAGTTCAGCGGGGCAAAGGCTCTGCTTGAAGGGGTTTATCGCTGGTCGGTGTATTTGGTTCAGACGCCTGGGCGATTAGACATCAATGTCGAGGCAAGCGAGAACCTATCTACAGCCACTCACATAATTGATATGTATCGCGCTCGATATGCCTATAACTACTTATTTACAGCGGATATTGCAGCCTGCAACTGGATGAGCGCTCTGACGTTCAGAACTTAGTATACCCTTTCCCCTTGACGAAAGTCGCGTGCCATGGAACATCTGACGGATCCTTGCTGGCAAGCTCATAGTAAAAGTCCGCATGCGCTTCAGCGTCTACTACAGTACCCACTGGACCACCCTCTGGTGTTCGCTGATCAGCGTAGTAGAAACTAATAGGGAGCCAATAGTTAGCATTACAAAGCACATTGAACTTATGGAACAGGTTCGAAAGTGTGGGCACAATGTGGTACACCTACCGATATCCCTTCTTCGCGAACGCGGCGGCTGCAGTCCCGATCCAGTATGCTGCGGCTGACTTCCCAACTCCAAGCGTCACAACCATGGGTACAGGCATCACCATGGTGTTCAGGATGTTACCAGTGTAGATGAACGCCCTCTGTGTCCCTTCCGGAAGAGAGTCAAATCCAGAAACAGCTTCCTTCGCAGCGGCAAACGCGCTTATAGTCGCAACGCGCAGATCACGCTCTAGATCCTCAATGGCAAGAGAGAAGGGGTCCTCGGGATCTGGCGGGGGTGTTAGAGCGGCAGCGTTGTAGACGACTACGCTTGGCGTTCCCAATTCTTTCTTGACTTTGTCAAAGATGGCTGGTACTGATGCAGGATCGCTGAGATCGGCTTTGACATTCAAGTAGTCCTCACTGGTCTTGCCGTCGGTCACACGTCGTGCAGTGAGAGCGATGCCGTAGCCGGCGGAACTGAACTTCTTGGCCAGGGCACTGCCAATGTTCCCTCCGGCTCCAAGGATCAGAGCAACGGGTTTGGACATGATGCACGCAATTGCACTGAGGTTAGAAGCTGGGTGTGATGGAAATGAAACGATGACTTGATGGTGGAGATGGATATGGTGCTTTCAGCTCGGTAACGATTCTGATGGAAACTGGTTGGATCTCCCAGTAGCTACTACCTCCGTTTATATATCCCTTTGACACCAAACGTGAAGAGATCCGGCCCCAAACGCCGATCTTGATGTTGCCTGCATGTTGTCACTGAACAAGGAGCTGATGACCAATCCATCTCACCCCATCAGGATTGCTAATGTCTCCGCTTGGCAATCAAACACCAAAAGTCTAATAACTCCTGAGTTTGAGTTTAACAGGCCTCAAATGATTTCGTAGCCCTTCGGGTTGCTGATAGTCCGCATCCGCAGTGTATGAAAGCCGATTGAAGTTGACTGATCGGAACTTGAATCGCGCGCACCAGCTTTCGCCTTTCAGTCGGAGAGAGAATTAACAATCAATCCAATACGAGGCTGTATGATCGAGCGGATCGATTGAAAATCACTCCGCTTTCAGTCAAACCATCAGCTTCCGCACTTGGCAATAACCTGCAAACCCTGGGGATTATCACTGAATTCAAAGCCCATCTCGTAAGACTGATGCTGGAAGCCCCAACAGGTAGGGAATGTTGCTGACAAATGCCGCATTTCACTTGGATATCTGACATAATTCTGTCTCCTGAATGCAGAGAACTCAAAGCAGACCTCAAGTCTATATCGCAGGGGAATATAGATAGCATTCAAGTCCGTTGTGACTGTCAACAAGCTATCAAGTGCAAAAGCGAGTCTTGCCGACAATACCGTGGAAACTGGATTTCTTGTCCATCTAAACATCATTTTCAATAATCGTAGATATTCATTTATCACAATGTCCAAGCTCATCACCGTCTCCGGCGCAACAGGCACCCAAGGCGGCTCCGTAACAAAATCCATCCTCGCCGACCCAGAATTGTCAAAAGAATTCAAAATCCGCGCTATAACACGCGATGTCATGAAACCCACGGCCAAGAAGCTCGCGGAGCAAGGTGTTGAACTAATCAATGTACGTACCAAACAATCCATACATCCACGAACGAAACTCCAAATCACCTAACCAACCCACTCCCTCCAGGCCGACCTGAACTCCAAAGAGTCCGTCTCAGCAGCACTCAAAGGGTCCCATACGGTGTACCTAGTCACCAACTTCTGGGAAACCGCCAACCCCGCCGACGAGATCCGGCAAGGCAAGAACGTCGCCGACGCGGCGAAAGAAGCCGGCGTGCAGCACCTTATCTTCTCCTCCCTGCTGAACGTAACAAAAACCACCAACGGCCGGCTAACGCACGTCTCGCACTTCGACGGCAAGGCCGAGATAGAAGACTATATCAAGCAGTCCGGCGTGCCCTGCACGTTCGTCCTCGCCGGGTATTACATGTCAAACTGTCTCGGCGTGCTTAGCGAAGACGATGACGGGGTCTACACACTCACGTACCCCGTCAGCGCATACGCCAAGTTCCCGTTGTTCGACGCGGGAGAGGACATGGGCAAGTTTGTCGCCGCTGCGATCAAAGCGCACGATTCCAGCACGCTGCCTAACGGCGCCCATGTCCTCGCCGCCTCCGCATACTACACCCCGCCGGAGATCCTCGAGACCTTCGCCGACGTGACCGGCCACGCGACGCGCTTCGTGCAGGTCTCGCCAGAGCAGTATAAGTCTTTCCTGCCGGCGCAGATGGCCGACGAGATATTGGAGAACCACCTGTTCATCGAAGATCCGGGATATTTCGATGGTGCGGACTTGGAAGCGAGTTTGAAACTGCTTGAGGATGTGGGCCGGAAGCCGACGACGTGGAGGGAGTTTTTGGAAAGGAACAAGGGGACTTGGCAGTAAGCGGAGGAATGAATGGCTGGAAATTGAAGGGGAAAAATCAAGTGTGGCGGTATGGTGTAATGACATAAGAGATCAGGATGTGGAAGAAATTCACAGAAATTTCAGTCAAAATGTAATTTCTGTTTCGCAGCATGATACCGTCGTTTTCAATTGAACTAGACACTGTTGGCGCACATATGTCAAGTGCTCAAATCCTCTATTTATTTGATTGAAGTTGACTCAAATCGCGGCTTGCGTGAGGACTTTTTCGGCAGTATTGCAAATAAGTAGGTGTTGATTCGGTGATTATTCATACTAGATTGGATTGGTACTGGATCTTCAATACAGGCGGTACTGCGGCTAACTATCTCAAGGATATCTAGAGCTGCCGAATTGTGGTATCTAAGCTCTTAGCTAGTGCTATTAATAGAGATCTATAGGACTAGTATATAATTATAGTGGTGATTAGCTAATAAAGTAGCTAAGGTTTAGTATCTTATCCTCTAGTAGCCTACTAGGTAAGGCAGGCTGCTATCTAGACTAGTAGCACTACCTTAGTAAGTACTAAAAAATAGTGGTATTAGATTGTTTTTTCCTAATGCGGCATAAATACATATTATAACTACTTATTTGCAACACTATTTCTCGGAACTAGCTATACTCTAACAAAACGTCTATTCTAATAAAAGTACTTTCTAGCTTTAGGTAAAAGAATATAGATATTATAAGAGATCTATAGGCGATACTTCTTATAAAAGGCTTTATTTAGCTTAAAAGAGTAATCTAGTAGCTATACTTTCATGAAGATCATCCTTAAGGCGAGGGTCCCTGACCAGAGGAATCCAATGCCGGCAGTGATCCGCCACTGTGCGGAGCCAGAAGCATTGCTTGTTCCGAAATTGATCAAATTGGATAACAAGATACCAAGGGTGACAAACAGCTGATAGGCGCTGAAGCGCAGTCACGAATCAGCAAAGCTCTTGAAGAGAAGGGAGTGGGACAAGCCTAGGAAAGTCTAAAGCAACTGGAGACGCACCTAACAAGAGCTCCTCGGATCAAGGTGGGAGAGCTTTCGCCTATATACATACCACTTCCGGCCATAAGTATCTGCCGGCTTTGCAGCAGCGAGGGCGCCGATACACGCTCCTATCGGCCAACCACCAACGAGTATTCCTGATAGAGCAGGCGGCCACTCATACCCTCCACTCGGGGTGCGGTTGGCAAATCGTGACTGGAAGTCGGGCATTTGTAGATAGCCGGCGATCGAACCAGTGTCGTAGCCAAAGATTATTCCTCCCATGGACACCAACACGCACATGATAAATGCTCGAAACGTGATGACTGGCATGTGGTCGTCGACGTGGCCCTTGTCGACATCGTGAGGGCTCCCATTAGCAGATTTGCCGACTTCGATCCGCTCGTTGTCCGCCATCTTTGACTAAATCGACTTCCAAGAAGGCTTCGCGTGTGGTGTCCTTTGAATGCAGTGTATTGGGTCAGAACTCTCAGAATAGCTTCTGAAAAGAGAGTATTTTGGAAATAGAGAGCAGAGACGAAGGTAATGACACATGTAAAGTTAAGATAAAGTGTGGTAGGGCCGGGGCGAGCATGACAGCACTATATCATCATGCAAGAGCGTTCCGCACATCTCACCCTGGTGAACGAGAATTAGCACAGTGTGAGGAGCGCTCTCAGAGAGCGGGAGGGCCTGCTACGGATCGCGTCACTGTCAGTCCACTCTTCTGCCGTCCTGACGCGCAGGAGTCTCCAGGGAACGAACTCATTGACTATTGGCGCCGAAGGAATCCATGCAGGCATGGAACCCCGACATTAAACTGGAGATCGAGAGCGGAACTGTCAGCCGGCAGGTTCTGATGTTTAGCTTCAGCTTCAGCCACCTAGCTTACGCAAAGTTTGATATGAAAGCAACGGGCTGGACGCTTTGATATAGGTTATTCTCGTATCTGAATTTACTGTATACGATGTGGCGTTAGTGCTAACTACCTGGCATTCCATAGAGAGCCTTATTGATAATCACCCTTCCTCACCTAACTAGCTAGGGGTCTGGTTGGATCTAGTACTAGCTGCATCGAGCTGCATTCAACTAGCGCATAACGGGAAGTACCTGACCGAGCGGGAGCGGGAGACTATTGCAGAGTTTCATCTACGGGTGAAACGGTAGCACTACTACGCGATCCGTGCGCTCATGCTATCGGTTACAAAATATTGAGCTATCTAGAAACAAATTTTATCAATCTCTATCTCCTAGTTATTGAGGATTAGGGGTTTGTCACGACATTGCAGCAAAAAAAAAAA